ATCTGATGTTTGGATGTTAAAAGCATCTTTTTTTTATTACATTGGTGTTATGTTTGTAAAGGTGATGAAGATGAGGAGATAAAATTGAAAAAAGTTCACATAAAACACGCAATTTTCCAGTTTTTTTATTGATTTTTTCATTCCTTTTCGCATCTTTTATTTCTACTCTTCAATTGGTTATCAATTATGTCTTGTGTTTTTATTGTTATTCAAGTCTACGATAAAAAGTACAGATTGAATATTATGATGATGATAATGATGGTGATGAACGTTAAGATGATGGCAATTGATTGATGAAGATACAAATTAAAGTAATTTATAATAGAGTCAATTTTCATCTCATTTGTGGTTTTGTTTTTGTTCAACCATTTTGCCCAGAGTTGATGTTTGCTTATTACGCTGATTTTGTTTAATAGTTAACAATCATTAAGGTTGATAATCATTAAAAGTTTCACTTGTATTAATCTTCATCAACTTTGTTTGCTGTCAAAATGACATTAAACAAAAGATTCAACACATGAGACGCAAAGATGAGATTCACTTTTCAAAGCAAACTCAATCACGATTAAAGCAATCATCAAATTTTATGAAAATTTAACTTGGGCGAAAAATCGATTTTAAACAATCGATTAATAATTGTCATTGATCTAAATGCTGAACATCGATCAATGACTTTCGCTCTCGACTTTCTAATTGAATATTTTTATATCAAATTCAAGCAATTTAAGGTTCGATCTTTGGTTGAATTTGAATGAATATTTTGAGTTTTTCAGGAAATTAAAGTTCGAGTAAAATCGATAAGAATCGATTGACAAAGAATCGAGATAATCGATATTTTAAAAGTAAGTGATTGATGCTTTCAAGGTGAAGCTTAAAGGTTTATAATTAAAAATCGATTTTTCAGATCATCCAATTATAGCCAATTGCAGTTAATTTGAATTGCAAATTGACATTTTCCAAGTTCTGGCTTATCTAATCCTTGATCTGATTTGAATAAATTCATCTTCATGCTTTTGATCTTTATCGAGATAAAGTTGACCAGTAAATGTAAATTTTCATTTTGATGAACATGCGATTCTGCTCTCATCAGATTCAACCTACTTCTTAACTCTCATTGGTTCAGCCGACATTCAAAACTTGGGTTTTAAACTTTATCGATCCAGTTGACTATCAAAACAAAAGTTGACCCATTGAGGCTGCTCTTACAACTGGAAAGGGCAAAAAGTCGTCAAAAATAAATTTTAATCTTGAAACTCCTCCTTGGTCACCTCCTCTTCCTAACATTTCATCCTCTTCACCATAAAATGGACATTCAAATTTCATCAACTCAAAGTAAAGTTATAGAGACAGAAAACCGAGAAATTTGCATGAGAATTCATGAATCAATTGAAAATTGTTGATTAAAACTGAAAACCTATTCAATCAAGGAAGTGCATAAAGTAAAATAAGGTGAAGAAAAAAAATTGATTTAAATGATGAAGGAAATGTCTTTGAATAATTTCCGGTATCATTGTCTTGAGTGAGGAAGAGGAAGGAAGATGATAAAGATGAAGATGATATTAACCTTGGTGACATTTCATTTCAGGGTTGGATAAGCCTTAAGCAACAGGGTTAGTTGAGATGAAATACAGAAAGATTTCAAAAATTGAATCGCCACATTTAAATACATGAAAGATTGCAATAACTGAACCCATTTACAGTGAGATAATCATTGAAACATAATGATAACTGACCATGAAAATATGAATATTTAATGAGAGACAAAAAATGGTTCAAAAGTTTACATTGTTTCAACCAATTTTTCATCAATAATGATGAAACAAAATTGACCATTACAGACAAAACAAGGCTCAAAATGATTACACTGAATCACGAACCATGTTTCACCATAAACTCATGATAGAACTAAATTTGAAAATTCAACCATTAATATAAATAACACATCATGTTGAACCAAAATCATGGATTGATAAACATACATTAAGCTTCAGCATAATCAAAGCACCGTACGACTGGGTGATAAGACACAAACCTTTCAACCTAACAAGGTGACTCTTTGCCCATTAGACAAACACACATTAAGGGCCTTTTCACACGGCTCTTCACGGCACGGCTCTTTTCATTTTCATCACTTTCTACATGTTTAACATCACCGCCACCATAATCTTGACCACCATCATCATCACCAACTTCATCTCCATCATTACCATCATCATTATCATCATCTTCATTTTCATTTTAACCTTAATTTTACATCTGTAATCTCCACTAAAGTAATTCTGGTTAGGCAATGAGACATGAAGATCTCAACCTAGCAAAGTGACTCTTTGTGCACCAAGAAAACATACATCAAGGGTACTTTGCGAGGTGAATATTTTGTATATTCATTCCTGTCCACATCATCTTAATATTCATCATCATCTGGTCATCCTCATTTCCATTTTAACCTTAATTTTAATCACCACTAAAGTGATCCTGGTTAGGAAATGAGACATGAACATCAACTTAACAGAGAGTCTCTTTGCCCACCAAACAAACATACAGTAAAGTCATTTCACGAACTTCCATGATGAGTAACTGGATTTTAGCTCCAATCATCATTATCATTATCCTTTAAAAGTATTTCCATTTCCAATTGAATCAGCAGCAAAAAAACTTTATCTTCTCTCAATTCTCCCTTTACTTTTACATGGCACAAAATTTAATGATAATTCACTTTTATCTTCATCTCTTCAATCCTCTCTTCCTCTTCTTACTCTCTCCAGCCAAATGTCCAGTCACGTTCAGCTTTTTTCATCCTTATCATCACATATTTTTTACCATAAAATTTTACTTCACACCAATAAAAAAAAACTTTTTACTCCAAACAACAACAAAAAAGTGAGATTGATGTGACAAGAAGCTAAAAAAGGAGAGAGAATTTTTTTATCTAAAAAGTCATCAATTTTCATCTTCATCTTCATCCGCATCTTTCTCCTTCTCTTCATCTTCCTTCTCATCTTTACCTAACCAGTCAACATTAAACCTTATTATTTATTTTACAGAAGCTTCAATTGATGTTATCTTTTCTGTTGCCCTTTCCATTTCAAAGAATTATCATCCATCTTCCATCCTCATCCTCATCTTCCTCCAACTCTCCTCTTAAGTGACCAAGATAACAATAAAAGCTAATGATAACAGTTTTGCAACTTTTACTTTCAATTTTATAGGTTTTTCAACTCAATTGTGATTCGCCTTTAAAATTTGATAACTTTCAAGTTCCTATAAGAATCAACCATTTGAAAAGTGAACCGAAAAAATCATTATTATTATTAGTGGGTGTAATCAACTTACAGTTTCATGAGATAATATTCATTAAAAGGAGTTTCCTTTTTCATGATATTTTTCACATTAATTTTTTACTTTTTTTTATAATCATAATGATTCTTCATTTTGTCCACTTTTTTGACCATGCAAAAGACTGGATCAATGATAATGATTTTCAGGAAGTTTCAACAATAACAACAAAAAAATGGTTCCAATGAGTAGTTTGATAATGATATGTTATATAAGAATCATCATCAAGTTGATCTTCCTTAACAATTTGATGAGACGCCAATTGTATTATTCAAATTACATGTTTCAATCTATTGTTATAATTGGCTTTTTTAAACGTAAAAAAATCAATAATTTGTTTCACTTTTTCATTTCATTTTTGACCTTTTTTTACGACTTGGTCAGTCTTTTTTGGCTAAATATTCACAATCGATTGTGTTAAGCTAATAATAGCTTTGATTGTTTAACAATCAACAATGAATTTGATGAAGATAATGATAGGATTATGAGAATGATGATGATGATGAAGGAGAATGAAGACAATTTTCAAGATGAAATGGCTTCTTCTGGTATTGATTAGAATGTGGTCAGATGATAGTGATTAGAATAAATGTTAAATGATTGGAGTGACCCACAAGAAATGGTCATCCATCGATTTCCAAGGCCAAGGTTACCAAATGGCTATCAACCAGAAGCAACAAATGAAACTAAATAAACTCATGTGACCCACTAACCAGCTAACCATCTCAGGTTATAAGTCATGTTTATTGCACAGAAAATCATTTATTGATTAAAGTTGATTTGATAATCGATTGATATTTCAAAATCGATAAGAAAAAAAAAGATTGAACTCCAAGTTCTGGCTGATTTGGGTTAACATTGAGTTTCATTTATTTTCAATGAAAAGATTTTCAGAAAATCCAAAAATAATCGTTTTGATTCTGATGTAAATTTCATTAAAATAGTTGAAATGAGCAAAAATTTTAAATAAAATTTGAGCTTTACTGGCTCATCTGGTTGACCCAAAGTCTGATCAAAAAAGCTTTTCACAAAAATCAACTTAAACTGGTCAAGATAAAATAAGCATTTTTAAACGCAATTCATTTAAGCAAAGTTGATCGAGTTGAGATAATTTGAAAATGAGTCAATTTCAATTGCTTTTCAGGGCAATTTTGAGTAGGAATTAGAGTTGAAATTTGCAACTTTGGAGGAAAAGAGATGAAACTGATTTTCGCTTGTCAATTGATTTGCATTTGAAACATTTTGTTGTCTTTACTATGAAGTGACACTTGGCTTGATATTAATATAAGTGTTGAACTGGCAACTGAGCGTCACATTTACTGATGAAACTGACAACTGGATGAGAAAGATGAGGATAAAGATGATGTTGCGTCAAATTGGTTGGAAGGTGAAATTGGATGAACAATCATCTGAAAGTTTACAGTTTTTGTTGATGATTCGGATGATACATCAAGTTAATTCTCATGAGAGATTAACTCTCTGTTCAGTTGGCGAAAACGCTCCTTTTTTATCATTTTACTTTAATCTAAAGCACTGGTAAAACTCAAGGTAAACGTTTCACATTCAATGTTAAATGCACTTCAACAGTAAACTTTGAAGGAAAACTTGAAACCCTTGACTCTGGTTGATTAACCCAAACAATAATTAAAGTTATCAACACTTACCTGATGAACAAAGACATCAGGTCCACCATCATTGGGTGTAATAAATCCCCATCCTTTGGCCACATTGAACCATTTACATCGACCTCGTCTTCGACCGGTTAAAGCCGTTATCTGGTCAGGTTCACCTTTAGAGTTGATCACAAAAACAAGAGAAAAATAAAGTTCAATTGAACGCTTTTTCAAACGATTCTCATGTAAACAATTATATTGAGAAACTTTGACAACATTGTCCACTGACACTTACAAATCAATCCTCTGAGTATGATTATTGAATGACCAAGAAGATCTTGAAGTTTATCAATATTAACAACTTTACATCTCAAGATATTTACAGTTTTAACAATTTTGTCACTTTTAGTGTTGGTTGATGTTGCTTTGGCTGTTGATGACATGGTGTTGGGTTGATGAAGGTGATTAGCAAATGGTTAGTCCCGGCCAGGTATAAAAGCCTGAAGTTTAACTCAACTCAAGGTTCAGTGTTTCATGAGACTGAACAAAATGATTTGTAGACTAAATGAGTTTCAGTTTTGTTTTATTTCTTGTTTTTACTTTTTTTACGTCTGTTGTTGAAACACTTGAAAGGACTTGCTTGATGATCAGGGATGATTACAATGATTAGGATGACCCAAAAGTACGGGCTAGTTTAAGATGATTATTGATTTTGAATGGTTAACAAGTTATCAAAAAACAAAGATTAATATTGTTCAACTCAATGTTAAAATGATTTCAAATCTTCTTTTCATTCGACTTTTTTTTTCTTCAAACTTTGTTTTTCTATTTTTCATTCTCACTCTTTTTCCTTCTTCTTCAACATCTTCTCTTTCTTTTCATCTCTTTCTCTTCTTTCATCTCTTTCTTTCAGATGCGTAAACACTTTTTGCTTTTCAATGAATGCCACGCCTAAATCAAAAATTGCGCCCCTAAACATAAATTCGACATTGCGTCTGCGTTTCATTTTCAATCCTAAACAAATGGCTTTAAACAGTATTTTTCATCTTTCATCTCAATTGTTTCATCATTTTAACATCTTTTTTTAAACACCTTTCTAATCATCTTTTAATCATCTTTGTTTTCTGGTCATCTTGGTTAACCATTGGGTTCTGTGTTTCTGTTTAATTAATTTCTGTCTGTTTTTTATTTGGTTAGGTTCGTTTTCTGGTCTTGTGTACTCAAATTGGATGGTTTAGGTGATTGCAATTTTACATTTTTCAAGCGGAATCCCGATCAAGACTGATTGATTTTTACTCAACCCAATACATTCAATCCACATTTGGAAGGCTCAAATTATTAACTTAAGAAACTTCAATTAACACAGTTGAGGAACCAGATTTTTTGTCAAACTCTGACAAACTCAAAACAAAGTTTTAAATATACTCAAAATGCACTACAATCAGCTATCAAACTGAACCGAGAATGTTTTCACCAGTAACCTGAATTCTGGTTAAGCTAAGACTATATTTTAGATTTAGTTTAATCAAAATGTGATGTGAAAATTTTCTTTAGAGCTCGTTCAGTTTGGACACAATTTTCCCGCAAAATTTTGAATTTTTTGACTTTATGTATTGTATTGTCTAGATGTATCAATTTGGTTAAACAATGGCAACTTTCGGCGATTTTTGACTTAATTTTGACTGCATTTCCTTATTGTGAAATTTATATCAATTAACCGTTATTATTGGCAACAATTCACGCTATTTTACTTAGGATCATCAAGAGTTAGTTGTACTTTTTAAATAGCATCTATAGTTAGCACTTAAATCTTGTTCAAAATCGAAATTTGATTGTTTTGTTTTACTCTTGCGAGTTAAACAATTGAATTAAGCAATTGAATCGCTTTGGCGTTATTACATGTATGTAATTGCCATCTATTAACAAAAATAAGCATCAATGTTAGGATGGAGTCGATTTCAATCTGAAATATGAGCTCAACAGTTTTGTTATCCATTTTAATTCATATCTAACATTGATTCTCATCGAAATTGTCTGCAAAAATCCTAAATTTAAGTGTTTTAATTATCGAGACTTCAATTTGTTCAGGTATTCACACTATTTGTTAATTTGATAACATGCGACTTTTGATTCTCATTTTACACAAAACGTGAGTGAAACAACTTTTTGAACTCATAATTGGACACAGCATTTAATTGTGGCTTCCAGAAATACCTAATTTACTGATGATTTCACGAGTCGAAGTTATTTCTTTAATCTTTTCACAGCAATCAAACTTAATCCTCAATATTTTTATGTTAAGCTCAATTTGTGGAGCAAAACTCCATGAGTCGCCATCTATTGTTTTTAATAGGATTCTTCAACATTCTGTACTGCCATCTATTATCCTGGAAAATAACTGGACTCGTAAACTTCGAGTTTTTGTACCAATAATATTAGTGGAAGTTTTTATGAGGCTGATTTTATACTTTATATGTTTGGCTGGAAAAAATTTTTACCAAACATCATTCACTACCATCATGGTTATTAAAATTTTATATTTCTTGTACTGAAATCTATTTATTATTCTCACAATAGTGCAATAAAAATCTATAAATTTGCTAATCTGGAAATATATGCCTAACTGTTATCCACAAACTCAGCAATTAATGCTCGGATATTAGTCTTGCATAATAAGTGCTCACTGAATTAATATGGAGATAACATAAACAGGTGAATTGAATAGTCTTTTTCCAGTTTGATTATTTTTTTCTGACAAGTTGTGAGTTGTAAGTTGACTACACTTGACTCTCAAATCTTGAAGCTCTTTAATGAACCTTTATGTTTGAAAACAAGTTTTAATCTGATTGTCAATTATTTTTTCTTCCAGTTAATATTGAAAGTAGATAAATGAATATTTCTTTACCGATTCATCTGAGTGAAGGATAAAGCTGAAAAGTTCAATGCCATCGATGTTCTAGATTAAATTTATTCAAAAAGTACCCGACTACATCAATTGATAAATCTTTGATTTTGGTATTGGTGAATTGATGTTCATGTTGTTAACCAAAGTTAGCTGTAAATTGCAACCGAACGTTAAGGAGAACGTAATTAATGAATCAAATAATAAATTCCATCCAAATATATTCTCAAGAAAATAGCATAAAAATATGGGCTATTGAATAGCGAGAGTGGAGCTTGAAGCTCAATTTTCAAAATCAACTACAACTCAAGACGTAATCCGATCAAATATTGTTTTTATTTTCGCAAAACCTCTCACCAATTATCCAACACTGTTCACAACTAAGCTGTTAGATATATTATCCCAAACTATCTTCTTCTTCATCACTTATAGACATGGATAATCCCTGTGCAAATGAAATAATCGGATAATCATTCAATAACATCATCTCGATCCTTTTAAAGGTAAACATTTAATGGCATACTTCGATTGACCAACAATAGATGGCAGCTCTCGACTCTGCTAAATCTGAATCATTTGAATCTTAAAAAACCTTTTTAAAATGCAAATCTAATCATGAAAATGCATTCAAAGAACCAATTATGATTTTCAGATGAAGGATCAAATTAAATCATTTAAATATGAATTCTTGGTTAAAGAGGAAGACGATAAAAGCAAACACAGGAACAAGTAAAAATGAGTAAAACTGAAAGCTAATTACATTTCATCAACAAATCCAATCGAAAGCCAAAAACACTGTTAAAATGAATCAACCAACAGTTAATGCAAGCAAACCCAATCAACTTGAATGGAATGAGCAAAATTGTTAAAACGTTGAATGAAAACAGGGAAGAAAGGATTGAAAATTGAGTAAAATGTCAACTTACCTTTAGTGATTACAATAACCATTTGAATAGTTGATTAGACGAAACACAAATCAGTTAATCCAGTTGATATATTCACTATTATTGAAGTACAAAAACGACCAAATTAACGGTTAAACAATGAGCAATGTTGATGTTGAATTAAAACAATGATGAAAGTGTATGTATTTCATATGAAATTAAATGGCGCACAATGAATGATTATAATGAATGAATTACATTTAAATGGGACACAATGGTGAGGAATGTGAAAATGTATTAAAAGTTTAATTTTAACTAATTAAAGATGAATCTAAATGATGATGAAGCAAATGTAATATAATGAGAAAAGATGTAAAAAAATTGACTATTTTTGTATATTTTTCATCATTTCCAACCAATATCTTTTAAATTTTCATCATTATAGCTCCACCTTGGCATCAACATCAAATCACATGATGAACATATAATAATATAATACAATAAACTCCACCTTTTTCTATATTTTTTTCCTTCTTTTTTTAGTTATAACCTAACATCCACTCCTTCCTCCTCCTCTTCATCATCATCCCTATCTTCATCTTCATCATTATACTTACCAAAAGTGATTCGACTCCGAGACCAAAAAACAGTCAAATAAAACATTCAATTTGCTTATTATTTCCAGTCGAGTCTAAAAAAGTGTTGATTTACATGAAATCAACTTCATCTTTTGAACCAAAAATCAGATTCCATTTTTTTCCAATATTCAATCAGTTCTTGTTTCAAATTTTGTTTCAATTTTTAAGCAAAATATCACTTCGTTTGAGCTTTGATTGTGAATTGAAATAAATTTTGGATAATTTTAAGGCGAAAATGGCAATTTCATGAATTGAGTTTGAACATTTTGAGTGAAGCTTTTTTTGGTTTTGAAATTTTGCTGGAAAAAGATTCATTTTTTCATGAAAAATCAAATGAATTTCATTTTAATGAACTTGGATTTACTTGAAGATGAAAATATTGATTTGCATTTATTGTTTAGATTTGAATCCATTTTTTCAATTTACTTTCATTTGTCTTTGATTTGAATTGTTTCCCGATCAATATTGAAAATGGTTCAAAGACAATGTTCAATTGATTACAATTAGAACCCAATTTGCTCATTGTTTAACAATGAAAGCTGAAGACTGGGGTAAATTTTAAGATTTGAAATTTTGATTGATTGAATAACTTAATGTTTGATTCTTGTTCACTTAATTATCTCAATTTGAATGGGCTGGACAATTGATTAAGACGTATTGATTTTGAATTATGTTACACATTAGTTGAACAATAATAACTTACATTGAAAGTCCATTGAGGTTGATACAGTGTGTTTCAATGTCCATAAAAAAATCAAGTTACAATAATCAATCATATTAAAAATGGGGAAAAGTCAAGGCAAAAAAGGACCCGTTTTGTTTACAAAATAAACGCTGTTGAGGCCAAAAACCCAAACAACCAAGGATGATATGGATGATTAGGATGATGATGATGTGAAAATGTTTCTTAATGCATTTTACGTATTCTCAGTGTAATTCAATCTCCTTTTAATCAGTTCAACTTTTATCCAACACTTTCATGTCCATCTTTCAAAATGACCACCTTTTCGTGTCTCTTTTCACACTCACCTTTTATACCAAATTATAGTTGAAACTGTTATTACTTTAATTAGATTGTAATGCTTGATAGATTCAGTTAAACTGTAATTAGTGATTTACAATAGAGTCAATATTTATCTACACTTTTTTGCACAACAAATTTCACTTTTCCATCTAATTATTGGGTTTCTTTTTCGATTGACTTGGCTAACTGTTCATTGTTTTTTGACCATTTTTCCTGCTTTTATTGCAATTTAATTTAACCTCCAACTTTGTAACCCTTTCATTACGTTATCCGATTGGCTCAATCAATTGGTTTCTATGGTAATAATGACTTCTGCATTTTCAGCTTGTCACTCTTTATATTAACCAGATTTATTCACATTTGTATACCATTTTGTTTGCTTTAATTTTTTGGGTTTGCAGTTTATTTATTAATTTTAATGATTGTCTATTTATTGTGTTTTGTTTACAATCTATTAATAGGTGAATAGCTTGGTTATGGATATTACTCAAAGTGTTCAATCAAAAGGATTATCCAAGAGTTGCTCAAAGCTCCAATTTATTGGACTTTTATGGAAACACAACCAAAAAGTCTTATTTTAATTGTCAATATTACTAATTTAATGTCTTTTATTTTACTTTGTTATCTACAGTGTCCAGAAATCTTTGGTTAACTTAAATTTAATCAACTAACAGTCTGTGAAAAAGTCTGACCAAGGATCCATTAAAGCTGCTTCATGGAAACTCGCTTAACATGTCTTGGTTTTTCATCTTATTCAATACCATGAATATTACAAATTTTGATTTGGAATTGAGTCGATGTTCGATTTGGGCGATAAGTCTTTATAAGACTAAACGTTGGTTACTCGGTTGAGATTCATAAATTAGATGTTTTACAATTTTTGGTCGAGCTTCGTGTTAGCAACTTGAAAATGCTGGAATATTTAAGCATCTTGATTCATCTAATACTATTACCAAGACAGCGAAATTCAGAAGAAACTTGGAAAGATTAATCAATGTTAAACGGAAAGTCAGTATCTGTGAGATGTTATAAAGCGACTTTGCGTGTTGCTGATTATAGGTTATCAACAATCATACATTTATTTTGATCATTTTTTTCAAATAAATATTAGGTCAGAAAGGTAACACACACAAAATGATGTATTCGAGAAAGAAGGAGACACCAAAAAATACAAGCAACAAGATGATAATGATGATGCTGATAATGGTGATGAGGAAGAGTAAGGTGAGAGAAAAACAGTAAAAGTAAATGTGAAATGTGATAAAAAATGATGATGATAATGGTCAAGATAAATGCATTATAATATCAGCTTCTGTCAAAGAGCTTCTCAACTTTCTTATAAGTTATAACATTATCATTATTATCATATTATTATTGTTATTATGTTACCATCGACAGCATTTCAATTTGATTTTTATTTTACTGTTAACATTAACATTTTTTTAAAAACGAAGCAAGACAAACAACAACATTTTACACAAATTGTCTCCTAATCATGATATATCAGTTATCATTATCAAAAATCACTTTGAATGCTTGATAATACAAATAATAGGAATAATAATAATGATTATATTACTAAGTAACGATATGAAAACGCATGTCAACAAATGAAGGCAAAAATTTTTGATCCAAGTCTCTTTTTTTTTGTTCAAACAGCCAAAGGAATATTTTAAATGAAGATGAAGATGATTGTTGATGGAGGAGTCTCAAAAGCAGGGAGATTCATGAAAACAACAACAACAACAACAACAAAGCATAATAATGCAAAAAACGGAGACAAAAAAACTGCATCACAAAAAGAGGCAAAAATCTGATTGTAAACAACGTAAGCCTCCTTCAACTATGTTTTTTAACCTTGTTTCCTCTATTTTTTGGAGTTTTTTACTTCCTTTTTGTAATTGTTATTGTACATTCATTGAAAGGCGCGAGTCAGCGAGGGTGGGTGCTGATCGGAATGAGGTTTTATTCCTGTCAACAACAACAATCTTTGATGATAACGAGTCTCGTGACCATTCAAAGTCTTTTCATCTTTCAAACTGACCAATTCACTTCTCCCATCATTTTAACCATCAATGCATCCTTCTCATCATCATCATCTTCTTCTTCTGCTTGAACTCTTCTGCACTCATCTTTACCATATTTCTAGGATCGCCATTTAACAAGCGGACTGATCATCGGGTTATCTTGCGCTATGGCAACATTTACTTTCATCTACAGCAGCTTTTAATGGCTCAAGTTGATTAGATTTGGAAAAATTGGTTCCATCAGTTTCTCTGTTCCATCGAGTTCCATTGATTTGCAAGCTGGAAATTTAATAATTACTAAATCCTGTTGTATTATGGCAACATTTTAATCAACATCTAAAGCTTTCAATCTCATGATTTCTGCATCTCTCGGCATGAAACGCAAGTTACTTGATGAAATTTGCCGTTCCAACAGAAACATAAATCTTATTGAAATACATTTAGATCTGAAGCCCTTCTTGGTAACTCCATCTTTACCATCATGATCATGATACGTGAATTACCACTTTTTCTGGTTACTTTTCCCTTTCTTCATCTTTTTTCTCGGTCTTTCCTCTTTTAACCAATTTTTCCTGAGCAAACTCTGTTTCATTCATTCACTCATCATCAATTAATCCTTCATTGATCAGCTCAATCAATAATCAAATTTATATTCTTACAATAGCAAAATCTTTTATTATTTAGTCTTTTATGTACATTCATTCATTTACAATCTCAATCAGTCTCAATTTTTAAAGCAATTTCACCCTAAAAAATATATAATATCATTTCAACATCTAATAACCCAAATTTTCATACTAGACTAACATGAATCGTTTAATGATTAAATAACAACTCAGAGAAGGACAAAAAACATGATAATGAAGGTGAAGGAAGGAGTCAGAATCGATGAAAGTAAAAAAAAGGTTATTCCTACTAATAACCATTGACTGGTAAAAGTAACAAAATGACCATTTTCATCTCATTGGTCCAAATTATAACCCAAAAGAGCTTATTTTGTTTCCTTCATTTTGTCTTTACAATTCAACCTTTTTACTTCAATTAATCTAAATTGATTGCCTCTGATTAATGAACCAAATTAACTGGTTAACAACCAAGTAAATCAATTTGCGATGTAAAAAGATGAATCAAACGTTGAAGCAATTTAAAGGAGCCAGCAAAAAAACATCTCTTGATGAAAGCAAATTGATTTATACCTTTTCATTGAAAAGCAATGAGTAAAACCTTCATTTCTTACACTTCCAGTAACATAAATTATCATTAGTAAAGATAAATTCAATCCAAAATGAGGATAAATTAATGTATTAAAGTATTAAATGTTGATGAATTAAAAAAGTCCAGATCTTTAGTTTTCATCTCTTTTTGCCTCATTATTGAACGGTTCATTGGTATAAGCTGATAAATGAATAAACATGAATCCATATCATTAGGCCATTATTGTTGCACCATTGTTGTACCTATTAACACGTAAAAAGGCGTACATTTAAGGTCACAAAGTCTCCGTCATCTTTACCTTTCCTCCTACAATAAACAACAACAATATAAACCTCCACATCTTATCCTTCATTTTTGTTTGTGTGTCCTCCTTATTATTGTTATTTACCATTCAATTTTCAAGGTTTAATAGCGTCACAAAAGTCGCACGTCCATCCGTCTCAAGGTAACAACAACAACACACTAAGACTATTGTTGTTGAACCATTTCATCGTTTTTTGGATCGTGCTATCAACAGCCAAACTTGCCAAGTAAATGCAAGTCGACTAAAGTCACCAATTCTGGTCAACCCTGTTACGCCCTACTTTGGAACGCTTTTCACATCTAATTTGTTATCAAATTAAATAAATTATTACCATATTAGATGACAATTGACATCCATCACTACCTGTCCAGTCTTTACTCAAAAACTTGTGCTTTACCATCGTTTAGTCAATCATATTTTTCCATTTTGTCAAAGGTTCCAACTCTCATTGACTTCAAATTTTCGTCTCAACAATTTACCAATTGGTTTAACCAGGAAAATCATATTTAGGAAAAAAATTGACTCAAAGCTGACTTGGTTAATAACAGTTGGACAATATCGGGTTTTGTTGTGTTGTCATTGAAACAAAAAGCTGGTTAAACCAAAAAGATTGCCAGAGACTTTTTTAAGGATTAAAGCAATTTAGCAGGTTAATGTTATTTGGATTATATTCTGGGTTTAACCAGAGTTTAATCAACTGGTTTGGTTACTTTAATGTCATTTCAACTATTGAGTGATAGTTTTGAAGGGTTAATTGCTCATTTTCAGAGCTCAATTCTTGGTTGAATTGTGTTAGTTTTAAGGGTTATTTCCCATTTTACTGGTTCAACCAAAACCTTACTCACAGTCACAGTTTTGATGTGATTGATTTGATTAGAATAGACTGATTTCAATGTATTTAGTTAATATTGATTTTTCCAACTTGACCGTGTTTTTTCATTTGCATGTTCATTGTCAATGAGATCAACAATAAGTTCAATTTAAATTGTACATTTCCAATGATAATCTGGTTTATTCCTAAATCCTTGTTACCACCGAGACTAAAATATTAATCAAATTTCATCTTCAGTGCGCTTCTCTTCCCTTTTAATACCCATCAATCTAGAGATGACCAATTGATGGACACACAAAAGCCAGTTGCCATGATTACTTTTCATCATCTCTCTTCCTTTGGATGATGATGATGATGAAGAAGAAGCAAAAAAAGATGGAGAGTTGAAGATGAAAGAGCATATTCCAATTTCAATTCTCATCTCATTATTTGATTCTTGTCGCCATTTACCATGTTTTTTGTGCTTCCATTTTTATCGGCCATTTTTTTCCTTCTCATCCCCTTTTTGTCCATCTTAGTTTCAATCATCATCTTCTTCTTCTTCATCATCTCTTTTTTTCCTCATCTCAAACTTGCATTTCTTTCTTCATTTGATCTGCAAAAAAATTGATCGATATTTTTGGCTCCTCTTTGGATTGGCCAGTCTTTACCAATGATATTTTCATTCAAATATAGGTTGACTCAAATTTTTTGTGAGTTTTTTATCATTGACCAACTTATAGGTATTCAACCTATAAAAAATGCTATTATTGTTATCATTATATTCATTCAACTATCATTAATCTCACTCCCAGTCAACTTTTGCTAGCTTATTGAGGTTCACTTTTTTTCACGCAATAAATTCACTTATTTTTGCTACTTTTTCATTGCTCAGTCCAAAAATTTGTCTGTGAATTCATCAATCAACCTGAATAAATGAACCATAATTATCATCAATGAGTAAAAGGAAATTAAAACAAGTGAAAAATATTTCCAATCCTTTCAAATAATCCGCCAATTTGCTCCATCAGCTGTTTGCATCTTTTGCTTTATCAAATCTCGAAGCTTTTTTTCCAATTTTGATGCCAAGTTTGACTTTTGTTTTGTGTTAAGAACAAAAAGGACCTAAAAATTTGTGTCTCGACTATTGTAATGAAACAATCAACAGGACATTGGACAATATTCGGGTTTTGCTACTGTGACCAAGTTTAGTTAATAATGGTGTGGATAAAGATAGTTATGAAGATAAATTGGAAGCCAATTGGAGTTTACCTTTTCAAGTTTTACTTTAAAATAAAGTAGCCCCACTAATATGTTATACTTGACCTTGTCTTTAGGATCGTTTACACAAGATAAATCATCGTCCTAATCATAAATATCATCTCAATCATAATCAGCATCTTAGTGGGAAAGAGGAAGATGAAGATGGTTTGCACCTTAATTTGTATTTCAAATAGGAAATGGTTTATTTTGCGTCCAAAGGAAATTGAGTGTTTAAATTAACCGAGAAACGCTTTTCTATTGTTGTTATCCTTGTTGATAGTTGAGATAAATTACAAGCTAAATTGTGATCAAACCAAGGTAAAAGGCATAATTTACAAAATGTAAATAATGATTTATTAGAGTCTCAACAATTGACTTCACTTTTTTCAATGTAAGGCCCAACGCTAGTCTAACTGCTAGTCAAACAATGTAAATGATCAAGAAACATTTTTCGCTCGCAACAAATTAAGATGTCATTGAGTCCATTTTTTGTCAATGTTGACTTTCCTGTTTATCAGATTTTAACTGAACTAATATTGAATCACAATTTTTTACGTAAACTTTTCAGCTACCAATTGGTAATGTTGACTTATTATCTGATGAAACCTTCATTTATCACTTGGCTCTACTTTTGGTTGAAATAATGTTACTGAATCACTTGGACATGGAAATATTATAACAATAAATTACATAAATAAATATATATCTATATGATAGTGACCTTACAAGTAACCTTAAAGGTTAGTGAAAAAAGATGAACTTGGTTGAGTTTTGCAAGTGAAAGTGATAAAGTTAAGGTTATCAAAAACAGACGCTTTATTAGGTTAGGTATTACACATATTGTAGCAACTTTACCAGGTTTGTTTTTTGCTTGCAAGTCAGCAAAAAATAAACCATTAGATGAGTAGAGATCATCATCATCATCATCGCCATCAATATCACCATCATTACAGTTCTGTGTAAGTGAACAACCGTCTTGACAATAAAGAAGGGAATGTTATATATTTATGGGTTATGCCATTTGAATGATTACATGTAATCATTATCGTTTTTTGCATTCACATTTGTATATATATTCAGTTGACTTTGATATGCACAAAAAAAAATGGTGAAAAGACAAAGGAGGAAATAGTTGAAGTGAGCAGTAAAACATATCAAAAATGGTTGAAAAAAAGGAGAAACAGCAATGAGGATAAATACACAGTTAGAGTGGCAATGATGATGGAGTGTGTCGAAAGAGAATAGAGAGGGTTCATTGAATGAGTCCAATCCCTTTTCTTGGGTTACCGAAAAAATGGCTTGAAAATAATATTGGGATAGTTGATGAAAACGGATGCAGCCAATGGTCACTTTGGGCGATAGACTTTCCTTCTTTCCTTCTTTTCTTTCTTTTCCCAGTCTTTGGACTTCTCTAACGGTTAATAGTATGGAAAGGGGAAAAATGAGTTTCACTTTGGGGTTATCAGCTTCATTTGGACATCATTCAATACATAAAATATGTTATTACGATTGTTTTCGGCCAAAGAGAAAGGATAACTTTTCTGTTTCTTTTGCTTTTCTTCCTCCTCTTCCTGCTTCCATTTTTTTGTTGATTGCTTGTCCTTCGATTCTTTTTTCACATTTTTACTCTTTACAATGACCATCCTTTGACCGATTGCCAAAATTCAACTCATCCAATATCAGTACAATCTGAGGAATTAGCCCATTCACTGCTGTACATTTTAAGTGACACAAAGTGAGTCGAGGTCAGCTAAAGGAGAGAAGTAGAGGGTAAAAGAATGGGTTGAAATAAAGAGTTTTGGGGAAAGAACAGTTTGGATGAGGAAAGGTAAAGGTAAAGGGAGATGTGTAGGGGTTAGTTTTTGTAGTGGACACAACAACAAAAACAACATCTGCCTAACCGTTTCAAGCTGTGCGCATTAATAACATTCTTAACCATATACACGATATTATTATGGAGAGAGTGAGTGAGAGATGGAGAGAGGGTTCAAATTTTGGATAAAAAGTGAGGTACCGTTAATATGAGGTGAAGGGTACAATAAGTGAGTTTGTTATTAGTGAGAGAGACGGAGAGAGGAAGACGTGAAGGATAAAGAAAAGTAGAGAGTAAGAAAAGTGAGGGAGGAAGATAATAAAAGGAGAGAGTTAAAGAGTCCAGAAAAGATGAAAGGATGAGGGAATAGATGATGTGTTTGTGACTCAACTCAATCATGTTTTTGTCTGTGAAGTCTCGCGTTCCATTTATTTATATTAAATCAGTTCTTACAATGGATCAACCGACGGCTGTCGATTCAATGGTTTCAGTTATAATGAGATGACCATCGCCATGTCCTCCTCCTACTCTTTCTAACTCCTCCACACGATCAGTTATACTTTCTCTAACACTTCTCTTTGCCCTTTCGGTTTTACTTGGCTTTCAGTTTTTTTTCCTGGTAAATAAGTTTAGCTTGTTTCCACTTCTCCTCTTTTATCCTCAAAATGGACCCCTTCTTTCCATATATCACTTTCCCTTTCAACCCAAAGAGAGAGATTATTTACCAGCTCCAGACAGACTGTGGACATTGTTTACTACAAGATAAGTGATGATATCAAATACGATGAGGTCATTTCTTTTTGTACACACAGTAAAAAACGATGGTCAAATGAAGATGACATAATAATGATGAAAAGTCAGTTTTAATTGCTGGACTCGTCATTTTTGCATAATGTTTGCACAATTCTCAATAATAATCCATCTTGAAGTAGTCATCATATGACACCTTTTGCAGAAGAGAAAAATCCTTCAATCTTTGTAACACTTTGAAGCTTGACCATAAGAGAAAAAAATTAGATGGACATCATAACAGCTGCATATAGGTTAGACCGATACTTGAATCATCTTGTAACATAGAGAATGAGAAGAGATTATGAACTGTTCTCTAACAAGAAATCCAAACACAAAGCAGCTTCAGTTAAAGAGATGAGGTAATTCACGTTTCCATAGCTTCACCTTTTGATTGAAGTATCGGCATCGTTTTAAAAAATTTAGTGGCCATCGACTTTGAAAATGAGATGTGCTTTAACAGACTGACATCATCCATTGGAGTGCCTCCTTGCTTCTCAATCATGATAATTTTTTCAGTTGCAACGTCAAATACTATAGATATTAGACCAGTTGCTAATTGTTCCTCATCACGATTTGGGTCTACAAGAACATTACCATTTGACATCAATGCAGCGGTTATGCTGATTGGAAACTTCAGCACGTTTAATCGCTTATATTCAGCATTGTTTCTGCTAGGTTTGCTTGTCGGTTGAGGGTGTAAATTTTCGTCACATATACTCTTGTAATCGGGAAATTTTAGTGAATTAATGGCCCCCAGAAAAGCTATTATGAAGGCATCAAGAACATTACCATCATTATTGAGACATATCAGTTCAATGTTTAGAGTTAAATATTGCCTTTCACCATCCTCATCTTCACAAATCAATGGTTTATGGTCAAATAAAACATTACCCTTGATTAGCTTAACCAGCAAACTGTTTATTTCTTCTCGTTCTCCTTTATCTTCATCCAGTGGATGTAGAGCTATTTCCAAGTCAATCAAATCACTATAATTAACGGATTCAAGAGCTTTCACATCTTCATTTAGAGTAACTTTGATACCACACATTACAGTAGTACTTCCTATCTTGACAACAATGGATGAATCGGCTGTTTCAATCGAGTCAATATTCACTAATAAATCACGAAATTCATTAAATTTTCGTCCATCCACTCTGATTCCTTTGCTGAAGAAATGTTCATGATGAATTTTCAATAACTCCATGGTGTAAACGAAATTAAAAGTAATATTTAACAAAAAAAGAGACCACAGTGATTCTAATAGCAATTGAATACTAAACAGAGCAAAATTCAAATTTAAAAAAAATAGGGACTGTGTAAGAATTAGAAAAAGACAGTGTTAAATTAACACTGTTAATATGAAATTCTAGCTTCTATTAATTTCACCCTTACTTTTTCAAATTATTTTCCATTAATATCATGTCCTGATAGTTCATGGAGTTACAACTTGATCAGGAAGCTATGCTATCTGAGGTGAGTCATTAGAAATAACCTTGAGTTTAGAATTTTATAATCATTTTTGACCAATTTCAGCATGTATTTTGATTGCTATCTTTTATTGATTAGACTCAATCGTTATACTTATAAGGGTTTATTCAATTAATATCATGCTTATATTGATTAATTTTTAAAAGCACTACATAACGTTATTGAAAGAATTTTTAATTTCATTTTCAATTCTTTATTTGAATTCAGAAATATCTATTTCCATAATAATGAATTTGTAATTCATGTAGTGATACTCAGCAATCAGCATAACCCTTTTAATTACGAGTGCATAACAAGGTCTTTTTGTTTGAGAATATTAACCCTTTCTTTCAGAGTATTTCAAATAAACATTCACATTCAAAAATATTGAGATATACTCAGTCTGGTTGGGAAACTAAGATTTTATTTGAAAACACACTTTACTGGATAAATGATAATCTTCACCAACAAGAGATTCTGAATTAGTTTAGGTTTATTCCAAAGTAGATACTAAACTTACAGATGCTCTGGAAAATCAGATTACGATATTTTTTCTATTGTTAAAGAAAAATGAAATTAATTCTCTTTAGTCCCTCGCTGATTAAGACGAGCTTAAAATATCATTATATAAAAAGTCTTTTTTTATTGACTTTCTAATTGTTTCAACATCAAGTGGACAATCTGGGTGAGTTTAATTAAGGCTTTGATTCTCAATTGAATCTGATACTTTCTTAATAATCATCACCTCGACTAACAACTTCTTTACAAGTTGGTCTCAAAATGATTGTGTGTTCAAATTGGGCAGTATAACTTTTCTTGATATCAAAAAGTGGAGGATATGGAGAAACAATTCCCTTTTGGCATAAATCATTGAGAGCAAGAAGATATTTGCTTTGGCCCAATCGGTCTAACCAACGACGACAAAAAGCTAATGTACCAAAATTTTGATTAATTACATTTAAAAGTTGTTTCGACTTAGTTGATCTGAAATAGAGAAGAAGAATTTAATGTTAGAAAAAAATAAAAACCAGGTAGAAATCAAACAAACCTTAACGGGACATGAACGACATCGAAATTTTTCATATAATGAGAACAATCTTGATCATCATGGACATAACCACGACCTGTGCTACCAAATGTTTCGATGGCATAAACTTCTCCTTCCTAAAATATTTTAATTGAGGATAATGCAAATTTAATTAAATAGGTAATTGACTCTAACATCCAATTGCGAATGTGACTTCTCACCTCCATAACAGTTTGGTCACCTCCTTTTACAATTGGAACAGTTTTACCGGCGTGTATTCTGTAAGGTCCAATGGAATGGCCATTCAGATTACGAATTGCTTTAACTATAGAGATTCAACACAAATAAAATTGCTTTAGAATCCAGAATAAAGAATTTGAATTCAAAATATCCTTACCTGGATAAACTTTCCCATCTATTTCTACTTCGTAAGATTCCATTACTTCTTGAATCTGTTCACCAATATCACAAAGACGTACATCTATTCCAGCAGCTTTGATTCCAGTGTTGGTTGATTCACGAACAGCTTCTAAAAGCTTATCATACTTTTCATTAAAAGTCAACGTAAAGGCACAGTCAATAATCCTTCCATTAATATGAGTACCGAAGTCAATTTTACAAACATCATCGTACTCGAAAACTGTATTATCACCACCATTAGGAGTGTAATGAGCAGCACAGTGGTTCAATGAACAGCCGGTTGGAAAGGCAAGTCCAGCTTCTAAGCCTTTCTCATCAATTAGTTTACGAGCAATACCTTCTAAAGTTTCACTTTTTACAACAAAATACAGATATTCGAGTTAGATGTGTTCAACTTGAGAAACCAGTGCACAATTCTTACCATATGTCAATCATTTTCATTCCTGGCTTGATAAAGTCTCTAATGTATTTACGAGTTTGTCGATGAGCTTCAGCAGCTTGTCTTAATTCTTTGTACATGTCAATATTGGCAGCGTCCAAGGCTTTCTTTTCAGCACTGCTTGTACGATCAATTGCTGTGCGACTGTTTAAAGAAAATTTAAATCACAATTTTAGCATGTATTATATAATGAGAAAAAAAGTCTTAGCTCTACTAACTTGTCATAATCTACTTTGGGATAGTCCATGATTTCACCAATCGGATAATTTCCATCGGCAAATATTTGATTAATAGGAATGGATGGAGGATCAGTTTGTTTATTCACATCTCCTTCAGTTTTTTTCTTAGCACTAGAACTCTTTTTTTTCTTTTTCTTCTTCCCTGTGGTACCCGAATTTGGTGGCTGATTGTTTTCTGGTTGTTCATTGTTACCATCCTGTTGTTCATCCTGTTCGTTGTTTTGTTCGGTAGTATCGATCTCATCAACTTCTTTCACTACGGCTATAAGTAAAGATTTCTTTTAAATAAGCATACTTTCTAAATTAATCACATTATACTGACCTTTCTTTTTGGACTTCTTTTTCTTCTGTTTCTTACCGGGTTCACAGCTATTCGAAACGTTTTCAATTTCTTCTAATGTTTTATCATCTACCTCGGGTTGTGTTGTAGCTTCCAAAGCCATGATGCTAGATGAAAAAAATGACAGTTGAACAAAGACTTTGAAAATGACGCCAGTCTTTAACGACAATCACATATCTTTTTTTACGGACAAATCAATAAAATATAAACTTACCTTAAATGAGATGAGATTTTAAGAATTAAAGTTAACTAATGAGAAATGAGAAAAATAATATTAAAAATGCTTTCTCTTTTTTTCAGCAGAGGTTTAAATCGCTTGTGTAGACATCTTTCTTGTTGTTTTCCTTCCAATGTTCGCGGTAAATACAAATTTATTATACAACTCCAACATCAGGTAAATGTATTTCCAATGTTTTTTATTGATAAAAAAGCACAAATAAATTTCAAATAATCGACCTATCCTGGTTGATTGTGTTTCCCTTTGATTAATATCATAGGTTTTGACTATAATTATTTTTTATTAATTCACCAATTGCAGGAAATTAATCAAATCAGTATTTGAAGTATTTGGACTCAATTTGAATTAACTTGTTCCTTATGGACAAAAACTTTGACTCTCAAGTTGGGACTTCATGGGTTTTTAAGAGCATAAAAACTGAGTCTATTACTGCTATCAAATATTTCTCAGATCGCCAGTTTTCTGGAAAATCGAGATCGGAGTTGAAACTTGGATCGCCTTTTTCAGATGGAAGCAGATTTTTTTATGAAACTCATTTATTGGCACTTTTGATGGTCAACCAGAAATAAACTCATTACATGAAATAAAAGTTTCTGTTTTTGTAAAAAAACCACTTGGATTTTCAGTCAAACTGACCTAAACCTATTTTTCGATAGGAATTGTCGCTACACAGCAACGATCAAAAACTTTTTATATTACTGTATTTAATAATGAATATTTTTCTAACACATCATAAGCTTTGTGTTTGAATGTCATTTACCTTTGATCTTGAATCATCAAATATTTCAAAGTATTGTAATATGTAAGCACAAAATTCAATTGAAGAGAAATAAAATTGAATAAAAAATCGATAATATCATTTCTTTCATTGGTATCAATCTATTGCTCGACTTGTGGTGACTTATGAATTGCTAATACATAATAGTGTTTAAATTGATACAAAATAATTTAGCAAAAGGAAAAGTAATTTATAAATTTTGTTGTCAGAAAAGCAATCAAAGTAGATTAAACCAAAGCTAAAGTTAAATTAGCAGTTTCCTAAATTAAGTGAATCTCAAGGCTGTAACTCTGTCTGTTTTGAATAGATTCATCTTATTTTCACTCTCAGGCTGGACAATTAAATCTAATTGAATTACTTGCATTAATAATGTTATTAAATAGTTATAAGAGCTTTTACTTAAAATTAAATATTCACATTTAAATATGATATTTCGGGTGAAAAAAGGGAAGAAAATGACAAAGAGAATGTAATATTTGAAAATGAAAACAAAATTCTGGTCTATTCATTTCCTTTTCTCACTCCATCATCTTTATCCTCATGTTGCTCACTTTCATCCATTCCTCAAATCTTTTCATTTAGTCAGTCTCATTTCAAATTGTATGTCTTCAGTAACCTTAAATCTGTATAAAGTGTAACATGATGGAATCAACATCTGATAACAAATCTTCCAATGAAGTGAATGTTCCATTGACTAATGAAAATACTCCAGTTGAATCAGATTCAGGTTACCGTAAGCGTGAACAATGGGCCAACAAGTTTGAATTCATCGCCTCATGTATGGCTTTCTCCATTGGTTTGGGTAATGTTTGGCGATTCCCTTATTTGTGCTTTAAAAATGGTGGAGGTAAGATTATCTTTTTTGCCTTATTGGGTTTAATTTGGGTTCATCCATTACTGTCATCAATATATATCGTGCAATGGTATACATTTGGGAGTTTTGTTGGATTGTTGAAAACGCAACCAGAAAGGTAAAGATTGGGTTAAAAGCTGGCAAACTGTTGTTTCTAGGTTATTTACCCAATCTTCAAGTAACATGTTGTTGATCTTGATTTCAATAAAATTTAAAAAAGTATTTTTTGTCAAAGCTTGTTCATCAAGTTGTTACCCACAAATAAACCTGGAACCAGTCCAAAAGTGAAGACATAGGATAAAAATGATGTAATTGTGGGTAAACAACAAACGTGAAACCGTAACTGAATAGCTAACATGGGAAAAAAGTATTTTCCGAGCTTCACATGTAGTTGTTTCCAATTTTAGTTCTGCATCTAGAATCTATTGTTATTCAATGTTTCAGTCAACCCTGATTTGCAAATGAAAAGGTCTCAAGTAATTTTAAACATTTTCTTGAACAACATTGAACTTGAAATTGTTTGAAATGCTTTTTGAGTCTGATTTTTCTTAATCAAATTCAATTTGTATCAAAGATCGTCTCAAGTCTCAGACACTTTAATGGATTTGTGGATAAAGAAAAAGGATGAAGAGAGAACTCGATATTTTTCATTAAAATGATAGAAATCATTGATTGAGGAAATGGCCAATTGAATTTCACGGTGTAATGTGTTAGTGATTTGTCGCTGATAAAAAGGAAATTGTCTTCTTTCATTGGGTTCATTCCATAGCTGATTTACACTGAACATTAAAATCATTGATCAAGATTAATGGCATCAGGATTAGCTGCTATTAAACTATTGAATGAGTTCAATAATCAGATTGGTCATATTTAGCTGACATTTCAATAGTTAAATTCAAAACTTTTAGGTTAATAATAACTGAAGGCAATTTATCATTCAATTCCCACAAGCTTTTCAATTTCACAGATTTCTAAGAATGATGATGATAGATCCATTTTCGAAATATCGAGACCCAAACTTTTTTAGTTGAATGGCCAGCATCACGAAAACTGTTTATAAATTGAAAAAAATATTCAGTCTATGATTCGTGCAAACATTTTTTATGCTCAAAAAATAAGTTTCAGACCTTTAACTCTTTTGGTCACGGAGATCGGGCGGTTTGATTGAAAATCGAACTTATGGGTTTTGCAGAAAATAGAAAACTTTATTCCTCAAAATAAGGGCATTTTCTGACTGGGTAGCAGAAGTTAACAAAGGAAAATGAGTTTCATTAAAAAATCAGATCAGACAACTGAGCGCAAGGTGATCGAAGTTTCAACTTGTTGCATTTTCTGGTTTATTTTGAGTACATTCCCAGCAAGTTAACCAGATAACAAAAAGTCTCTCTTCTTTGTCTTGGCTATTTAAGCTTTTGGACTTCATGAAAACCGTTCCGTTTCTGCTAATTTACTAATTATAATAATAATCCCTTTATTACAACGCTGTGTTAGATGTCGAACTGTTATTTCATTCTTGGCATTGACGATATCGTAAAACAATATTAGAAACGCAAAATTTCCTAAAGTTAGTCTCTCAATGGGACCAAGATTATCAACGCTTAGCGTTAGCCATCATTAAAGAAACCTAATTGTCCTAAAATACTGCTAAAATCATTCATTTTTCATTCAAAAGCAATATTTTCAATCATAAATCAATGCATTTGTTGCTAGAAAGACACAATAAACACATTTGTAACATTTATGCACCAATCTTGTGAACAAAGTGACCAAAAACGGGTAAAAATTGATTTCTTGCAAAATTAAACTCTGTAAGTTTGTAAAGACATAAAAACTATGTCCAGTAGTGCTATTAAATAATTTCTCCAATGAATAGTTTTCGACTAAATTGAGGTCAAAGATGAAACTTCGATCGCCTTTTGTACATTTTTCTGGCCAAATTTTTTTCAATGAAAACATTTAAATGATGTAATTTTTGATGCCCAACCAGGAGATGTATTTATTTTGAGCAATAAAGTTTTAAATTTTCTGCAAAACCCATAAGTTCGATTTTCAATCAAACCGCCCGATCTCCGTGACCAAAAGAGTTAAAGGTCTGAAACTTATTTTTTGTGCATAAAAAATGTTTACACAAACCAGGGATTTAATAATTTTCTCAATTTATAAATAGTTCTCGCGATACTGGCCATTGACCTGAAAAGTTTGGGTCTCGATATTTCGAAAACGGCATTACTTACAATCACCATTCTTTGACCAAACATTAGGTTTTATCATAGGCTGTAATATAATATTAAAAAATAACATTAAAAATTTAGTTAAGTCATTTAATAGTGATTTGTGTTTGAGTACCCAATTTACTTTATCAACCAAGTCTAAAATCTGGTAACATGGATACACCAATGCTGTAACTTGTTTTGTAGCATCTTGAGTAATTTAAAATTTCATAATATTATAGCCCATGATAAAATCTAATATTTGCTCGAAGAATGGTGATTGTAAGTAATGCCGTTTTCGAAATATCGAGACCCAAACTTTTCAGGTCAATGGCCAGTATCGCGAGAACTATTTATAAATTGAGAAAATTATTAAATCCCTGGTTTGTGTAAACATTTTTTATGCACAAAAAATAAGTTTCAGACCTTTAACTGTTTTGGTCACGGAGATCGGGCGGTTTGATTGAAAATCGAACTTATGGGTTTTGCAGAAAATTTAAAACTTTATTGCTCAAAATAAATACATCTCCTGGTTGGGCATCAAAAATTACATCATTTAAATGGTTTTAATGAAAAAAATCTGTGCAGACAAATGTACAAAAGGAGATCGAAGTTTCATCTTTGACCTCGATTTAGTCGAAAACTATTCATCGGAGAAATTATTTAATAGTACTACTGGACTCAGTTTTTATTGCCCTACAAACGCACAGCAAGTCTCAACGCTTGCTCTAAATATACCAGCTTTTGGAAGCCCTCTTTGCAGTACATTTATAATTTTACCAGAAAATTGGTTTATTCAGCAAGAAATGTGTTAAGATGAGTTTATTTTGTTGTTTAAGTTGTTTCTCGTGCATTTAAAACCCAAACATCATAGCCTAAACACGCTAATGGAAATTAATTGTAATGGATTGCATTATATACAATTATAAATTAGTAAAGAGATAAATTGGTGAAAGAAAAAAGATTGTAAGTGATGCCATTCTCGAAATATCGAGTCTCAAAGTTTTAAGACCAATGGCCAAAATCAAGAAAACTGTTAACAAATTGATAAAAGTATTTAATCCATAATATGTACTAACAACTTTTATGGACAAATATCAAGTTTAAGCTCTTTAACTCTTATGGTCACAGAAATCGGTCGGTTTAACTGACAATCGACCTAACCTGTTTTGCAGAAAAAGAAAAGTTTTATTACTCGAAACAAGTGCATTTTATTGTTGATCATCAAAATTTACATCAGTTAAATGCAGTTTCATGAAATAATCTGCTTCCATAATTGTACAAAACACGATCAAAGTTGCAAGATCAATCTCAAAGTTTTCTGTTTTTGTTAGAGATTTAATGAATTGTTTAATTTGCTTTCATTCACTTAGGTGCTTTTTTTATACCTTATTTGATATGTTTAATCGCCGGTGGAGTACCGATCTATTTTATGGAAGTGGCCATCGGTCAATATTGGCAGGAAGGTGGAATAACAGTTTGGCAAAAGATTTGTCCCTTACTTAAAGGTAAAATCAGCTGCTCAGTTGTTTAAGAAATTAATTTTTGCCTTTGTTATTTCTCATATTTCAGGAATTGGATATGGAACCTCAATCATCAGTTTCATCTTGAATATCTATTACATTGTAATATTGGCTTGGGCCTTACTTTACCTGTATTATTCGTTCTCTCCAGTGCTTCCCTGGGCAACATGTAACAATCCATGGAATACTCCTAATTGCTTCACAGGCAATTCAGTCGACGCCGTTGTTCGAAATGCGTCTGGAGTAACTAAAGATGCTGCAGTTGAGTTCTGGGAAAGAGAGATTCTTCAAGTAAGTATTTGATTAATTTGATTTACTTTTTTCCGGACGATTTTTCTAGTCTCTGCCAGTTCACTGTTTATGAAGACAAAGCTCGATCAGATTTATCTATAAGAGTAAAAGTACGAAATATTTTTGTAGATTTTATTCTTTCGAAACTATTTCCCAAGCTTCGATCAGTACTCTACATTGTAAATATATTGTTTAAATTGAGGTTTTAGTTGAAATCAAATGATCGAAGCTTACTTTTAAACCTCTAAAATGTCCGATATTGCTATAATCTTGTTTAAAGGTATTAAATTATACATGATAAGATCTCGGATGGGATCAACGCTGTGGATGGGTTACAACCGAAACTGGTTATTTCTTTGGCGGTCGCTTGGATTCTGTGCTTCTTCTGTATCTGGCGAGGAATCAAATCCACCGGCAAATCAGCATATGTGACTGCGCTTTTCCCTTACGTTATGTTGGTAATCCTTTTCATAAGAGGAATAACACTGCCTGGTGCTGGTAAAGGAATCACATTTTATATGAAACCCGAATTTGACAAATTAATGAAGGTTCAGGTAAATTGAGAAATTTTTTCTATTTTCCTGTTTTTCTATTCAATAATTCTAAATCAATCTCACTATTTGTCAAGGTTTGGATCGATGCTGGAACTCAAATATTTTTTTCATATGCAATTGCTCTTGGAACCATGACTGCTCTTGGAAGTTATAATGATTTCCATAATAATTTCTACCAGTAAGTGAAATTCCGAACAAGCTGTACCATCGAAATTTGTTCAATTAATTACTCAATTCTGTTTTTTCTTTCAGTCAACTCTTCTTTGTTTGTTTCATGAATAGTGGAACATCCATTTTTGCTGGTTTTGCAATATTTTCAGTTCTCGGGTTCATGGCTCACCAACAAGGCGTTAATGTTGCCGATGTTGCCGATAAAGGTAAGTCGATTCATTGTTAGCAATAAATAAACTAATATGATGCTCTGGTAATATCTCAACAGGACCTGGTCTAGCATTCATAGCTTATCCTAAAGGAGTTTCAGTTATGCCTGGAGCACCAATTTGGGCAGTCCTTTTCTTTCTAATGATTATACTTTTGGGGCTTGGAAGTCAGGTAATTAAGATTGAGATTAGTTTTTATCGCTAAATTGAAATATTTATTATTGAATTATTTCAACAGTTTGTAGCAGTTGAAGGTTTTGTGACTGCCATTGTTGACTTGTATCCACAATTTTTACGGGTTGGACGTCGACGTGAATATTTCATCTCATTCATTTGTTTTATATCATTCATACTTGGCCTTTCAATGGTAACACGAGGAGGAATGTATGTCTTCCAACTTTTCGACTTTTATGGTGCATCGGGAATGTGCTTGTTATGGATGTCATTCTTCGAATGCATCACAATTGCTTGGCTATATGGCGCTGATCGTTTCAGGAAAAACATCAAAGAAATGGTTGGAATGGAAATTTCAATTTGGTTCATTTGGTGTTGGAAATATTTAACTCCTTTATTAACTGCAGCCATTTTCATTGTTTCAATTTTTCTCCTCGAACCTATCAAGTAATCTTATGGCAGAATCTGGTGAAAGAGGAGATGAAATCACTACGAGATCATTTAGCCTGACTTATAATGAATCAAAAATCCGTAAATTTAGTAAACATATGATCTGGTCGCTATGATTTCACCTCCTCTCTACTTCGATTAGTTTGTACAAATCTTACATTCTTTTTTTGCTTTGCTACAGATATAACAATACTTATGTATACCCAAGTTGGGCCATAGCATTTGGCTGGTGTTTATCTTTGAGCTCAATGGTTGCTATTCCAGTTTACATAATTTACGCTCTCATTGTGACTCCAGGAGATTCGCTCAAAAAGGTTGGTTAAACATTATTACTTACTATGAATTTTGCTAATAATTAATTGCTATTTTCTTTTCTCTTCGACAGAAACTTGAGATATTAATGAAAAGGTCGCCATCGTCGTTCCTTGAAGATAAGATGAGAATGGCATTATCCAGTGAACATAATGATGCAAAGCATAAAGTAGATGACATAACGATTAGTCAATTATAGATAATTTAGATTCTCTTTCTGTTAATTAAATTACAGAAGAGTGAAACCTAACTTGATAGAATTAAATTTCTACAATTAGTTACAGAATATGCAAAGATATTCCCATTTTCATTCCTGATTAATCCTAAAAATATTCTTAATAATTCATTGAATGCAAACCGAATGACCAGTTTTTAATAAAATCAGATTTTTTTTCATAAAAATAACATTTTATTAAGGTACAATTTTTTCATTTCAATCAATACACGGACCATCTTTAGCAATACACTGGTAGCTGCACTTAACGCAACTTTAGGGTCAATTTTCGTCATAGTCGCCATCTATTAGGTACCCAAGGTACCAATGCGGTCGAACTTTATTTTGTTAAAGTTCAATGTTCTAATTTAATTTAATTTTCTAGTTTTCATTGATTTGAGTGTAGTTTCATCAATAATTCAATGTCTAAGTTAAATTTTTCAGCTAAATTAAAGATTTTGGAGGAACTGAAGACTAACAAAGGTTCTGACTTAGCAATAAAGTACAATGTTCATAGATCAACAATATCAAGAATAAAAAATGACAAAAGGCTGCTCGGGTTAAGTGATGGTAATTTAATTAAACGTCGATGTAGGTTCTATAATCAAGATGTTTATCGTGAAATTGACGATGAAATTAAAGAATTTGTTGAAAAATGTAACACCAAAGGATTTCCAGCCAGCAGAAGAATTATTCAACAAAAGGCAAAACAATTAGCAACAATCAAAGGTATCAACAATTTCAAAGCAAGTAATAGCTGGTTCAAGAAGATGAAGAAGAGAATTGAATTTAATTATAATAAACCGAGAGGAGAGTCTAAATCAGTTGATCTCGAGGAAATAGATAAATGGAAAAAATCAGAATTGCCATCAATATTGAATGAATATGAAGGTTACGAGATATGGAATTGTGACGAGACCGGATTGCAATATAAATCAATAAGACAATGGTCTTATTTCACCAAAAATGCAAATAAATTTGGAATTAAACTTCCAAAATCAAGAATCTCGATCCTGCTTACTGTTAGTTCGAATGGAGATAAAAAGAAACCATTAATAATCGGGACAAGTGCCAAGCCTCATTCATTCGGTTCAATCTTTCATAACACTGAACAATTAGGCATCGAATATTATTACAACAAGAAAGCATGGATGACAACAGTTATCTTCAATGATTGGCTATTCAAATGGGACTCTGAATTGAATGGAACAGGTAGAAAAATCCTACTGTTATGTGATAATGTTATCACTCATAATGATCAACAATTGAATTTAATTAATATAAAGATGATTAAACTACCAAAGAGGACAACTTCAGTTCTACAACCATTGGACTCTGGAATAATCTCCAATTTCAAACATTATTATTATACTAATTTAAATGAATTTTTGATTAATTTAATTAATGTTGATGAAGATATTGAAAAGTTACTAAATTCAATTAATTTACTCCAAGCAATTCGCTGGATAGTCGAGGCTTGGAACCAAGTTAAACGAGAAACTGTCATTAATTGTTTTCGTAAATGTCTTTAGCCTCTGAACAATAAATACCCGAGATGGCGACACCTAAAAATTGCGTTAAGTGTAACCCCATTTTGTTGCGTTAACTGCAGCTACCAGTGTATTTGTTTACAGATTTTTCTATCATTTAATATCAAGTCTATTTTATCAGATTTTTTTAGTCAAATTTGTAATTCTTATAGTTTTCTGAGTTTCAATCCATAAGTTATCTGTTGGTCGAGGAGTTTCTTATCAGTCAATTCCGAAGACTCGCTTAGAACAGAGTGAATTTTTCTTTACTCCAGCCTCAAGATTTTTTCAGCTAAAATTTACATTCATAAAAAGGTCATTCAATGCTGGTCTTCAAATGTACCAAATAAAGATCGCAATAATTTAATAATTTTGATTAAAATCAGTCCAATCCAATGATAAGATAATTTTCTTCAACGGTCCCTCATCACGTGGTTTGGTCTCTATTTTTTGTGATGAAAGACTTCACTTTTTACTTGGCATTTGAAGCAACAAGCTTTGCCTTTGTCCGAAAACCATCTATTTTGATCATTGTTTAATTGTTATCGTTTACAGTATTACAATTTAGTACAAGACTTTGTTTATTACAATATACTACAGTATATTCTGAAAGAAATAACTAACAAGCTTCTCTAAAATGGTTCGCATCATCGCAAGTTTGGTAAAAGTTCAGAGAAAAAGAGATCGAAAAAGACGGGTATTTATGTTTATTGAATAATAAGTTTAACCGTAATTATCCTAAATTTTGTTCAATTTTAATCTAATTTAATTATTTTCCTTTGTCTCACAGGCACTCCAAATTAAAGTATTAAAGTTGATAAGACTACACAGAATGATGGATGAAATCCAAGCAACACTGGAATGGACAAGAGCCAATCGTAATCGTAATTAATTACAAGTAGAGGACAGAAATCAACTATTACTAAGTGTCAGGATAGAAAAAGCAGAACTTCAAATTAATTATTGTAAGCAATTCGACCCTGTTTCATTTTTATCGATAAACCATTTCTTGGTATTGAAACAAGGCTTGGACTCTCAATATTACCTAGCATATAAGGTCACAACAAGCTTTTAAGTTTATCGATGTAAAATGGATCTAATTTAATCTGAATTAGAATTTTATTCGCCTCTACTATAATTCATGTAATCAATTACTTTAACTTTAGTTGACAGGCTATTTACAAAAGGATTTGTTTGAAGATTACTGTAAGCAAAAAATGTCTTCAAATGTTCATATGAATAAAACTGATAATTTAATTGTAATTTTGCGCTCCAATTCATTTATTATATTTTATTCAACTGGGTTTCCATAAATCGATTCATGAAGCAACCAACATTAAGATTTAAACCGCTGAGTTATTGGTGAACAGATTCAATAATGTAAGATGAGTGTGGTGAGAACCCAGAAATTGGACCATTGTTCACTTTCAGCTATCAAGATAGATTTTGTTGCCAATTTTAATCTCAACAACAATCAGAAACCATTTTAAAAATTATGCCAGCAAATAATTGAAAACAAAAACAATGTCTTTTATGTATCTCTTCAGTATTTATGTGTTCAACTTAAAGCTCAAGTCTCAACCAAAAATGATATGATAAGAAATCTCAATGACCGTATTTCGAAGTCTTTTAATGTAACATCTATAACACTTAGGTATCATGAATCATGACTATTCATCATTACAATATTAATGTCACATTGATGTTTGCCCATACTAAAGACCGCATTATCTGTATCAATCCAGGTTAGAGTTTTTCTTTAACTGTGGTTCCATCTTGAATACAGTAGTTCCTTGAAAGCTGTCGCGACTAGCCATTCAACACAAGTAAAACATTAACTTAACCATGACCACTACTTTTTATTTTACTGTAAAATACCTTTATTGTTGAAAGTATTTACTCTCAAATTTACAATTATTACAAAGAGTTTCACTGCAAAGTGAATTTGGAGTAACAACATTACCAGGTGAGATTTTGTTCAGCATGAGAACACCAATGTTTCATCCTTCTAACCTCTCTATCATCTTGTTTACTTGGGAGAGATTAAAAATTGATACTTGGAGTCCTACTTGAGATATCTGTAAATATAAATAAACAATTTAAATTTTGAAACATTTCTGACTTAAAACATTTGTATGGCAGGGGAAAATGGGAAAAGGTTTCATATGCCAAATGAGTTGAATATAGTATGAAACGCCGATAGCTAATGGATTCATTCACTCCTAATCTGTCTAACGCCAAAATTGAATATGCTTATGATGTACCTAATGTTTCCTTTTTATGCTCCTCGACATGTTTCTACTAGTTCTGAAAATTTTGAGTCAATCTGATAATCCAATTCATAGGAATTGCCGGTTGAACCTTTTCCCATTTTTACTTGCCATCTGTTATACCTACTTTGCTGACCAATCGGTTTTACCAGTCACGTTGGCCGCTAAAGGATAAGATCGAGATGCTGCTTGACTTTGATTTGAATTGAGCGAGATAATTGACACTCTTCGAACTGGATTATTGGCACCTATGAGAAAACAAAGGCAAGAAAATTATTTCAAAAATTAATCAAAACTGAAGATAAAAACCAATTTCAGTGCAACTAAATGACTAACCTCCTCGAAAGGCTGAATTTTTAGTATTTTGTCCAGCTATGTACCTTGATCTGGTTAAATATTGGTCTTTCAGTGATATTCCTGAACTGCGTATTGACTGTGAACTCATTTGATTTGAATGTTCAAGGCTCGAGGTAAGAGGTGAATCTGGTCGTTCAACTGGAGCTTCCTTAAGTCGCCCAAGCCCTGAGTTTCCTTGATTAGGTAAGTTTCGCCTTCCTCCTCCATCGGCTCCATCATCATAATCACGAATGATCCCTTTATCACTATTATTATTATTATCCCACTTATTAGATGACTTGAAATAATTAGACGATCTATTTGATGACCTTACACTGGACGATGTAATCTGTTGAACTCCTAATTTTTGGTTAACCTGAAAATAGCTATAACGTAAACTATGGGAAACTGTTGGCCGCTTTGATGAGTTCCACTTTAACATATCAACCAACAAATCAATTGCTCCTGAACTAGCATTAGGTATTGCTGATTCCAAACTTATCGGACTCATCAGGGGAAATTTAAAGTTCATCGTCGAGGCCAATTGGTAACCTTCCATCCAGTCACGCTGTGTAAAAAGATATAAAAATAAATTAGAAAAGGGTTTAACAATTGAAATTGGAAGGCAAAAAAAGTACATTTAAAACCAAGTAAATGCTCAACTCATAAGATTCAAAGTAAAAGAAAGTTACCAAATTGGTATTTAATCGATTATCAATTGATTACTTGATTCAATTGTGAATCGTATGATCATAGATCATATAAACCAGCTTTCGTGTCGATTGATCATTCAAGTTTCCCTGTTTCCCTGTGTGATGGTTAATCTATTTTTTTCATGCGTTTCTATCTAAAGATGAAATTGTCTTTCAACAAAATTTCAACTTGTAGCTCAAGAAGATACAATATTTTGATTCCTTTTTTTTCATTTTCATGTTTTATCGATATTAACTGTTAATATTACAATATTGATCCAAGAGTCAGTTTTACCAATTCAATTTGTCTTGTTCAATTTCAAACAAACTGGAAATTTGGGAAAATTATAAAAATTGTTTAAAATAATAACAGTAATTAACTATGAATATTGGCTGTTTGTTATCAGCAAGGGCTGTTGAATTAATCGTTGAACAATCTTTTCCGTTGTCTATTCTCATGGATTGAGGTCACTTCACCACTTTGGACAATTGGGTTTCAATCTGCAAGCTTTTCACTTTGAATGATATCATGAAACAGAGTTGAACTAATGAGTTATGCTTGGCTTAATTTAAACTCTTTTACCAGTCTATTTTGATCATCAATTAATTCATGTACTTGTTCATGTACCTTTATTATAATACTACTTATTATGTGTTTAATAACTGGAGATGTTGACCTTCATCGAAACAATCAGCTAATATTAAATCATCTGATCGATATTGTTATTCAACAAGGTCAGCTAATTGTTTGACTGAATTAAATGGACAAAAATCTTATATAATCTTCTGGTGACCCTTTGGATGAGATGATTTACATAATTGACATTGAATTTGTATCTAATTGAATATTTGGCAAAGGTGAATATAAAACCATTGAGAATTAAATATAAATCAATTTCAACTGTTAAATGACAAGATCATTGAATCATATTCAAACATGAATATAATATCTAATAGCTAATATTAGCTGAACAATATGACTTGAATATGCCCTTACAAGTAGGAAAATCATCATCAATTCATCAATTTATTAGTTCATCAGAACTTGGATCCACATATATATTGGGTATCTAGCAAAGTTGCTTCTGTTTTGTTCATCTAATGCCTTAATATTGACAGTATGAGACTATGAGTTGGAGTGAACTTAGAACGATAAATATTGAAAATTTCGTACCTTATCTGGTGTTCCAAGGACTGAACATATTCTGAATATTTGATCGATTTCACTTCGACCTGGGAATAAAGGTTGCAGTGAATACAATTCAGCCATAATGCAGCCCACGGCCCAGATATCAATGGGTGAAGAGTAATTGGTTGATCGCAACAAAACCTCTGGCGCTCTGTACCATCGAGTCGACACATAATCAGTATAAGGTGGACGAGATCGTATCTCTCGGGCTAATCCAAAGTCAGCAATCTTGATCAATTCAGGTCCATTACAGAGTAAATTTTCAGGTTTGATATCACGGTGGAAGAATCCATGTTTGTGCATAAAATTGAGTCCCTCCAGTATTTGGTACATTATGTTTCTTATCACAGGTTCAGCAAAAGGTTTTTCCCTGTCAAAGAACAGTAAATTAATTGAATCAGCTCAGATGATTGAAGGAAATTTAAATAAAATTGAAAAATCATGCAAAATCATTAGATAAACTCACCTATCTTTGATCAGTTGATACAGATTTTCTTTCATATATTCAAAGACAAAGTAAAGTATATTATCTTCCCTTATAACCTCTCTTAATTTAACCAAATTTGGATGGCTTAACTTTTGAAGCGACTGTAAATAAAGCAAAAAACAATATTAATATCATCATATTGGTAATAATATTTAGTTAAATTACTTGCAAAAGTAAAATATTATGGTAATTCAAGTGTTAAAAAAATCAAAACACTGCATATTTGTAACAAGGTTTAACCGTAAATCCATTGATAAACAACTGTCCAGCTTCAGCTCCGAATCATTAGTATCTTAATTTTAAACATAACAAACCCAAACCTAAATGATAATTTAGATGAATAGAAATGAAGATTAATAATGAATTAAAAGTATCAAGAAAAATTTAAGCCCTCGAACCTAAACAATACATTTTACAGCTTTGTTTCAACAGAAAAAAAGGTTTGTATTAATATTTAAATTTCCAAAATTCAATTCAAAGGAAACCTATTTTATTGTAATTGCTATTAAGAGAAACCAATGTTAATTTGATTCCTGGGATTATCTTAAATATATGAGCCTAATAGTACTTTGACCAGTTTGTAATTTAAATCAATTCAATTACAATTTAGTCCCTTAAATGATAAATATCCGTTTGAGTCAAAGAGTTACTCTTGGTTAAAGTGAAATCCATGAGATACTCTTTCTTTGTTTAATCAATTTCTGACTCTGCTTATTTTACTCAGGATTATTATTATATTTATGCTCATGTAAATTGTTCATTAATTTGTTGATTAAATAATCATCATTGCCTGATGTTATCATAGTCTTACTTGGTTGAAATGTCATTCATTCACAAGATGCAAGTAATGGGCTTTTGTCTTAGAGTATTTAACCTCAAGTTCAATAAACTTGATGATCAATAACTTGTGAGTAATGAATTAATTTTAATAATATATCGATACTGATCATCATTGAAGACGAATGATACAAAAAATATCAACTTATTTAAGCTAAAATTGAACAATCAATAAATTGGATGATGATCGAATGAAAAATGAAGCTTCAAACCCGGACTTTCAACTTCTGGTTTACGAAAAAAATTCATTGTTTGATTTGACTTGTTTGCTGAGAAGATAATTTAAAATTTAAGCTGAAAAAATGAACAGATAAAGTTCAATACATGGAAATTCATCTATTGATCGAAAATTAATTGATCGCTATTGATGTAAATAATAATTTACAAGTTTAACATAAGAATCTTTTGCATCATTAAACTCAATACACAAAAAAATACCCAAAGAAGCTAAAGATGAAGTTGCGTAGTTAAAATCTGTTTTCATCTTACCCATCACAATCACAATCACAATCACAATTAGTGTGTTGTTTCAATGATCTTAAATCCTTAATAGAAACCATTTTAATATTTGAATATAATCCAGTGAACCAACAGGGAAAATAAATCGAGAATCCAGCGCATCTTTTACAACAAGAACAATACTAAACTCAATCGTTTGTTGTACAATCTAATTTGTCACAATAATCACAATCATTATTAACAGCTACTGTTGAGTTAGATTAACAAATATAAAGCTAACATTGACATGATCGACGTTTGATCAACAATTTAGTGTAAAATCTGGTCCAAGGTTGGATTGATCATTACATATCTGATATCTGATATCAGGTACACAGATCGTATGAAACAATCGATTAATTGACCATCATTGGAAACTCTCCAATTAATAAAATAATTATTATAAAAGGAACGTTGATAAATATCGTGATTTACATTTAAATTGTGAATGAATAATTAACCTCTAAATAGCTAGTGAAAGACAAAACGAATCCAGTTATTAGATCATGAAACAAGAAAAATTAATCAATAACTGTTAACCTTGAAGAGCCAAAATAAACATCCTGATAATTGTCAATAGATTACCAAAGGCCAGTGTTTACAAATGGATAATACAGTTAACAATAGGACTAAATTGATTTAGATCGTGAAAGTGACTTACCTTGACCTCACGAAGATTCATACACTCTTCCCATGAATAGTAGCGTTTCTTCATTCTGTAAACAAATTGATTTCATCAGTATTCATATCATTATTACAGTAATTTCTCGGTTAATGCATAAAAATTAAAAATAGTTTGCTTTAAAATAGGAATCAAACCCTAAATTGTTACACTAAGCTTGAACTCAACAATTAATTTAACAAGACTGGCCTCACTATAAGTCATCAATTATCACCATTGATAAAAATGTTGTACAATTTTATCCCTGGTAAGGTTTGATGGATGAGTCAATTGATTGATTGGGTTGACTCTTAAAAAGCAAAGGTTTACCTAACCATAAATGTAAAATTAATTTTCAGGTTATTTTAGGTGTTTTGGGTTCCATGATGATTTTATTCCAGGAATCAGGATAACAAAGATTAATGATGAATCAACTCACTTTTTAATGGCAACCTTTTCACCAGTGTCTAGTCTTTGAGCAAGTAAAACTGTACCATAAGTACCATCACCAAGTTGACTTAGCATAACATAGCGATTCATTCCCTTAGCAGTTATGATTCCTTCCCGAGTGATTGGTTTACGGGTGACACTTGGAGTAGTTAGTTCAAGGTAAGGTTCAATAAGAGACAACATTTAACTAACAACTAATCTATCAAACTAGACAACAATTAAAACTGTGAAATATAATCCAATTAACGATTCACAAGTGGTCAAAGGGAAATACAGCTTTGAATAGCTTGAAAAACGGTTGAAAGGGCGACATGTTTTTTTTGAGATTAATATCTGATTTAGATGGAATCACAATCAATTATTATCCAATTTACACATTGTCGATCAGATTGCGATCACAAATCAAGGTGCATACACATGTACTTGTACATTTAACCTTTATCCTGGTTGTTACTCTTTTCGGGTTGTTTCTTGGTTAACTGGTACTGTTGTCAAGTGTTGAGTTTTAATGATTTTACTCCATTTAAAGAGAAACAATTTTGTAGAGTTAAATTGAATCAACTGTTATCTTGAATTAATCGTTAACATGCGTACAAACTGAATGCTAGACATAAACTGGTTATCGAAAAGTTGATTTACAATCAGAATTGGGTTTTCCATGGAAACACTGGCAACTCTTTTTGATAACAAAACCGTTATCCATGATGATAATTATGAGAATGATGATAGAAATGAATGAAAGAGAAATGGAAAGTGAAAAGTAAAATAATTTATATTACATTTACTCAGTAGCTTCTGTATTTAGAAAGTTAATGACAATGAGAATCTCTTGCTCGTTTCCATTCCATGAAGATAGTATGGCAACCTGTATTATGGATATTTGTAAATGCAAATAAACAGGTGACTTTCATGGTTACATCCATCAGAATTGGCCATGAAGCAGAGACATTTAAAATCCATCTTGATTCTCGGTCATCGATGATTCAAAGATTTAAAAGCCAATGAAAATTGTAGAGTAATTAATCTAACAAGTCTTACATACATTTAACATCTATCAAATATAAAACAGTTAAAAGTATTTTACAAAATTTAGTAACTAGTTGATATGAATTTGATCAAATTTAAAGTGAAAAATAAAATTAAGTTAATGACCATTGGAGGTAATTTGATTCCTAATTAAGCTTAAAGTGTCATCCTTTTCACTTGATTTTGAACAATATCGGTAAACCAGGTTTATAATTAACAGGATTGCCTGAGAAATGCAAATAAAACAAAAATTAGATTTCAAATTAAACATTTGCTGAAGCTTGCTAACTCACCATGGCGATGTTTGTTGCTACCATAAAATAAGTTGTGACTCGAGCGTCGTATGCTCCAAGAAGCACTCCTCCAACTGAAGGTCCAATTGAATATCTATCCGAACAAGAAAGGTTGATTGTTAATGCTTTTGCTTGAACACAGTACACACCGGTACACATGTAAGTACTTGAAATGCACTCTTTTGTACGTACCCAACGCTAGTACATGACAGAAATGTACTTGTGATAAGACCATATGTTTCAATGCTTTCAAAGAAACCTCTTCGAGTTATCGTATCTTTTTTAATGGAGACAAAACCACACAAGGCTCGACCAGCTTCGCCTATTCCGATGAAAACCAGGGAGAGAATGATTGTCCAAACTTTAGGTTCAATGTTAATTATTGGAATTGGGCCAACAAATAATGCACCGATCAAAGTGATTGGACAGCAAATAAGATTCATCACTTTAGGAGAAACCTGAATTGGTAGAAAAGATTGGGTAAAGTGTGTTTAATACAGTTGATTGGTGATATTTTATGCAGTTCAACTCACTCCTCGATCAACGATCCATCCGATTATTGGACTGGAAATTGCATAGGAAACGCTTTGAGTAACAAAAATTAGACCCAAATAAATGGGACCTAAATTAAATTGTCGGACATGAGGCTCTAATATAACATTCAATAAACCCAAATCCGTGAAAGCAACACAAATGCCTATGAGATCAACCAAAGTTTCAAAGTCAGCCAAAAAGGTGGTTATAGCAACTGGACGTCGTGTTTCTGGTGTATCTGTAGGAAAATAATAAATTTGGAGGTTATAATCAAATTGGGCAATTTAAGAGCGCAAATAGTTTCTCGAAGATTTATAATATATGCCACCAGATCGATTAGAAACTTGAATTAAAAATGAACTGACTTTATCGTTGAAAAGCCTGTTGAGGTTATGCTTCAGAATCACTGTTTAGATTTTTTTAACTCTCCTAATAAATTATAAAATTCAAGTATCTCACCTATTTTTGGAGCAAAATAGTAATTAAGGAATGTCGCTGAAAAAAGAACGAGCCCAAGAACCAAGAATGGAAATCGATATCCACCAATTTGGTAGAGTAAACCTCCAAAAGTTGGACCTAATGTTGATCCAAGAGAGAAGGCGACTTCGAGCAGACCCTGAAATTGTATTAGTTTTTAAATACATCATTGATCACACTTAGTACGTGTTAAGGATGAAACTGAAAAATAACTCACAAAAATTAGTGCGATTCTTTCAGGAAACTGCTTAGCCATGGCTGAATAGCTTGAGGTAAGGTTGGCAGAAACACCGATTCCATCGATAATTCTGATTATGAAGCAGACTGAGATAAAAGTTATTCCATTTGGCAAGTAAATAGTAAATCTGAGGAAGGAAAAAAAAGATTTAATCTAACAATTGATTTAACTGGTGAGATAAATTCCTACCCAAATAAAATGACTGTCAGCCCAGAAACAGCGAGACCAAATTGCATCAAAATATTACATGATATATATGCGACCTGCAGGTTGAATAATCAGTTAATCATTTGAAATCTTTAAAGACAGGTTTAGAAGATAAGAAAACGGTTCCACTTACTAATTTACCAAAAATTGGCGAGGTAAATAAAATGGTAACTTCGAGGATACTAAAGATGAAACCATAAACAGCTGGTGAAGCACCTTTTTCTTCGGCGACTCTTGGGAAGAAAGGCGCTTGAAGTGAGTAACATGCCGCTTCGGCAAAGTTGGCATAACACAGAGCACAAATGAATAAAACTTGATCCCGTCGAGTGAAGATTGATAATCCAGAAACGTTTGAATCTTCTCGGGAATCGCCTTTTGAAGCTTCATAGTCATCACTTGAAATTATTTCATCTGTAATCCTAGGCATTGTGGTGAAAATTGAGTAAAAACTTGATCAAAATTAACGAATAATTTGAAATGGAAATCAATGTGATTGGAAACTTGTGGATGAATTAAATAAAAACATCAGCATTAAATGAAATGAGATGATGCATTTAAAAGGGGAGTAAAAATCCAAGTGTGAAGCGATTTACTGTGAATTATATTTAAATTGAGATTAAAAAGTAACTTAAAGATTTCTCGATTGTTAGGATTTGTAGTTATAGCGATAAAAACAGATTAACTTTCCTAAATGAGTGGACAAATCATTTGAACAGATTGAAAAAAAATATCTGGATTTAAATAACACATAATCACTTTGTTTGCCTGATAAAGAAACTTACGGGGTATGACCTAAGATTGCACCTTTAGATAAACCGAAGCTTGAACTATCTCTGGTTTAGTGAGTCCTGATTAGCGAGAAACATTAGGTAATGGCTCGCACCTGAATGTAATTTTTGTTCATGATATATTTCAAGTGAAAACGTAAATATATTTGCAGGCGTTTGCGGATGGGTGGGTTTTCCCATTCATTTAAAACTCTAATTATAGCAAAAACTTATCAATGAAATCCAGTGATTTACAGGTGATTTAATCAGGCACTTCTTAAACAAACAACACGCCATTTGTCAAACACAGCACTTGTTGTACTTATCACAGAAACTTCATGCTTTGTAAATAATCAATGTGTTGTAACATGATGAATAAACCCTTTGAGCTTGATCTTTACACCATAATATATCGATAACATGTAACAAATTGTAAACACGTAAGCAAAGATTAAATTATCTTTAGATTAAAAAAAACAAAGCAACACAAGCGAATCAAATCTAACAGAAAAAACAGTTTTTTATTAAAAACAAAGTCAATGTTGATGAAAAATAACAATCTTTTAGGGTTAAGTATTATGTATTTCAACCAATAGATGGCATGAAGGTCAGCAAATTATCAAATTAAATTTAATCAATTTGCCATCAATTAATCATTCAATATTCAGCATTAAATTAATTTCAGCTGTCTTTAATCTGAAATTAAATCTGAAATTAAATCTGAAAGAAATTCTGAAACAATCAACAAATGCGAAGTTTAAAATGGTATCAAAGCTCAAAAAACCAAAGCTCAAAGATTGAGTCCTAAAAGATACATTAATATCGATTTAACAATGAATCATATTTCTCTTATTTTCAAGTCAACATGTGAATGTTATTTTGTTTTTAATTCTTTCTTTGTTTTTATGTTTAGTTTTAATCATTTTCGGTCCACAATTTAATGGCAATCAACTAACAGGATAAAAATGACCGACTTGGTGATTGATAAAATGGTTGAACAATACAATAAGGTGAAAATCAATTTGAATATTGGCTTTGCGCATCCATTTTTAACCCAACAATCATCACCATCATCATTTGTCTTCTCATTTTTTCCCTCTTTTTATGTCAGAGATTCTTGGACCCACCAAATGAATTGCTCAAGTGAAATCTAAATGTTCCCTTCCTCTTCCTTACCACTTCACCTACTACCTTAACCTTGCTTTGTGCTTTTGTCATTATATTTAACGACATATTCACAGCTGATTTTCATATACTTTTAGGTGCTCTTCAACGTCCAATCTTGCCTGACCCGATTCATTCACATTTGACAGTCAACACTTGTTTAACCACTGGTTCACTGATGACCAACTACTCGCTATCGTCATCCATGTTTGGTCAACATTTTGCAATCCCAAAGTCTGTGCTGATAACAATGGCTAGATGTTTAACTTGATCAACTAATGGCAATCACAAGTGTCCAAGTGCAGTCTTGAAACAACCATCGATTGTTCAGCAACATCTATTATTAATAGATCAATAAACTTTTCTGGTTCAACATTACCTTTTCTTATGATGCTTCAATTGATTGTAACTACACCAGGTTAACAAAACATCACATTGTCTATTTATACCTTGTTATATCCAGTTAGCCCAAACCAATTTCAATTTATACTCAATTATTAATTCATTGTTTAACTCATCACCATCATCATCTTACCCATTCTGATCACACATTGATCACCAATTTATTCATTCATTGACTCCTTGTGATACCTTTTTTACTTCATCTTTCATTGGACTCTGTCTATATTACAGCGAAAGTGAAAGTATAATTCTGGTTCCTTTATTTCCCTGGTTTTCTTCAATTTCATGATAAAACTGTAACATCAACAGAATAGCTGAGTTTTTGTTCATTCTCATCTTCATCTTCGTCAATCGATATTTATACATTTGGTAAGAAACACACACAAACTCCTTTCTTTACCATCATCACTTTTCATCCTTTTATCCTCTATTTTTTACCTCATCATCAACTACACCAACAAATCCTCATTCCTTATCAAAACAATATCCTAATGATATTAATTAATGTTTTTCAATAATAATTAGCTTTCTCTGTTTTTTCATTTCAAGCACTACATTAGATTTACCACTTTACCCATTCAAACCCAACTCAATAATTCAATGTTAATGCGATAATTTCATTACTGATGAGTAGCTTATTACATTAATATTATTTATAACGATTGGTAAAGAGAAGAAAAATTATCCTTTTTTCATTCCAATTGTCTTAAATGGTCAGATAATCACCATTGACCAGATCAAGTTAAATAGTCAACATAAGAAACAGACAATTGGCTGATTTAATAAATGCTCAACTCAACGACCGCAAATGCTCAAAACAAATCAATAACAATCAGGACTTTCATTTTGAGTCTGCAATTCACACATTTTCAAAATTCAGTAACTTGGCTAAATGAGTCATTTTTGCCCATTTCAACCAATCTTGCGAGTCCTTCGTCTATTTAACCTGTCCAAAGGTAATTCTTGCCTTTTCACTTGCTCATCCATTCATCATTTCCATCATCATCATCCTTAAGAAAAACTAGTTTTCTCTCTCTTCTCTCCCTCTTCATCTTCCAGTTACTGTAACTTGGAAGCTGTTCAATTGAATTTTAACTTGCGCTCAACCAACATCAACATTTACATCTGTTTACTTCTCATAGCTTTTGTGAAACCTTTTCCCTTTGATAATACAATTAAATTTTTGCTCTACTTTTGTTCACAGTGACATTAAACAAAACCATTAACAGCGTGTAAATGACACTTTTTACAATTAAAAGCTCCCATGAATAGCAATTAAATATTCAACCAACAACAAAAGTATCAACAGTCTCAAAAATGAACATCAAACCCAATTTTCAAGCTTAAACGGATTATTTCAAGTGATTAAGACTACTTATATGTATTCAAGTGCCTACTTAATTAATTGATTGTGAATAGTCAACATTAAAACAACAAGAAAAATCCAAAAATGGATGAAACAAATGAACATGAATCAAGACAAAGTGAACCTGAATCAACGGTAAATGTTGATTATCCAAGTGATACCGTTAATCCTATCCAAGATGATATTAATAATGATACTAAATTGTCTTCAAATGTCCCTTTACTATCATCACAATCATCATCAACAAACCAGACTCGGAATGAAACATCAAATGTTGGTTACAATGTTGAATGTTCACCAACAACTGATAACCAAGAGTCAATTAAATTAGCCAATTCAAGCAATTTAAATGAGAAACAACCAGAAATGGATTGTCTACTTGAAAAGCTTCGCAAAGGAATGGTAAGCAATGAATTCATTAATTAACTCATGATTAAAATGGAATCATAATTTAAAGAGTAATCACAGTTATCATGTTGACTGTAAAAATGTTGTTTCAGACAAAAGGCTACAAAGAAGGCAAAAAAAGTTATAATTTTCTTAACCATTTTTCATTTTTATTCATTTTCATCCCTCTTTTTAAACTACTAATTACTGAATTATCATTTATTTTTCTTCTTCTTTTCAAAACCTTTCTTCTATCCTCTTCATCCCTCTTCCACTGACCACCAAGTCCTTTAACCCTGCGGACAAATACCTTGAATAATGTAAATCAAATGATATATCTTGGCCATTTACTTGCTCTTTAACCAACATAAAATTTAAAAGCAAACCCAAGAAAAAAAGCCAACATTTTCAACGTTATTTTACAACGATTTTTGGTCCATTTGTCTCTTCTTACCTTATGTTGCTGATGACCTTTTTTTACCTGGCAAAGGTTATCATCCTCTTATTATTGTTAAACAGTCTTTTCAATATTCAATTTTCCAGGTCAACATTTATTGTATTGTAAACTGTCAATTTTGACAAATTTTTTCATTATTTTCCTTTTCTCTCTCCTCAAAACTGAACAATTAACACTTGATATTTATTTTCAAATGGTTGTCCTAATCGAGGAAAAGGTCATTTACAAAACATGTTCACATTCCTGACCATTTGCTTATTCAAGTAGTCAATCAATATTAACATGTTTAACACTCTTAATATGGTTAAAATGATTTACATTTTTCATCTTAAATTCATATTTCAATTTTACCCTTCCAACATTGATATTTATTAGCTTGCTTTAATAATACGATTAATTTTGCTTTTTTCATATCAAAGTCTTTTGATTTATTTTTGATTACAGTCTCAACCTTTCCTGGTGTCTTTGTTGATGTATAATCTGTTCATGTTTTCATGAAATACATTTAATTTCAATCATCTAACACTAATCAATACATGTTTCTGTAAAGATGTAAATACTTTGATCATTACCTTTTCAAGGGAAAAACATTTCTTCAAATTGAAAATAACATTATCATTCCAGTTTCATCTTTTTAATCACCATTCTTCATCCTCATCACTCAGACCCTTGAATCATTACATCCTATTGAAGCATTTTAAAACTCTTGCACTTTATCCTTGAAAATATTTATTCAAATAATTCACCTTTCATGATGAACTGAATTTTGATGAAACCATGAAAACCATCAATTTCTGCACAATGTTAAAATTACATTGAAGCAACTTAAACAATTGAGTTTTGATTTGGTTTGTTTTTAAATGTTACAATTATATTTTCACTGGAAATGTAATTCTAATTTCCATAATAATTGATTAGCTTTTAACAGCAATTTTGTTAATCATCTTGATTCACTTTTCTCTTTCTCTGATTAATGGTTATAAAATCAATTTAGTCTTGTTTACATCTGCTCAGTAAAATTGCATGATTATGATTAACATTTGCAATTCATCAATGATTTCAGCTAAATTGTAACTTGTTGCCATTTGATTTAGTTTTTTGTTTTGTTTTCAGTTAATTTAGAGTTAACTTAAAGTATAATTATGTTACGTAAAAGGTGATATTAAAAGGTAACAAATGATCAACAAAATGAACCATAAATCATTGAGCTATACAATCAAAATGACCAGGACTTTAATTGCAAGGATAATTAACAGCCTGGATTACATGTGTTGCAATGTTTCTTAAATTGCTCTGCTTTTTCTTGTTACTTTTATTCATCAAAAAATATCTCTGTTTAATCATTTGATGAATTTGTTGACCTTTTTGTGAAATTATCACCTTTTTTGAATCACTCTCAATTGATATGTTCAAGTTCAATATTGATTGAAGTTGATTCAGTATTTATGTGTGTATAAAATTATAACAAAATAATTAAATTGAAAACTGTTGATGAAATTGATGATTAATTGTGCCTCAGCTGCAAAACGTTAGCCAATGTAATGGATACAGATATTAATGTGTGTAACCCTCCCCTCAAATGGGTGGTTAAAGGTGGAGATGGGTTTTGTTGAAAGAAACAAGAATGGCTTTGTTATCTTCTTCTTAATAACACCATTTAACAGTGAATCTAAATTAGAATCTGAATAATCAGTTGAACCGTTTATCTTGGCTGATTCCTTGATGACCTTAATCTTTCAAAAAGATTAGTCCTTTTGATGCTTTTTTAAGTCCAAAGAAATCAAAGCGTTTCCATCCTTTGTGTAAAAAAGCCTTCACTGTCAGGTTTCTTGGCTTTATTGTTTCCAGTTAATGGTCAAACTTAATAGTTTCATTAACAGTTTATTTCCATCAAAGACCATTATCTTAATCACAGTTTATCAATGGTGACAAATTACCATGCAATGATCAAGGAAACAAATGAAAACTCTTTGGGTTCATTTCCATTCCTCTGGTTGTTGTTAATGGTAAAGGCAAATAGTCTTTGGATGAAGTCTTGATGCTGAGTGTCTGAAATTATGGTAATTAAAAGAAAATATTGAATAATTAGTAAAATGCGATTGAGTGTTAATAAGGATAAAATATGCAAAATAACAAAGGCTTATACCTTGAGAGGGGTTTGGTGTTGATTCCTGTTAATGAAACTGCACTTTATAATCATCTTGGTCACAGAGTGATGTAAATATTATTTGAGGATGATGATGATGGTATTAATAATGGATAATAGCTTGATGATGTTGGTGATGGCGATGATAGCCTTTATGATAATAATAAAATGGTAAAATCATCTATTTGACAAACCATTTTGAAAACTGTCATTAACATTCTCCCAATCATTATCTAAATCGTTAAGTAATAAAATATTTAAGAAATGATTTAACATTTTGATTAAATTGATTGATCAACTTATCATTATGCAAATAAAATATATCTAACTAATGATAACGATAAGAAAATTATTTGCCAAAAAATCAACAGCAAAATGGGAAAATAAAATTTTGTCCTATTCAAGTTGAAGATGAATGATGGTGAAGCTCACTATTAATATATTGACCAAGACCTTTTTAACAGGAAACCACAACAAGTTTTTTTTATCCTGACTATCACCATTTTTTAAAGCATCCGCTTATTATTCATTCATTTTTCTTCACCATTAATGATAACAGGCTCACAGAATCAAATGTCATCTCAGGTTGTCCTTTTTTATTGCTTAATAAATTGTCAATTTGTACCAAGCCACAGGGTTAATCTGGAACAGATAAGAATGGGAATTGAATAAAAATGTAAAGATTGTTGTAATGAAGAGAAAAATAAATACCTGAATCCCATTTCTCATTGTTATTGTTTTATTAGCATTCCATGTTTACCATTAATTGAAAGGTTTACCATTTTCAAAGGTTAATTGGCCAATTGATTGGATTATAATGTAAAAACTGTAATTAAAATGAAATGTTTGCATCAATAAATAATCAAATGAATGGTCAGTATAAAGTTACTTTAAAACAATACCAATCAATAGAGTTTACAGCTTTCAATTTTGTAATTAAATACGATGGATACTGAGGCTATTATGGTGGTGAAAGAAGATAATGATTACCATAGAATTGCCTCTGCTTAGACTAAAGTCACTAATGGATACTTGGTGTCTCCTTATTATACCCTCAGGTCAAGTTGAGGGTAAAAAGTAGAGGAAAAATAAAGATGAAGATGATGTAGATGACGGGAGTGAGAGAATGAGAGAGAAAACCAAATAATACATCAATCTTGAACGCGGTATATTGGCTTTTAATTCAATGAGCAACTTTAAATGTTGACCTGCAAAGATTGGGCCCAAATTTGGTTAATGATTACCTAGAAGATGAGAAAAAGAGAGAAGAAACAAAGGTCAATATACAGTAATCAGGTAGAAGAGGACAAGGGTCAACCATAAAAAGATCTCATTATTAATAATATTCAAACTAGATATTCAATTTGTCGTTTCTTTTACTTTTTTTCTTGTCAGATCATTCATTTTACACTCTATCAGAGTTGACAGATAGTATTGAAATTAGGTATGAAAAATATCATCAGGAAAAAATGATTGAATATATATTTTTGTGTTGCTCCTTTCCATCTTGTTATTAACTATTAATTTTAGAGGAAATGTTTTCGCTTTCCATTTCATCAACTTGAATTGAATCAGATCATTGAAAGGTACCTGACTTCGTGGGACACAGTTAACCATAATTTTACTGGTCTTTGCTCGAAGGCTTTTCAAGATGTGTTTTTTTTGAATTATAACAATATTATGTGGGAAACTGAGGATGACGATATTCCGTTTCCCAAGGGTAAAGCCTAAGATTATAAAATCTAGAATGACCTGAGATATTTTGACTTACTCTTCATTATAACTTCATCATCATCATCATCGTCTCTTTTCCTTCTAATACTTCTTCATCATCTCCCTTTCTTTTCATCTTTTTTTTCATTGCAAGTTGATGTTTCGTGGTAACTTTAACATCTAGGGATTCAGTCAAGTCTTGGTTGTTTAGTCAACATTTCAGGAAAAAGACATCATCTTGATTTCCCACCAATAGATTCATCAACATAAGCTGGAAATGATGATAATGAGAAAGGCACTCCCAAGACTTTTGTGCAATAGCCATCAACGATAGGATAATTCATCTAAAAATTAGTCCTTTTTTAATGTCCACCTGAGTTGTCTATGAAAAAAATCAAAAGAGTGGTTTTAAACAACATGCTTCAAATAATAATCAAGTAAACAATATTTGACTTGAAAAGCCAATTTTGAATCCATAAAAACTTACTCTACAGTTGAGATGTTCAGCGATGATAAAGTAATTAAATGTAACTGCTTGTTGAGGTTTTAATTAATATGAGCAATTTATCTCACATATAAATTTCCACTATGTGGTAGGTAAAAGGATTTTCCAGTTTTAAAAATATTGAAATGGGAATATTGTTCATAGCACTTGTCAAAATGTTGTAATGATTTGTTATTAGCAATGAAATGTAGCCCATTTTTTGGTAATTTAGGTCAATTAAGGTTACTTTTAACCAGCAGGAACCTCTTGTTTTATTACCATGAGAATCACAAGTAACTCTAGTGATGGTGAGCTTAATTTTCGCTCTTCTCCTCTAGTGGAAACCTTTGCTTTCTTTAACCTTTACTCCTTTAAACATCCATAAGAGTGAATTGGTGGTGATAATAATGGGTCAAAGATTGATTAACAATAGCTTGCGACTAAACCCATCTTTTGGTGTTACAGTTGTTGATGTCTTTGCAAAGGTAAACTGTGATACGAAGGCCAATTAAACAAGCTTAACACAAACTCACACATGGAGCCAGTAGAAAGTTGCCCAAAGGCATAACGAATAGGTTGTTCAAAACGGAAGCGTTGAGTGTTGGAGAGAAAAAAATTGAGTAAACATTAGAAAATTTTTCCTAATAGTTGAATAATTGTAAGTTGATTGTCGGCAAGGGTTGATTGTCACCAGCAAATGGATTAGTTGTTGTAAAGGTAAAGACCATTGTTTCTTTCAACCCAAATGGGACAGTTAAAGATGCTATTGGTAAAAATTCACTACACTAAAGATGAGCTTATCAGGATGTAAAAACAAAATACAATCTCCATTTCCAATCAGATCAGCGCAATTTTAACACTCCAACACATTTTCAACAGAGATTTTTGAAAATGTTTGACAGTTTAATCCGATTTACTTATTGCTCTTTTCAGTTTATTGCTTGTTTTCCATTATGCTACAATGAAAATAAAAAAAAATCTTAAGACACTTACAGGAGAAACGGGGAATAATTATACTCACTTGAACGAAATAATGGAAACTTGATTGAATAAAGATGAAATGTTGATGTAAAACTAGACCTAAGGTTCAATTACTGACCATTGAAGCCATTTAAGGATTTAAGAAAGCTTCAATTGTATATAGATGACTTTCAATCAGGTTAACGATCAGATGTTGAAACAAAAATTTAAACCTTGCATAACCTGCCATCCAAAATCCATTAGAAAATTATATTGATGAAACTGGAATCATAATTTAATTAACAATCAATTTTCTATTGCATAAGAAATTTGCCGCTAATCCAACAAAAACAGGTGGATGATATTATCGATACCGATGATAGTTATCGATAATTTAGAGTCTCGATCTTATCGATACGCCAAATTTTAATATCGATAATTTATTAATCAAATTAAATATTTTAATCCAAAATTTATAAATTAAAATATAAACACATGTATCAACTTGGATTAAAAGGTGAAAACTCAGTTTGTTGTTTCTTTTCCATGAATTTTTTCCTAAATCTGGCGACTTTTCTGATTGAATTAAACACAGAAAATGTTCAATGGATTGCTTCATGAACTCTGTAGCAAGCATTCTCATGTAAAATTCAATGAAAATTTCTATTAATCTGTTAATTGAAACTAGAAATCGATAATTGTCGCTATAGTTTGAAATAAATATCGAAGCAAATGATATTTGTTTTCAATCTCATCCTTTACGATTCGTCCACTTCTAGTTATACTCAGAGCAACTTCTGTGTGCATAACAGTAAAGGTCTATTATCAGAGATGAAAATCAGTGATAATAGACAGCAACAAAAGTAAAATTAATCAAAATTGACTTTTTTTCTTCATTTTTGCCATTAATTTTCTTTTAATTCATTTCCATTGACATCAAACAGCAATTATCTTTCTTTTTAAAGTAAAAAGACATTCTTTCGTGTTTTCCATCCTCATTTTAAATAATCTGATACAACGTAGTTATCTGAATATCAAGTGAGGTCTTGTTGGCAAATACAAAGTTACAACTAAGTGAACCGAAAAAGCAACATTCAATTTGACTAAATGTAAGTTGATTTGGCCGTAAGGTTAGTTAAGGTTACTTTTTTTTCTCTAATCAATGATCTTTTTCTTCTCTTTTTTAGCCTTCTTCAAACAGCAAATAAAAAAAACAAAATTTTGCTGTTGTTCTCCAAGTCTCAGTTTCATCATCATCTTCATCATCATTAGCTGGAACAAATTTTGCAACGGTAATAACAAAAAGCCCCATATTATTTGCATGATAAACGCCTAAGGTGAACGTCTAGAAATGACTTGAAGATATTCGATTAGCCTCAAGTTTATTTTATTATTACCTGATATTTTCTTCTCTGTCTCATCTCATTTGGTGTGTATTTTTGGTGGAAATATAACACAAAAAAAGGTAAAAATAAGCTCTCACTAAATGAAATTGGTAGTTAATAATGACTTATGAGGCTAACCATTACCTTTACTGTTTACCTGATTGGTCTTCCAAAGCTTAATTCATACCCATATGAGTAACAGACAGACAAAAAACAAGATAAATGATGAAAGAGCAAGGATTTACCTTTAGCTTGACCTGCTTTAAAAAAACACATTGATGCCTTTCTCAAACACAAATAAACATCACAAGAGACAGAAGTAAAATGAATCACCGAAACGGCTATCCATATGAAGGTTCAAATTATCTCCTAGACTCGCTCCAATTCAATTGAATTTAACCATTCTTGAAATGGTTTACCCAACAATTAAGTAACAATTTAGTGTTTAAAAGACTGCAGAGAAATAGAGAAATTATTGAAGTAATTCAATCTCGAGTCAGCTTTGATAGATTTGAGATTCTCTTACAATCTTTTTATTTAGTATTATCATGAAATAGCAGGGTGTCAGGCTTTCGAGTTTTAGCTCAAAATTATTGAATTAAATATTCTGTAATGATATATAGCTGAAAAATGTGAGTAAACAAAATTGAAAATTGAAGATAAATTGACAGATAAAAGATGTAAAGCTGAAAATGATTGTTGATTATGATGGTGAAGCCAGTAGTTGATGATCAGTAGCATTGGTTACTAGTTTGCTGGAGCAAGCCCAAATCACGAATCGGAAATGATTAAATAATTGGTAGATCTTTGATGATGATCAAGTCTCTGAAGAAGTGAAGATTATTGCGATGATAAGGTAAGTTGTGAGAAATGAGAAGCTTCCAAACATTCCAAGATATTAACATTTTCTTTCTCTCTTTCTTTCTTTCCAGCTCCTGTTTCATTAATTTATTTTGATTATGATGATGGTTAGCCAAGAATTGAAAAGGAAAAACAAAAGCAAAGTCTGAACGATGTTGAAACTGTTGGTGTTAGTTATTATTATTAGATGTACCTTGTCAAAACCAGAATCCGGATTCGCATTTCATTTTCTTCGGAATGAACAAGAACAAAATTTCATCTTATACATTAATCAGCTGATAATATCGTGGGTAAAATCTCGAAGGTAAACACTTTGTTTTTAAGGTGTGTCAATCATAATCGTGATGACCGTTGGCGACTCGTGACAAACCATTGAGCTAATTTGGCTTCACCATTATGTGAATGAGAGACACTCCTTTATAAGAGAAGCAAAAAGAGCAGCTCAAGTCTTCCCTCAACTTTCAGCTTCCATTTTTGTTTTCAAATGGTGTTGTAAATATAATTTAATGTACTTTCGTTCATCATCATCATCATCTTTCTCTCTCTCTCCTTCAATAACACCATTAAAAATCTCTACAGCATCAATGAGTTTATTTAACTTTTCTGCACCATCATAGCCATGATTTTATTTGTGCTAAGAGATGCTAATCATTTGAATGATTGCAGGTCAATTAACTTAATGATGATGATAAGCTAAGATGGATTATTTCATCTCATCATCATCATTTTCTTTATCCTTTATCTTCATCATTATCCACCATATTTGACCTTCACATATCACAAATTGATGATATATTGCATTCAATCTCATATTGAATGTAATGAGGCAAATGAAGGAAAAAAAACACACACGCCATTGCTGGCCTTTAATGATAATCAACTAATTCAATATTTTCTCAACCCAATGGTCCATTTGAACAAAATTGTGTTCGGAGCAAACATGGTTAATTAATCTTACCAATCATACCAATAATACAATTATATAAACACTTGTTTACCATCAATCTAATTAACAGCAAGTCAAGTGTAAAATTAAAAGTTGTTACATGACAACTGTCACTATTGACATTCAATTGTTGAATCAATTCTTCATGTTTTACAATCAAACATGAGACAATGTTAATGTCCATTTTGTGTAAATTCACTTTCAGAACCTTCAAGCAATTCAAATGGTTCAATGAATAAATTATTCATAAGACAGTGTAATTTAATCTATAGAAACATGATCATTAATGTTGACTTTAAAATGAACTAAAGTAAACATTTTTCAAATGACACTGCGTATTGTTTTATTCATACATTTTACATTATCTTTGTTTATCAGAGTTATCATGTTTTGGATGTTTAAAGCAAATATCAATAGATGACTTTATCGAGTGAAAATGTCCAAAAAGATCATAAACTCGATCGTTTGCTATTGATTATCAAAAAGCAAACAGTTGTTTATTTCATATTTGCTATCAAGTCATTATGATCATTATCGAGACATGACATTGTTCATTCAGCTATTTTATTTTCAATTGATGAAATTCAATGTTTTGTGATATATTTTGTTCAATTGCATTACAAACTTGAATGCAATGTCTCCTCAAAATGTATCTTAATCGCAACCAATTATTGACTATCATTTAATGACTCGTTTCAAGTTTACTTAAAGCTGTAGGCTGCAAGAAACGAATAGCAAGATTAGCGAAAAAGTCCGACTTTCAATTGAATGAAATCCAATAATATAATTTAATATTATTTTCACTGATCAAGTTGTTGGAAAAGGCAAGCATAATGAATGTTGATCACATAATGATAATACAGCGTGTTTACCACCATAAATTTGGGAATGATAATCATGTCTGATTTTGAGTGATCCACAAGAAATTGAAAATGACCGGTCAATTGGAATGATTAAATGTTATAACAGCTTAATTAAATGTCAAAATGATCTGCAAGTTAAAGTAAAATCAAATCATCAGACGAAAAAAATGGTAGCAAATATTTTTTCTTGCTGCAAACCTTCAACAAAAATCAATAGACAAAACAAGGTAAAATGGTAAACATAATGATACTGTTTTTGACGATGGCGATGATTATTATGATAGGTAAAGATGATATTAGGCACACTGAGAGTGAAAACATGAAAATAAGATGATTAGATGTCAATTGGGAAGAAGTAAAACATTTTAACAAAACAATAATTGAATAGTATTTTTAGCTTTTCAAAATTTACCTTTTGTCTGTTTAATAACAATATTTTCCCTCTTCTTTGCCAATCTTAACCTAAGAGGCCGTTGTTAAATTACAAGTTGTAATTTAGTTTTTTTGTGTGTTGCTCAAGCTTACAATTATTATTGATAAACAAACAAATACGGCTCTTATTCATCATCATCAACATCATTGTAGAGGTAAAAGGTGAGATGTTTCAAGTTTGGACTTTTCTTGAATCAACTTTGGCTTGATCCTTAAGCCAAGAAAAGGATAAGTTTCTATATAAAACTGAACAAATGAAAAGGAAAACAAGAAAATGACTAACATCAATTTTCATTTCAAAGTTGAATCAAGATTCCATTAAACGTCAAAACCAGATTCTTCTCTGTGGTTTTCATCTTCATCTTTATCTTGCTTTTTTTAACATTAATACGCTATTTTCTTCCGCTAATTGTATCCTCAAAAGCTCATAACGTGAAGATGTTGAGGTCAAGTCTAAAGGTTTCCCTTTAGATTCCCTGGAAAGGTGAATACTTGACCTTTCAAGGAGGATTTAAAGAGAGTGGTAGAAGTGGTCAAACGAAGCGAGAGAGGAAAAAAAATTGCCATCTTCCTTTGATGGACTCAAGTTATGTTGATTACTTGAGCAACTTGATGTTAATGAATATGAAAGTGTATGGAAACACAAATTATTGTGTCAATCTGGATTACATTGATTTTCACAATCTTTATCATTCCATAACAATATAACTTTCCTTTTGTTTCTCCATCACTTTTCCTCCTGTTTACTTGGGTTTCAGTCGATATTGATTCTTTCGTTTCTTTTCCTCCTTCTTCTTTCAACCATCTTCCATGAAATTATCCAGTTTCCCAATCCTTTTCCATTCTGGTATTTCCTTGTTCCGTTACCACATCTTGAGAGCATCTTCACAACTTGCTATCATTATCTCATTCCCTTAGACTTTACTCCATCTGACAATGTAAACTCAAGTATATAACATTAAACCCAAAAGGCCAAAACAAGGAGAAGAGTAGGGAAAAAATTGAACAGCTTTGACCATTTTTCATCTTAATCGTTTGATCCTCATCACCATCATTCCCATTTCCTGTGGTTCCCTCTATTTCATTATTTATCTCTTCGTCAGCAAGTCCATTTTTCCATCTTCATCCAACCAGCCAACCTTTTCTACTCCACCTTTCCTCTTTCCTTTGTAATTATACTCGCTCATTGTCATCATCTACCTTTGATTTAAAAATATATTTTTTTTCGTTTCCTTCGGTAACTCCTTAGTTTGGTTCTTTATTCCTAAAGTGCCATTTTTACAGTATTATAATCAATCAGACCAACTGAATCCATTATGTAATGTATACGCCATGGCAATTTTGTCAATCAGCAGTTCTTTTTTTTCGGCATCCATTTTGGTTTACTATTATTTTCACTCTTTTTTGTGTCTCTTGTCTTGATGCAAGATTTATTCCCGATGGATTGTTGGTAATTCAAGTTGTTTCACTTAACAACTTTCAATAAAGCAAACTGTTAAAGAAGAAAAAGAAACAAAAAGACATAAAATAGATGCTCATGGTAGACATGGTAAGGTTTCGTTGTTACTTCCACTGGGAGTGAAAACTTTCATCGATTATCTTGATCATTGTTGGAAACAATATCAATTTAACTTGAAATTAGAGGCTCAAAGTAGTTTTGTCTTTCTATTGATACTTTACTCTTACAGCAAGAAATAAGTAACTTTTTTCTCCTTTCTTTGTCGCCTTAAAAAGACCATTCAACCAGTCAACAACAATTAATATCAATCTAATTATAAAAAGCTAATTTACCATTTACTTTTTTTTCCTCTTTTTAACTAATTGCTTCGTAATAGACGGAATTAAGTCACCAAGGAGATGTTTTACCAAACAAATGTGGAACATGTATGCAACTTTTGAAGATATGATCTCAGGTTCAGGACAACGGGATGATCGATCCAGATCAACCCTAATGGAATTGTCGTCTACTTCATCGCTCAGCATTAATCCAAACAGTACCAGTAGTAAAGATAGTGATAGTAAACCTTGCACAGTACCTTTAACACCTCCAGTAACCAATGTTTCTCATTCGGAAAGTATTAGCAGCTCCAGTTCACCAGAAACTGAAAATCAAACGGGAAAAGCTAATGTTAATAATTACAAAGAAATGTCAACCTCTCAACAAACAAAGGAATCAACTGTGGTTAAAGACACACCACAATTAGTCACTTCTCTTTCAACGGGAGACGAGTCTGGTACTGAAAATAGTATCACAAATAGTGACACTAACAATGATAAGAATCAAAAATTTCGACCCATACCTGTTAATAGGAATAAATTTTTAGCTGCTCGTCAATCAAATAATGATAAACCATCAACAAATCTAGTTGGATATCAAAGTGATTCTGGGTCAAACTCTTCCTTGGCTAATCCTCTTTTAGACACCATTAGTTGTTTAACTTCAAGTGATCCTTATAGTGATTCAGATGATTATGATGTAACTCGAAGCAAGGTTATTAACCAACGAGCAAGACGTCGATGTAGGCGAATGTTGTCTGACCGATCTCTCCGTTGCTCTCCTAATCATTTACATTCCTGTTGTTCAAGTGATGCTGATTCAATTGGCTATGCAGGTTCCAACTCTATTGATAGTGGTTACAAAAGTCTCTGTCCAACACCCGAAGTTCCAGAATCAATATCCAACCTTTTACCTTATAAAACAGCCGACATCTCGTCCGTCAGTGATAAATTGCAAATCAATGGTCAACAAGACAATTCCTGTCTTGTTATGGTGTCATCACATTCGTCTTCATCAATACCAGCACTCCAACGGTTAACCAGTTTAAATACAATCTGCAACAACAGTAAACCTCATTATTCCGATTCCCTTTCAAAGTCAAAATTGTCATCCATTAAACCTCATGATGCACGGATAACATCGTCAAACTGTTGTGCTCCTTCACTCACAAACAGTACATCATCCAATAGCTTATATAATAACAAAATGGTAACTCGATTGAAAACCCAGTCCTCGACAGCACATCTTGAACATCTATTGACTCTCCGTCAATCTCTTATAAGTGCAATTCAAAAATGTGAATCTTCAACATCAACTCCAACTGATTCACGGGTTGCAAGTCCAGTAATTTCAAGTCGATCAACCAGTCCAGCGTCAACAGTTATTCCTAGAACAGTCAGCAATTTAAAGATAACCCCAGGTCTTGCATCTTTATCGTCTTCTTTATCGGTCGGAGTTATCCAGGGTGCTAATACTTCTAATCAAATTTACCAGCAAAGCTCAATCATATCTGGCTCATTATCACCATCATCATCAATAGCTGCCTCTAGCAATGGTTCAACAATGATGAGTAAAAGTAAACGTTTACCAGCAACAGGCTCACCTGAACCTTGGTATTCTCAAAATCATTACTCACCTTTAGCATCGTATCATCAAAATGGCCATCCTTCATTAAACTGTACAAGATACAATCGAATCAACAATCCACCTTCACAAATTCACGATCATCAATCAATGGAACCAGTGTTAACATCGTCTGCTGTCTCAGCCGATGTTGGACGAGCAACACCAACACAAATGCCATCAGCTACATCTGTTGATGTCATTGGTCAACAGCAACAACAGCACTATTCATCTTCTTCCTTAACCTCTTTAACCTCTTCATCTTCATTTAATAAGTCAGTCCGATTTGATGAGGTGATGATAACACCATTTACCAATTATCAACCTGCAACCCTAAATATATCCAGCAATACCTCTCTTGAAATAGCTGATTACCCAATACAGCCAACAGAGAGACCAATCTCATTGGCAGCAACTAACACCTCTTCCGTGGCTCAAATAGCTGTTACCTCAGGCCATCTTAATACTGATAGTAGTGCAAGTAGTATTAGTTTGAGCAGCAGTATTAATGATAATAGAGTTAACGGAATTACTGAAAGCAACAACAACAGTAATAATATCATTAATAACGACAATATTAATAAGCATATCAGTAACAGTAATAATAGCAACTCTATTTATAATGGCATTAATCATGGTATTGGAAGCTGTTCATCATTAAAATCATCTGCAGTCACTTTTTCCACTAAATCAATATTAAAAGATCCAATTTGTGCCAACCTAAGATCGTCCATTGAATCGGGAATGTTCAATGCTGCTCAATCTTTAGAGAATGAGATTGATTCACTTCTCTATGGGAAACGTTTCAATGAACCAATTGCTTTGCCAACAACCCAAATCACATCAAATGATCCTGATTTTACCTCCTTGTCGACACTCAAAGAGCCAAATGATTTGTATAAACAAGTTCAAGATGATCCATTGGACATTCCGTATGTTAAGATGATTGAAGAAAAATATCGAACTGGAAATAAAATGAATAAAACAAAATCACAAGGTTAGTTTCAATTTGAATACTCAATCTTTTAATTTTGGTTGATCAAGAGTGTGAAAGTCAAACAAATACAAACCCTTTTCAGCAAAACCGTCCACTTGAAAGTGTAAATTCAAACCTTTTGAATCTGAATCATAGTATCATGGCAAAAGATTCAACACTTTGATAAAAGAGACAATTTTTGTTAAGCCTTTTCTTCTAACCAGCTGATCGATTGACAAATCTTACCATTCTATAGTTTAAATCATAGATTATTTAATAACTTTACAATTTTAATAATTGACAATAACCTGCTGAACAAGATTAAGGTCAACATTCCATTAGGAAGATAATTGAAGTCAGGTTAGATGACCCTGGGGCTAATAATTTTGGATATAAAATTAAGAGATGGGTCTTGGGTGAAAAGACTTTTGCAATAATGAACATCATAATTGATTTAGTTAATCATTTACCTTCTTTTTTACAAGACAATGTCAAAAATGTGTTTGTTTTTATTATAAAAATTATAATCAATAAAATCTGACTTGAACCGAAAACAAGTAAACAGATTAAAACTGAATAAAGTTCAGCTTGAACAACATGCAGGTATATTTGAAAGAAGGAAAGAGAGTAAATATGAGTGATGCTGTTAATTTTTCACGATTCACATGAAAACAGGTAGTTCAATAGTAGGCAAATTCATACTTACATTATTCAGCTATCAGCTTCTGTCTATCACAATTTATCATGAAAACAGGAGAACAAGAAAAACTGTAAATTGTTTTAGATTAGGAAAGGATAATGAGTTGCATGAAGGGAATCCACAAGAAACCGGTAGGGAAGTTGGTTTCTTCAAGTTGAATGTTGTTGTTTCCATTATTATCACGAAATGGCCATAAAGACTTTTGGACGGTGAATGTAAGTTATGGTCAATAAAATGAGATTGGAATGTAGTAATAGACTAGAATCTTTAGATGAGGTTAAAGATGAGAAACATGGTGAGACAACAGCATGGAAATCCGGTTATTTGATTAAGCCTTTCAATGAAACATATCCATCAATCCATTTAGCAAGTTAACGGGATTGAGAGGGAGATATATTAAAATAATAAAAAAAGGCTGAAGTTACCTAGAAAACAAAAGATTGAAACATTCAATAAGACAACCAATAACAATAAACAACACAATTTGTTACATTGAATCAAGATTTTACCGATACTTATCTCTTCTTTTTTTCCCTTAATTCTCTTTTATTTATTATCACAGAGCACGCCAGTGAAACTTTTACGAGTTACACAGAAAATACCAATAACCATCATCCATCTGATCAAATGAGCCTAGATGAAGGAACCAATGAAATTAATGTAGCAACTTACCAAAGCGAATCGTCGAATTATCTTTACCATAATAAAAATCTCAATCATTCTGGTAGTCAGGTATCTTTAAATCATCCAAATGGGAAATACCAAAAACAGAGGCCAACAAGAAATGGTATGCCAACGGATAACCCAGATGCCATGTTGGATCCAACGTCAAAGAGTAAAATAAGCGAAATGGCAAAATGTATGCTTGGTATTCTGGATGAAATTGAGATGAAAAATTCAATTGAAAATCGTTTACCCAAACTGGAAACTGTACGGTTAAGGGAAAAATCCTATACAAGCAGAACCAAAGAAAGATCTCGACCCAGTTCAGCCGAATTTAGAAGCTCAATCGAGTTGGTGCCAAATATATTCAGTAATAATGAAACAGCCAGCGAGTCGTCTTACCATTCCCTTCCTGAGTATCACATTTATGAAGAGGTTGCTTATGATTACATGATGGACAACCATCCTATCAGATCAAACACGGTAAAAGAGACACCACCGTCTTCAAGTCAACCAGTCCATCCAAGAGAGAGATCAAGAAGGATACTTCCACCCAATCCAGTTGGTTCAATGAGCATGTTGAATAATTCACGAATCACAGGGAAATCAGGATCATCACTGTATCGATCATCATTGAAAGATTTGTTGAAACCATGTGATGGCAACAACAATCCAAGATTAACAAATGTAAATATCAATGAACGTGAAGTTACTCTAAATGGCAACGACAAATGTCTCCTGGAAACTGAATTGAAATGCTTCCGATCATCATCATCATCGCCTTTATCCTCAATGAGAACCTCATCGTTGATTAATTCCAACACAAGCTGGGGACGGGTCACTGAACAGCCAAAACAACGAGGCAACCTTTACTCTTTGTTTACTGATCCCAACCAAAGGATTAACATTGGTCGATCACTGAGAAAAGAGTTGAACTACAACCAACCGCGATCAACAATTCACCTTGAACTGTGCAATCAAATGGATGGATCATCTTCATCATCTGAATATGGTTTCAGAAACAATTAAATCAACTGCCATGGCCACTAAATATTATAAAATGTTGAACATTTGATAAGATTGAAAGTATCATTTAGAAAGATCTAGAGACATCTTTTGCTTTCTTTCTGTTTCTTTTGTTTTATTTAACTGTTGTTTACAAATGCGCTCATTTTACAAAAATTCAAATACTTTCAATTAGCTGATAGCTCATGTTGCTTTCAACTTGAACCGACTAATTGTTGTTTATCAACTCAACAACTGTTACTTAAATAATCAAATTTGCCTGTTTTTTACCACATTTTACATTGTAATGATTTTACAATCAATTTGTCAATTTACATGTTTCTTCTGATGACAATTTTATCGATAATTAGAATTGATAATTAGCCTTTCTTTTTGCTTTTCTCATTCATTCCAATTTTAATTGTATTCATACATAAATTATCACTCAAGTTTGCTAGTTATAACTTGAACTTGAACGATTTAAAAAAAAGATCACAATAAAAGCAAACATTTCTAAGATTTAAGTTATTTCTGATTGTTTGGCTACAAATCAAGGTAATAGACTAAATGTATTCATTGTTATTATTGGGAATTTCCTTGTATATTCCTCATCAATTAGTCAATAAAGTCTATTCAATTGAACAATTGAATAGATTTTAATTGGCAATTTTAACTCAAGTTGCTAGGTTATCGATTGAGCAAAATAACCAACATTTATCACTTTTAGAAGCGTCAAGGTAAAGGGTGTATTGTTTAAGAGTGCAATTATGAGAGCAAAAGAGTAACATTTACTTATCTGATTGTGATGGTTATGACGATAAATATGTTGATAAGATGAAGATAAAGGTGAAAATGGACAATGATGAAAAATGCAAAATATTTATCAACATCTTTATCACCATAATCACCACAATCAGTTAGATAAATTTTACTCTTTTGGCTCCCATAATTGCACTCTTAAACAATACACCCTTTAGATACAGTGAAGTCTTGCTGCTTTTTTATATTAAATTGCGAGAAAAACAATCGAAGTGAGTTTTAAAAAAATTAATTGTTCATTGAACCAAAGCGAAATGGGTTTGATGAAAAACAACGATTAAATTTCGTAGTTGATTGTCACTGGTCAATGCAACCGGTAACCAAGGCTACTTGTAAACCTGATATTGTTGAGTTTAGTTCAGATGATCGTCATCAACAACATTAAATAATGCTAATCATAATGATAACTACGAAGACAAGTTTCAACTTTCTCACTCTTCCGTCATTACCTGCGTGCTTAACGTAAACCAGGAAAGTTAATTTCTTTTTGTTGAGACACGTATCACTACCAATTCAAAATTTAGTAAAGTTGCTTTGATATTGCGTTTGCTTTTCTTTTGTTACTTCTTTAAACCAGGTCATTGGATTTATCTTCTTAATCGTGCTTCCCATCAAAGCCTTATTAGCCATAATCTCCTGATAAAACCTGTTTATATCTGAGGCCAGTGTGACGCATGAAAGGCAACTTCATATAAACATATTTTTCAGCCTTTTACAAATCATTTACAGTTTTGCCATTCACCTATTAACTTGAACCAATCTTTTATTCTGTTTTTGTTTTTGTTTTTTACTGAATAATGGTTAATTCACTTTCCCCCAGTGAGCCTGCCGGATTTGCATCAAGTACCAATAATGCTTTTGGTGTTATCATGGCCGACCCTTCACCTATGGTATCAAACTCAGCTCCATCTTCATTCCATGGAGGTAAATTGGATTCATCGTTCAATCCTTCCAACACATCTACATTGAAACCTAGTGAGATTGATCGATCAAGTCGACAGGAAAAAGAAATGCTAAGCAGTGGAAGTGGAAGCGATTCCCAAGATGAATGTAGCTCTGATTGTGAACACAGTGACTGTGATGCTTCTTGGATTGAACTTTCAGCTCTTGATGTTCCAAATATTGATGGTGTCTCGATTACCAATAAAATAGACAACATGTTGACATCTCTCTCAAAGATTGATACATCAACATCAGTTGGACCTTCTTTAAACCCTGGATTGGTCGATTTAGAGCAACAGCTGATACAATTGAAAGAGGATAACATTAGATTACTGTCCGTTTTAGAAGCCACCAATGACGCTATGAAGAAAAATTTGAAATATGCTCAAGACTTGAAAGATGAATTGAAATCTTCACAAGATGAATATGATGCTTTGAAATCATCTGCTAACAATGCAATCACCCAGTTACGAACTGAAAATGAAAGGTTAAAGCAACGTATTGTGGAGCTGGAGAATGAAGTCCAGGAAAACACCGGACCAGTGGCATATCATCAATTTGATGTACCAAAAGAAATGAACATGCAAGAAATGTCTTCTCAAATAGCAGCTCGAGACATTAAAATCAGTAAATTGACTGGAGAAGTAAATTCATTAACAGCTCAACTGGAAAGAACTCGATTTGATTTATCTCGATCAACGAGTGAACTATCAATGAACTCTTCCAATCAGTTCTCACATCAATCACAATATCAACAACAACAAATGGTAACACATTCTGGTAATCAACCCAACATGTCTTCAACAGCTATGAGTACTGGTAACAATCAATATCAGATTGGCTCAAGCAACGGAGCTTCCAGCAATCCAAATTATAATTCAAATGATAATGTTCAACAAAACATGATGATGGAGATGAACAATCTAAGATCAATGATTGAACAGTTGAGACAAGAAAAGTTGTCCCTTGAAACTTTGCTGTCTGGAAAAAGATCGTCCAGATCGCGAAGACACGCAAGTAAACATGGAATGGGAACAAGTTATACTGCCAATGCTAATGCTGATAATCCCAATCAGTTTACTAATCCAAATGCAATGGAAAGTGATCCAGCCGAACCCGAACATCATGGAAAGCACCGAAGACATCATCGTCACCACGGATCCAGGTCAGCTCGTCGGTTGGAAAAGAAGTTGGCTAAAACAGCAATTCCTGTTATCAATTCGGCAATCATGTTTAAAGGCTTCACCACTTACTCAACTCAACCTCAACAATAAAAGATTGCTTTTTTAAGTTCAATTTCTGTTCGAAATATTGCTTTTAAATTTCATCACTAATCGTCCTTTTTTAATATAACATTGCATTTGTATTTTTTAAAATGTTAAATATTGATTTGCTAATAATTAAATGTATTTTACTGTTGCAAGAAACAATCTTTATTCATGAAATTTATTTTACTACTTAATGATTATTGATATTTGGAGTCATCGTTGAATCCATATCGATATGTTCACCTTTGTTGTTAAATCTCAGAATACGATTTCATTGAACAATTTTAACATTTATTGAGACTGACCAAGCTAATGTAACTTGTGTGACCTATTGTGTGAGGATAGATCTTGATATGTAACTGGATTCAATCTTTAAATCTCAATAACATTGAAATGTCTGATTTAAAGGTGGAAAAGTTAAGGCCTCGAGTGAGTTATCAGCATAAAATTTTTGTAACAAACACTCGACCACAAATTGATGAAAAAATTAAAATAAATTGGCTTTTAATTCAATTCTTTACTAATTGTTCGCTAAAAAGTAAAATTATTTGGAATGTTAGTGTTATTATACTGATTGTAATTCCTATTATTGCTGCTTTATCCAAACATAACTTTTCGTTTGAAACAAATTTGGATCGTATTTTGACCTTAAATGCTTCATCAGAATATTTATTTTTGTTTTATCTTATACTCTTTCATCAATGGACCTTCAGAGAATCAGTTGTTAATCAAATAAACCAACTTTGGTCCAACATAAATTTACCGGCTAATCAACGAATCGAGCGTTTCTTGTTTAGGGAAAGATCGATATGCGTAATTATGACCATTGCTTACATTTCATCTGGATTACTGCATAAAATAACGTCGGAAGAACATCAATTTGTCGACTGGATCTCAACACTGAAAAGTGTCTACTCTTTTGTTCATTTCTTGGCATTTGCAGTATTTTATTGTTGCTTGTATTTTCAATTTCTCATTGAAATGGTAATTCTATTAACTGCTTCATTTGATCATGTTAACTATCTGGTTGAACTGCAAGTTGAAAATGGTCCAACTTTGAATGAAATTAGATCTATTCGTCGTCTTTACTCTGATATTGTCCAGTTAACTGATTATGTTGCAGAGTCACTTAAAATTTTCGTTACCTTGATCTATTTAAACACGGCATATCGTATTGTTAGCATTTCTTATACAATGTTCATTAGTGAATACACAATTACAACTACTTATTGGAAAGCCTTGGCCTTTATCATCGGACCTGTCCTCGTCTTATTCATGACCTTTCGGATAATCAAAGTTAATATATCGGCATATTCATCTTTTGATGATTAATATTCATTAACGCCTTATGCTACTACAAAAGAGATGAAATTTGAGGTAAGATTCTATCATGGGTCCTAAATTGAAATAACTTCAATCGAAATTTACTAATATTTTCATTTATCAACAGTTATTAATGTTCATCCATAGAGTTGCAAGGAATGATGTTGGACTGAAGTTTTGCAAATCAACGCTAATTGGACCGAACTTTTTCTCAACTCTTTTAACCATTTGCATAGCATCGTTTTGTGTTGGAATCGCATTTGTTTTACAATCAAATTGAAGATCTATTTTACTCAAACGATATAAATGGAACATATTTCAAGTCTTGATGTAATTCAATTCTAATGCGTCGCAATCCTAATTGTAACTCGATTATTTGTTGTATTGCAATAGCTATTACTGATAAAAGTCGAAAGCTGGTGTAATTTACATTGTCCGTATTCTCAATAAACATTTACATTTATATTCGTTTTTGTGATCTTACAGTATATCTATCAAAATTAATTGCAATTGTAGCCTCTTCTAATTGAAATCCAGTGGCAAAAAAACAAATTGGTTAATAATAACCACCGAAGTTTTGTACAAAACTCAAATAATAAAGGAATTTGTGCAAATGTGTAAACTTTTGTATTGCAGTATTAAGCATAATTATCTATGAATTCTAACAAATAACAGTTGTGCACACAGTGCTTGAAATAAAACATATTTCTCGCAACAAAAGCCATAATATTTTTATATTACTGTGATCTCAATTTAGTTGATTGAGTGGTGGCATTTAATTAAATCGAGGTGTGAATTTGATTAAAAATATTGAAAGGGATTTGCTTTGAGTATCGGTAAAGAAATAATCAACGGTATCATAATGATAGTTAAAGATGAGAAAAAATTGGGTCCAATGATTGCCAGTCGCCAAAATTTGAAGCCAATGTCCTTCTTGTCAACTCGAAAGATGAATAAGACAATCTAAGTAGAGCAAAGCATACAGTTGATGAGAAATACATTTTGTACAATAGTTCAGTAAACTTACCTCATATTGAGTTTCTGGTGACTGAATGCGATGAGACAGAGCATAAAGACTATCTGAACAAGCGATTGAACTTGTATAAACTTCCATTAGCCGGAAAACTGTGAATCCAAGGTAAATGGGGCCAATAAAGCTGTTGACTATGTCCAATGTGTTCAAGTTAATATTGTTTTGTGAGATTGGATCAAACAAAAGAAGGTAAAAGATGTTAATGATCTTAAAAAGTTGGATTGGGAAAGCAAAAGGAATGAAGAAACTGAACAAAGAATTGCATTTTCTGGATAAGATAATGATCTGTGAATGAAGTCGCCTTATTTCAGCTAATTGTGACAAATTGGTTTCATCGAGTTTACTGATCAAAAGGTTGACATGGTTGAAAGCAGCCGATATAACAATGGCCAGTTCAATCAAGAAGGGACCATGAACTGAACAGCTAATGGCAACTGAACAATAACGGATGAACAATGATATTGTATTATGAATAAGGTTGCACAGTGCCGATGAGTAGCGCGTCTTTAATGAGATCGGAGTCTCGTTGTAAAACAGTAATCCAATGAGTATCATGAAGCAAATGAGAGACTTTTTACGACGAGATGAAACATAATTCAGATTAACCTTGTTGCTTGGTAAACCAATCGAAGACCACAAATTGTAAATGGGTTCAATGTTGGTCGATCGGAATACCCATTGATGACTGCATAATAAGTAAATATGTGATAGATCAGATAGAAGTGCGTTAATCATTTCTATTGGTAAGAAACCGACAACTTTGATCGGTTTCTGTGAAAAGTGTTTGTAACTTCCATGGACTCGGAAAATAAGGCAAATAGCAAGAACGAAGTTCCAAAGCAATTTAACTCTTTTAGTTTTGCCGTAAACATTGTCTATGTAAAAGTTTATTATGGGAATTGTTTTGCTATCTGTTGTACCAATAAACTTTTGGCGATCACTTTGTATCATTTTGTTACAATTCAATTGCTACACTGTTTTAAATCGTATTCAATTAGGTTACGATTTAGGCGATCACAGTTTTAACGAAGCTTATTGTGTAAAAGGTTACCAAAGTATTGATTTGGAGGTTTAATTTTGATGGCTGTGTAATGATTAATGTTAATTGTCAATAATATGTCACCAAGATTTATGATTTTCATTTCGTTCCTTCATCTAAATCGAAATAATTAGTTCTATGAAATAGAAGCCTTTCAAAATGAAAATTTGGATGGAATTGGACGAAATGAACATTATGTTATCCAAAATTGGACAATATTGCGCTGCAAGAGCAAATATTCATTGTAACGACAATGTTTTCTTGGGGAACTGATTGCTGTCAAATCTGGTTGTGTCAAAAGTGGTTGAACAATGAAACTGGATCATTAATTATCGATAAAATAACGCAACATCAATCAATTTTGCTTTACACAAAATACTGTTTATAATACAAAATTGAACAATGGCTGTGTTTCAATATTTTACAATTCAATAGCAGTACAAGACGAAAGTTATTCGCCACAATGGGCATTCATATTCTAGCGCAATGGAAATTGACTAATTGACCTTAAAAAAGCATTTAAAAGTTAGTATTAGAGTAAGCCAAAATGGTTGATGTTCAGTGAAATAAACCTTAAAACTACTTTAATTAATTAATTGAACTGGATTTTAAATATCATTAGAATACTATTTTCTAAAGATATTGTACATTTGAATATTTATGTTGATAGTTAGAACATACAATTCAGTTTTTGATTTTTACAGAGAATCAGAAATAAGTTTCATGTGCTTAATTTCAAGAGAAAAGAATGCTAATTCGATTGTAAAATTAGTGCGATTCCAACAAAAAACGATGCAATACAAATGGTTAGAAGAGTTGAGAAAAAGTTTGGTCCAATTAGAGTTGATTTACAGAACTTTAGTCCAACATCATTCCTTGCAACTCTATGGATGAACATTAATAACTGTTGATAAATCGAAATATTAGTGTATTTTGATTGTATTATAGTTATTACAATTTAGGATACATAATAGAATCTCACCTCGAATTTCATCTCTTTTGTAGTCGCGCATTGTGTTAATGAATATAAATCATCAAAAGATGAATACGCCGATATATTTACTTTGATTATCCGAAAGGTTAAGATTAAAATGATGATAGGACCAGTGAAATAGGCCAAAGCCATCCAATAAGTTTTCGAAACAGTATAACCGCTAACGAACGTTGTATACGAGAGGCTAACTATAAGATAAGTCGTTTTCAGGTAAATCATTGTAACGAATATTTTAAGTGACTCTGCAAAATAATCGGTCAACTGGACAATGTCAGAGTAAAGTCGACGAATAGATTTGATTTCATTCAAAGTTGGACCATTTTCAACTTGCAGTTCAATGAGATGGTTAACGTGATCGAATGCAGCAGTTATTAGAATAACCATTTCCATGAGAAATTGAAGATGTAGGAAACAATAAAATATGCCAAATGCTAGACGATTAGCCAGAGAGAAGACGCTTTTCAGTATTGAAATCCAATCGACAAATTGATATTCTTCTGAAGTTATTTTACTCAGCAATCCAAAAGAAATGAAAGCAAGGGCCAAAATAACGAATGTTGATCTTTCTCTTAACAGGCGATGTTTGAGATGTTGATTAGCTGTTAAATTTATGTTTGACCACAGTTGATTTATTTGATCAACAACTGACTTTCGGAAGGTCCATTGGTGAAAGAGCGTAATATAAAACAAAAATAAATATTCTGATGAAGCATTTAAGGTTAAAATACGATCCAAGTTTGTTTCGAACGAAAACTTTTGTTTGGATAAAGCGATAATAACAGGAATTACAATCAAAGTAATTAGAGTGCTATTCCAAAGAATTTTACTTTTTAGTGAACAATTAGTAAAGAATTGAATTAAAAACCAATTTATTTCAACTTTGGCATCAATTGGTGTTCGAGTGGAGGTAAGAAAAATATTATGCTGCGAACTTACTCGGGGTTTCAACTTTTCGACTTTTAAATTAGACATTTCAATGTTTTCTTTCAAAGTTTAATGTTACAATTTTCATTTACATGCAGTCTCAACAGTCGCAACAAATGTCGAAATTGTCGCGTAAAAGCTTATTCCGAGTTGTTATTATAATTGTAACAATAAACCGTCTAGAATAACAATAAATTAATCAATTTAATTTTTGTTTTTTCTTTGTTCAATTAAGTTAGCCATGGACGTAAAATCGATCAATTCGATTGCATATTATTCCTAACTTTCAAGAATTTTTAGATGCGTTTGAAGAGTTAAATGTTTTAAACAGTTTAGGTCAATGGAAAGAGGATTTAATCCAGTTTAATCAATTAAGCTTAACGACGAAAGGTTAGTGATAATTTTATCCCGATTTTTGTTGCAACAACTTATCACTTTATGCATTCCGACATTGGTAAAAGCAAATCATTTTGATTACGACAAGGAATAAATTAGTTAAATGGTAAATTTTGCAATACGATTTAATGATATTTATTGTATAACAATAATTTAATAAAAGCCATTTCATATCTGGATACAGATTAAATATATAACAATTGTGCAAACAATTAAACAGTCAATTACATTGACAATTATTGAATGGCATCTAATATTTGCAGTAACTCAACGAAAAATGAACCTAGTGTTAATTTGGTTCTATAACGAATGTTATCCCAACAAAAAACGATGCTACGCAAATGGTTAAAAGAGTTGAGAAAAAGTTCGGTCCAATAAGAGTTGATTTACAAAACTTTAGTCCAACATCATTCCTTGCAACTCTATGAATGAACATCAATAACTGTCGATAAATGGAAACATTAGTATACTTTGCTTGGAGTTGTTACAATTTAGGATAAATGATAGCACCTTACCTCGAATTTCATCTCTTTTGTTGTAGCATAAGGTGTTAATGAGTACAAATCATCAAAAGATGAATATGCCGATATATTAACCCTGATTATTCGAAAGGTTAGGAATAATACGAGGACAGGTCCAGTGGAATAGACCAAAGCCATCCAAAAAGTTTTCGAAACAGTATAACCACTAATGAAAGCTGTATAAGAGATGCTGACTATAAGATAAGCCGTTTTCAGGTAAACCAATGTAACGAATGTTTTAAGTGACTCTGCAAAATAATCGGTCAACTGGACAATGTCAGAGTAAAGACGACGAATAGATTTAATGTCATTCAAAGTTGGACCATTTTCAGCTTGCAGTTCAATCAAATAGTTAACGTGATCGAATGCTGCAGTTATCAGAATAACCATTTCCATTAGAAATTGAAAATGTAAGAAACAGTTCAATATGCCAAATGCTAGTAAACTAGCCAAAGAGAAGACGCTTTTCAGTATTGAAATCCAATCGTCGAATCTGAAATATCCCAAAGTTATTTTATTAACAAATTCTAATGCAATAAAAGCGGCGGCCAAAACTACACAGATTGATCTTTCTTTAAATAGGCGACGCTTTAGATGTCGATTAACAGGTAAATCTATGTTTGACCAAAGTTGATTTATTTGGTTAACAACTGACTCTCGGAAATCCCATTGATGAAAAATTATTACATAAAACAAAAATAAATATTCTGACGAAGCATTCAAGGTTAAAATACGATCCAAGTTTGTTTCAAACGAAAATTTTTGTTTGAATAAAGCGATAGTCAACGGAACTGCAGTCAGTATAATAAGACCAGTATTCCAGATAATTTTACTTTTTAACGAACAATTTGTAAAGAACTTGATGAAAAACCAATTTATTTTAATTTTGTCATCAATTTGTGGTCGAATGTTCGTAAGAAAAATTTTATGTTGACAACTCACTCGAGGCCTTAACTTTTCGACTTTTAAAGTTGCCATTTCAATGAATTAAAGTCAAGCAAGGTTCATCAGCTTGGTTAGTCTTAACTAATGTTAAATTTGTCGGGTACAGCTTTATTTTGAGTTTTTATTATGATTGTATCATTAATAGTTGCTCACAATACACAATAAATCTTCCAGAATAATACTAAATTAATCAATTTTGTTTTTTCGCGGAATTAAGTTGATCATAGACGTAAAATTAATCAATTTGATTTCATACCATTTCTGACTTGTAAGATATTTTATAGATGTGTTTCCGTCTAAGAGGGACAAAATGGTGAAGAAAAATATTTTCCAGCCTCTAATAGATTTGTTTGAGGGATTGAATAATGAATACAGTTTACCTCCATGGAGGAAGCATGTAATCGAGTTCAATATAATATACAATCGGTTAAAGGTTGGTGATAATTTCATATACGGTAATAGGTAAGAGTAAATTATTTTGATTGCGAAGAAGAAAAATGAGTTGAAAGGGAAATTTTTCAATAAGATTTAAAATTTATTGTATAATAATTTATAATATTTCAATAATAAGCCATTTTATATCTTGATTCAGATTAAATATATACAAAATTGTGCAAACAGTTAAACAGTGGCAATAATTAATGGCGTCTATTAGCAGTAACTCAACAAAAAATTAACTTAGTGCTGGGAATTCAATTTCATCGAGCTGGTATAAAAAGTTGGAAAGTACAGCTAGATCATTCGAACTCGATCGTAAATTGGAAATAACCGATTTGATTGATGATATTAATAATCTATCATCTTTGCTTGACTCCAATACGGAGAGACAGTCTAGTTCAAAGAGCTTTGTTAAATATAAACCAGAATTAATAGCTCTTGTTACAAAATAGGAAAATTTATCCCAACTGGAAATGTTGTTTGCACCATTTAGCAATTTAATATTTCTGGCACTGACGAGCTTCTTCAACTTGATGTTAAATGTAATCCAATAATCAAACCAACATTGACAAATTTTGTTGTCAATTTGAGATGGCAAATTCACAATTATCGAGATGACTAAATCGAGTACACACTGGTCCATTGTTTTACAAATTTTATCTTCCGCACTGACGGCTTGTCGTAATTTTGAAAGATCAGAAAATAATAGCTTTGTCCTTTTATGTAAATCGGGACAAGATTTTTTCCGTACCAGCAACGATTCTCTTAAAAGATCTCGTATCGCACCAAGAGGACCAGATAAATCATAAACATCTTTTTCCGATTCCTCGACAGGTACATTTGAACTTTTAAAATGATTATTTAACCATTGGGGATTGATATTGCCAACAATCCATTGGCAGCATTTCTCAGATGATTTGTGAGCAGTTAATTTGGCAGCAAAGTCTAATGTATCCTGAGTATAATCATGTTGAGATAGGAGTAAAGGTAGAATCTTCGTTGTTTCTTGGACACAAAAATTGTGAGCGAAATCGGAACAAAATTTTCGGATTGTATCAACGCTACTTTTTCGATTTAAGCTGATAGTTCCATCAGGTTCAAAATCAGAAATTGTTCCTTTTGCTTTATAAATCGCAGAATTTTTAAGCTCTTTGATGCACCGAGAGTAGACTCGGTCAGAAACAAGATCAATTACTTTAACCATTGAAAGTGGATGTAGACTCAAGAAGTTATTTTCAAGCTCTCGAACTAAATCCCGACTACTTTCCATTTTGTCTTCTTGAAATTGTTCCAGTCGAATAGAGGATAAACCATTTGATAAAGTTCCTGTTAGCGTTAATGGACGAATCTTTCTTGGTGTCAATTTATGATCTTTTTGAGGTGATTTAACAGGGCTGGTGACGGGAGGAGCTAATATAGTTGAAGTGGTACCAGAGGAGTCGTCATCTATTAAGCCTTTGTATTCATCGAAATTAATAATCGAAGATGATAAATCCTTTGGACATCCAATCGAAAAACTAGTTTCTAAATATTTGAACTCTCTATAATCAGAGATGAAATGTTCAATGATGTTGATAAGATAAGCTCTGGTACTTGGATCACATTTTATCTTGTTGGTTTGCAAATTTTCATCGAGCTTGCAAATAAAGCGAATGATTTCTTGATAACATTTAAGTCGAGGAGATATAGAGTCCATTTGTCGTAGAAATTGAATTATCCATGGAAGAGTTAATGAAAGTTTTTTCACCTCCACAGCTTCTTTCAACAGGCCAATTATATTAAGGCAGCAAGTTTCATCTTTTCTCAAAAAGACTTGAGTTTCAATGAATTGAAGCGAGTTACTTTTACTTATTTGAAATGGTAAGTAAACAACCAAGCCGAGAAATTTTGCCAACACTTGTAAAGTCAGAGAAAGTTGGTTAAATTTCGGTTTCAAATTGTTGAGCTCGCTGCTAACTAGATCCTTGTCAATTTCACCAGATAAAGGTGAGCAGTCGTTTGTTTCTAAAATTTTGTGAATCAGCATCAATTTTAGATAATGATGAAAAGAGCAATTTTTTACGTTGATGATAAATTCATGGAAAAACCGTTCTTCATCATTAAACGTCGAGTGAAGTTTAGAATTACTATGATCTAAACGTTTACGTAGTTTCTTCAATCTATCATTTTGTATATACGATGTAAGTTGATCGGTTGACAATAGATCCTTGGTACCACCCATGATACAGGTACGAATTAGTTGTGATACAAACAATTTGCTCAAATGGTAGCTATTTGATGCGTCATGAGAAAAGGATAAAAGCCGGTTGACAGTTGATTCGAATTGACCTTTAACATCCCCAGGATCCGTCGATGAAAACAGCGATGGTCGACTTTGGGAACTCTTCCAATTGTTATAAAGTTCATAGAAGATATCACGTTGATGCCTGAAAGAATGAAAAGCTTTTTCAACACTAAAAGCAGATTTACAATCAGTTTCAGGTTCAAAGTTGATGCAGTCAAGATCACAGTGGTTAAGGTTTTTCGTCATTTTGTAAAAAATTAAAGTTGATTAACCTAAATAATTAAGCGACGTAAATTAAAAAAACTGAGCAAAAACACAGTAAAAAGATAAAAATAAAGATGGAAATATAAAATGAAAGACAAAAATGAGGTGAAAAAGGAATATTTCAACTTCAAAAAAGCATATGTTTTTAAACATTTAAAAATACATGGTCAAAGATGCATGGTCAAGACGAGTCAAAACAAACGACACAGAGACAAGCTTTCACTGGACATGGATTTAAAAAAAGGATTAAGATGGAGTCCAAATATTTCAAGTTGCTTGTAAACTGTCCAAGTCAGGTTCACGACGAACTAAAGGCTTGAATCACTCGCAGCACTTATAGGAATACATCGAAGATGTTAAGGGTCAAATTAAATAAAAGGTAGAAAAGTAATTATGATTATTAAATTAAAAACAAAAAAAAATGTGGACGTTGTTTACTTTACTTTCCCGCTCATGTTTGGGTAACAACAAAATAATCTCTGTAAATAGCTAAGAGTCTATTTATCCAGCAATTTTTTAATGCTGCCATCTTGCGTAAGTTTTGCTTAGGATTTAAATAGTGAAATAAAATACTCAATGTTTGTTTGATTAAGATGTTAAATATTTTAATCTCTATCTGTAGTTGATCTCTGTACATCTTGAATACTTATTTAGTAATTTATTCCTGTGACGAAGCAAACTCTTGAATCAGTGTTTGTTGAAAATTTATCATATAAAAGTTGTACCTCTACTGGATTTGATAAAAAAATCATCTAATTGCTCTTCACGGATCTGTTTACCACTATATTGGTAAGAATAAATAAAATCTCAAATTGTTGTGATGTTATCAAGGAAAGATTTCTCTAGAACCTATCTGTGTAGTCTTGCCATTTTACATTGACAATGAAAATGAAATCCAATTTAACCATATCTTCATGATTTTCATCTGTTTATTCAATCAACCTTTTTCTGTTGCTCTCTTTCCAACCAGATGACTTCTGGGTTACAGTTATGAGATTAATATTTAACATTGTTTATCATGCATTTCTTTAGCTATAGCTAAATAGCTTTTCATCTAAATTTTATTCTACACATTTTCAAGATTTGTTTTTCTATCAAGGTATTGAAAAATAAATCATCTTACGGGTTTATTTTCCAGATAATCTGGCTTCATCCATAAAACCAGGAAGTGACTTTATTTTGATATTTTCTCTTCATTCGTCTCTTCATTACTCTTGACTTCCTTTACATCATTTTACATCTTTTAGCTCTTACATCCAATCTCACAATCCACATCTCTTATTGAACCAACTCACAATAAGATTGCTTAATTGGTCAATCAGATCACTATTATTCAGCTGTTGAATTATTTCTTTAAATATTCTGCATCACAATCCAACAATGCATTTAAATCTAAAGTCCACAATTGAGGTCAGCTTTACCGTCATTTTCTTTTGAATTTATCTTTTCTCATTCATCTAAGACAAATAGCTTACCTGACCCGTTGGACACGCTTTCTAATTTGTATACAGATTTCAGTAAAAGCAAACTTAATTTGTTTATCTCTCATTTTAAATTATTAATAGTATACTTCTACTTAGCACCACCTACCGTTAAACGCAATACACATTAATTCTCTCCCTTTTTTTTCTTCCTTCCTTTTTGTTTCTCTTTCAGGTCAATCAAGTTTTGGGTTTATTGTTGTTAATAATTGTGACTTAATTGTAGATATTGAAAAAAACACTGATTGTGGATTATATTCATTCAAATGGCGGAGAGTCTAATAAATAATCTGCCTACTCGTTACTTTTGCCATAAATGTAACCAAGAAATCAATCCCGTATTACCAGTGAGTATATTTTGTTTTCATTTTATTTCTCTCTTACGCATACATTTAACCCTAGAACGGTTCTTTTTTTTGACAACCAGCAGACCATCACAAATGTCTGTAAACATATTTTATCACTTTTGTTGTTCCTTTCTTTAACCTTTCGTCTATTTCTCTGCTATTCTGTTTACAGGAATTTAAATGCCCAGGATGTAGAGAAGGATTTATTGAAGAGTTAACCAGTGATGCAAACCTAGACATCAGTAGTGATGAGTAAGTGATCTTTCTCGTATCATCTTTTCTTTTATTCATTTGCATATCGTAAATTTATTTTAAATTAACTCTATCTTTATTTTATCTTTCTTTTATCCATTCTAGTTCTGAACACTTAGAAAATTATGAAAGGTTTGAGGATACTCGAGCTGGAGAAATTTTACGGTATCTAGCCAATTTCAGCAATGTTTTTATACTCGTTATCTATCCTGTTAATCTTTAATCCTGTTAATAGCTATCTTTCTAATTAATTTTTTTTACTTCTCCTGATCATCACGGTATTCAATTATATGCTTCTAGGGTTCTTCAATTATTTTCTGGGGATCAACAAGCCAATCAAAGAGGTAATCGAGGGCGTGGAATGTTTGAAATGGCCATACCTTATCTTCAAATTCTTCATGGAAATCCTGGTGATTATGCCTGGGGCTCACAAGGTCTTGATACTATCATTACACAGGTATGTTCGCTGTCATTATTTAAACTCTCAATATGTCACATTTTAAAACGCTAATTCATTATTCTCATTTCTCTCAAATATTCTAGCTCTTGAATACGATAGAAAATAATGGTCCTCCACCTATGCCTAAAGAAGAAATTGAAAAATTGCCTACTGTTAACATTTGTCAAGATAATGTGGATAAAAATCTTCAGTGTACAGTATGCATGGAGGACTATAAATTAGATGAACCCGTTAGAGTGTTACCATGTAATCACGTTTACCACAATGATTGTATTGTTCCATGGTTAGAAATGGTGAGTTGTTACTTTTTTATGCTATTGATATTTATTTGATACTATTTGGGTTCTTCTCACAATACAACTTGGTTATTTGTCTATAACTTATCATGCCCATTAATTTAATTTTTGTAGTGTTGTTTCTGCAGACACAATAAACAAGGATGTTTGCTAATCTCAAAATCAAAGTCTCTATTGCGTCTCGCCTTATTGTGGAAACAATTTAATATTTATTAAATGAGACCCGCTAAGGTTGTGACTCGATAAGATTGTGATTCTTTATGGAACTTGATGACGCGAAAAATCGATTTTCATGAGTTTGTCTAAATTTATCCAGTGATATTTGAATAAAACCAAGTCAAAAATCTTGTTATAGTCTTTGAATTTATTGTGATATTTACCTTAAAGTGTATCTGAAATGTTTACGTATTCTATTAATATTTAATTGAATTAATTTCTCTTCTTTTTCCAGCATGGAACATGTCCTATCTGTCGTAAGCTTCTGAACGAAAACCAACCGAGTCAACGTGAAAGTCGAAGCTCTCTTCAAAACAATAATCAACAAACAACATCACAGCAACAACCGGTTAATCAAAGATCATCATCAAGTAGTAGCAACCAGACTAATCATCCTTCGGGTTACCGTGATTTATTGGATTATGATTGAATGTAAACTGTATAAAAAGTGAAAAACATTGAAATTTGTTTCTACTACTGGCAAAGATTGTGACTTATTTAAAATCCTCGATGTACGCAAGCAAATTGACAGATCAACCAGACGTAAATGCAAAATTAATGAAGTTATTTATCAAATCGATACTTGTAGCATAACCAATTGGAAAAGGATATATTGATTATTATTTGTTCGCGATAATTGCTTTCTGTTTTATAATGAAATTACATACAAACTATCAAAACTGGAAACCAAATTGCACAAATTTCACTTTTCATTTTAAAATGTAGAGCAAAAACATTTATCAATTTTTATAGTTTTCAACCAGCCAATCTAAATATTAGAAAATATTTGCGTCATGAGCTTGTATTCACAAGCCTCTCATATTTCAACAAGAATATGAAATCAATTCCAACTAAAAGTGTGAATTATTATTTTTTAAGCAATGAAAATGATTTTTATTTGTTTTTTATTTATCGATTTTAGCTATTCTTATTTGGTCTTGTAACTATCGAGAATTTATATTCAAATTTTTTCGCTATTTTTCTATCAAATGTTTCAGATTTACATATGTAATGTTCATATTTATTTGCATCGACAGTTGAACCAACCCTTTTCATTTAATTTGCATCATTTTAGATTCTAGATTAATTAGATTGAGTCTCAGGGTAAACCAGAGATGAATGAAGGATTAACTGGGAAGGAAGCATAAAAATGAGGACAACTTTCGTTTTTACGCCTGTCTAGGTAACTTAGGTAACAATTGGCAATTTTGTTACCAAACAAACCAAAAAATAACAATGGGTCTTAGATTGCTACACATGAAGTCACCTTTTAACGGGTCCTTATTTGATAAACCCAATAATATAGTTAAATTTTCGTTACTTATTGTTTCAAGTGTAAATCATAATTTAAATTAAGTGTGATATAAGTAAACTAGCTCAATGATGTCTGAACGTATTGTTATAGTACCAAGTTTAGAGGATCTTTATTCTGGATTTAATGATTTTAATCCTGCTCTAGATTCAAAGGTGAGTTAATTTGAGCTAATTAAGCGAATAATTTCTCAACAAATTTTTAATTTTGTATTTCTAATTATCTTTATAAAGGCTTTACAATATGATGAAGATTTCCAGCAAACCGTTCTTAAAAGTAGCTATGGAAGGCGAGGTAACACTGGTTACAGGACAAGTGGAGCCTCGCGTATGGGAACAGCTGGTTACAATCGTGGTACTCTTTTATCATCTCGTCGTAAATCATCAGCCTCAAGCATAAATCAACAACAGCAAGCTCCATCAACAGCACGTCCAATGACAGCAGTTCGTGGTGCTGGTTATACCTCATACCATAAAAGTCCATCAGGATCAGCTGTGTTTGATCCATTGAGTCAATCTAAGTCAACATCGTCTTCACCGTTTGTCAGTAAAGATGAAAGTTCACCCCAAGCAAAGATTAAATTATTAGAGAAGAAAGTTAATGATCTTTTGGAGGAATCAATTGAAGCATCCTATCGAGGTGAATATAAATTGGCTCTGGACAAGGCTAAACAAGCAATAACCAAGGAAAAGTCACTTTCAAGGCAAAAGGAGCAACTTGATTCACCCTTGCATCCAGTTGCGTCTGAGTTAACATTTGCTGTTCTCTTCAATCTTGGTATTCAGTTCACTCGAAATGAAATGTTTTCAGATGCTATCAGTACCTTCACCAAATTAACCAAAAGTTCAAGAACATATGTCAATTCAGGTAAATATGTCTAAATTGACTGATTCTGTAATCCTGTTGATGCCAAAAAATGTCGATTTCTTGAAAGTCAATTTTACTAACATGTGATTGAATAGCTAAAATGCGGTAAAATATCTCAAACTTTTGAATATTAGCTGAATATTGAAAATTTAATGATTTATCAAGTCACTTATTTGTATTTCAGAGAGAGGTTATTGTAGTTGATTGTTACATTACGATTTTATATCAAACAAGTGGTTAAAAGGTGAATTCAATTTCAATTATCATACATCATAGGTATATTGATTTTGATTGTCCTTGGATGCAAATAGAGATTCACTTAAAAATATTATTTTCATGATAAATATTATTGATCTTTCATATAAAAGTATTGTTTTCATGCGAAAATATTATAATTTTTATACAACGTAATTTTTTATACCGACTCTTCTAATTCAAATCATTGATATATTTTCCAGGTCGTCTTAAACTTAACATTGGTACCATTTTGTATCGCCAAGGTAATTATCCTGAAGCGATTAAATTATTTAGAAAAGCTTTGGATCAAATTCCGACTGATCAAAGGCATACAAGGTAATTTTAAAATTTCATTCAACATTTCCTTCCATATTGAGCCGGAATTTCAACCATCAATAGCAAAGTTATTAGCATATTGAACCAGTTATTTCACACTTAAAAAATCACTCAACAGTTTCAAAGCGTGAAAGTTATTCAATTTTGTTTTTTGCTTCTCTTGTTTAAAAATATTTACAGTTGAACTATCAACGATTAACCTATTAACCTTCATTATTTAATATTGATTCAGTGTCATTATTTTCCCTCATTATATTTGATTTTTCTATTTGATTCAATTTTCCAGAATGCGAGTTATGCGAAACATTGGTCTATCGTCTGTTAAACTTAATCAATATTCTGATGCGATAACATCATTTGGATACATAATGTCTGAAAAGGGTGACTTTCGTGATGCACTTCATCTAATTGTTTGCCATTATGCCATTGGAGATAAAGAGAACATGAAGAAAGCATTCCTCAAACTATTGGAAACATATGATGTTAACTTTTCCTCTGATCGGTATGAGATGATTACCGATGACGATGATACACTGGCAACTCTAATACTGGAAGCAATCAAAGTAGATTCACTTCGTAAATGGGAACGAGAGCGTAAACAAGAGCGAGATTGGTGTATCTTGTTAGCCTCACAATTAATCTCTCCAGTAATTGGGGAAACTTTCACTCAAGGCTATGAATGGTGTGTTGATGCTATTAGATCAGCTGGTTGTGGGGACATTGGTGATGATATAGAGATCAACAAAGCTGTGAAGCATTTGAAGAGACGTGAATTCACTGAAGCCATTGGGACACTCAAGACGTTTGAGAAGAAGGAAGGAAAAGCAGCATCAACAGCGGCAACTAATTTATCATTTTTATATCTTTTACAAAATGAGCTTGAAACTGCTGATCGATATGCTGATATAGCGATTGACACTGATAGATTCAATTCCAGTGCTCTGGTAAACAAGGGCAATTGCTGCAGCAAGTTAGGTGATTATGAACGAGCAAGTCAATTCTATAAGGAAGCTTTGGCCAATGAATCGTCCTGTATTGAAGCTCTTTATAATCTAGCTCTGGCAAACAAGAAATTAACTCGATTTGATGTAGCCTTAAACTGTCTTCTCAAGATTAATAGTATCATCCCTAACCATCCAAATGTCATTTACCAAGTTGCTCACATGTAAGTAATGTTTAAGATAAATCATCATTTATTATCACCTTGAATCATTCACATTTTATCTCGATTCAAATTGTTTCAGCTACGAGTTGATGGGCAATAAGGACTCTGCCATGGATTGGTTTCAACTATTAATAACATTCGTACCGTCTGATCCAACAATCCTTAACCGTATGAGTGATATTGCAGCTAAAGAAGCCGATCAACATTCATCATTTTCATACATTAATGATGTAAGTTTTCCAGTTCAAAATTTTTGTGTATTGAAATTTATTCTTTTTTTCTATTCTTTTTACAGAGCTATCGCTATTTTCCGTCCCATATACCAACAATCGAAAGGCTGGCTGGTTATTATATTGAGACACAGGTTTATGAAAAGGCAATACGTTACTTAGAGAAAGCAGCTGCAGTTCAGTAAGTAACTCGTAAACGTAAAATCTATTAGATTTGATTAGTTAAAATTGCATCTACAAATAGTAAAATTATAAATGTCACTACTTGTTAATTACATCACCTAAGATTGAATGAATAACCAGAGACATTAATTGTTACCAAATATATTTTCACAGGCCTAATCAAGTTAAATGGTATCTCTTGATAGCTGTTTGTTACCGACGCAGTGGGAATTACCAGCAAGCATTACAATGTTACAAAATGATTCATCGTAAATTTCCTGATAACATTGAATGTGTCAAATTCTTGGTCCGTATTTGTAATGATCTGGGTTTACCTGAATACAATGAATATTCTGAGAAACTGAAAAAAATGGAGAAAGCAAGAGAGTCCAGGGAACGTAAATCACAAAGTGGCCGATCTCAGAGAAGTGGCTCAAGAGCTTCCTCAACAAATAGAACCTCGGCTGAGAGCTCAAGAGGAGACTCGGCAAGCAGCAATAGTTCAGGCTATGTCACATCAGTTTCAATGAACTCCAAGAATGGAAGTAAAAAGAAATCAATTTTTGATTTAATTGAAAATAAGGGCAAATATGATGATGCCTTTGCTCTTGACGATGACACTCTAAATGGAGCACTACAACGACCAACAACTTCTTGGAGGAAGAGGAATGAAGATGACGAATTTACCAATGATGAAATTGTAGACATTTTACCTGAATAACTATTCAATATTCATTGAATAGCAGACAAAGATACGCACCAACAATGTCAACAGACTCATATAATTCCAATTGTTAAACTTGTTACACCACTCAATCGATTGATAATGTTTTGTTTTAATCTGTCAAGGAAACAAGTTATGTTGTTATGACCAAACATCTATTGAAATTAGTTGCTATTAATTGACAATAGTTTTAACTAACTGCAGAACTACCTAAATCAATAAAAACTGTTAACATCATTAATCTGGACCGATCCATACTTTACCGCTAATTATTTCAAATCAAATTTTATCAATGCAAGTATGAAAATCATGGTAACAACTTAAAGATGGCTAGACATTCAAGGGTCGATTACAATTAACAATAACAAATCTTGATAACTCCCGCTCTTGATTCCAACTCTACTAAAAGTCGAAAGAGATTCACTTTTATATAAAATAATATTCACAGGTCATTAATATAAACCAGTGTCCATTACCATATATAAACATGACACAAATATTGTTAACAATTAAAACTTCCTAAGCATCTCCGATCGGTGGGAAAATATCTCAAAGCCTTATTTAGGTGAATCATTAAATAATATATAGTTAATATTTACGCCACATAAGCAACCTAATTGATTAGTAAAGAAGTTCAATTTTCAGAGTTGGAAAAATTAACAAAATCCTTTTGCTAAAATCTAAGGCCTTTTGATTGTTGCTTGATTAGATTCACGTTTATTTGTGTTCTTGTCTAATGTGTGAATTTTTAGTTCAATGAATGCTGATTATTATTTTATGGCAATTAAACAAATAATTACTTTTGTGTGTTATTATAGTAAAATGAGCGACAATCTAGAGTTTGAATTAACTTGTGAGTCAAAAACAGAGTAAAATCTTATTGAAAATTAAAGATGGTAGACTTTTATTATCATGATATCGTTTAATAACCATCTTTATCTGATTACCGTTGGAAATAAATGGATGAATAATACTTTGTATAATCAGTGGAAAAGGAAGGGAGAAATGATGATGATGATGATGATGAAGGGGGAAAAAGTCAGGTTATCATGATTTTTATTAGAATATAAGTTTTGGTTTTCCTTTTTATCTTATCTTATTAATATAATAATCTGTTCAAGTAAACAACATAAAGAGAACAGAGGTTCACTTTGGTGATTTTCACATCGTCATCAGCATTGTAACTCTGAACTATTATAAAAAAAAGTGATAGAGGGAATTAAGGTGAAATCCAATAAAGAAATAGAAAGTATCTGATAACCACACCCGAAACATTCGATATTGACACTTCATGGTTAACACCATCACCATAGTTAAAATAGTCTTCGCGAATAGTTAATAATGAAAACGCAAATTCGTTAATTTACTTGAATTGGAGAAGTTTCTTTTTATAATTGTTCACAAGTTTACTTGCCTCCATTGAGTTGAAATAGTCTGAGACATCAGACTGGAATTACAGACTAAATTATTATACCAGTGATCATTATCTAAAATCATCATGGATTATCGTTCAACATGGATGTCGCTTTTAGGATTGACCATTTTACTCATTGCTCCAACTGTTTTCTCCATCAGTATGAGTGCCTCGAGGAAACAAGAAATATTTGAACTTTGTTATGGTCGTCAACGGTCAATGGGACAAATAACACCACTCATTAATGGACAAACAAATCCACCTTTGGCTGCCAGTGTTGAAAATTTGATCGCCTTGATTGAAAAGATTGAAAATTCAACAACTCGTACCATGCAAGCAAAAGATTTAGCAGCAACCATTTTAAAAAAGTAAGTAAAATAAGGATTGTTCATGTTTTTACATCATCCAAGTGCAAGTTGAAGAAAACAGATTCACTTGAAATTCCGTAATTACTAAATCTAAAATCCACCAGCAGCCATCCTTAATCATTCAGCCAAATTGTGAGATCCTTAAAGCTTGTAAAGAAGAAAGCAAGAATGTTTTTTCAATGTCTCATGTTCACTTTGTTATTGTGCTTGTCCTTAGCTAAGCATTGATACTTGAGTCAAAAATCGTTGGTATCCCTTTTGAATTGCTGGAGATTAAGGGTGAACGTACAATAATTAGTCATTATTTTTTTGCTCTTAGAGGTCCAAGGTTTTTGTTGCGTCGTAAACCAGGTTACACAGTCTGATTTCAATAGTCAAACCGTTATAAGAATTGAATAAACAAAAGATAATCAATCTTTTCCATTTCCTTTGAGCCACTTGAGTAAAAACGTAACCATAACTCCTGTATCAAAATCATTGTCATCTGCAAATAGTCATCATTAAAAGCAGCAATTCTTGATCTTCATATTCCTCATAACGATTACTATGGTCGTTGCAATCTTAGGCAGTTGTAATGAAAAAAGTTACCAATCACCAGACACAAATCAATGCTTTTCAAACAATTTTAAAAATGATTAAATAATTCGATATCAATTACATTAAGAGACAATTAAGGAAATCCGGGGAAAAATAGTATTATTTGTACTTACAGACAAGTCGTTGATTCCATAGGAGCCTTTAAGAAGCGCACATAATCCCAGTAATTTGAAATGTCTATCAACTTAATGAAAGTCATTATATTTCCTGAATAATTAAATTAAGATTTTGCATTGAAATTGGTAATAAATTAATTAAATGATAGTCAAAAGTATTAGGATACTAACCTTCAGCAATATTCAGTTGATCAAAACACAAAAAGCTGCTTTTATAACAAAAATTTAATCTTTCATTTTTAAATTATAAATTAATTAACGGCCTGTAGAGGTCAGTAAAGCTTTACTCTTTGCTTTGCTCTTTGTTTAAGATAAATCTTTTTCTACTTTTATTACGCCATTGATTTATTGTTTACATTTTTCTCGTGTTTGTGATTGATTTGCTAAATTGTGCTATTTTCATTAATGTTTTACATTAAATCGACCCCATGCTATTAACGATGCATGTTGACAATATCCATGTAATTATTTCATCGTTGGTAATACATTGTAACTAACAAATTCAACTAGTCGTCTTTATTGCAGCCATGGAATAACATAAGTCTCTGTAATGTGAGAATTGAAAGTAATCAAGAGGTACTTGTGATAATGATTATAAACATATTTTCAACAGTTCTGTTTGATCTATATTTTATATTAATGTCTACTTTCATCTTTACTCTTGTTTCTCTCTTCATCTTAAGAATCAATTAAAGTGAAATGAATCACCTTGTTGACAATTGAAACCTTCGAGTTATCAACAGTTGATTACATTTCAAATGAACTGTAATATCCAATCTTACTTCTTTATTTGATATAAAGACGAGCATATTTTGTTTGTATTAAAGAATCTCCTAGATACCTAACATAGGTAAAATAGATCAAACTAAATGATTAGGTTAATATTTATTATGCCAATCAATGTTTACTACCTGGTTAATTGGATTACTTTTGCATGTTTCCCTCTCTAAGAAATTGACTTTCTATTGATTTAAAATTTTCAATTTCAGATTCCGGTCCGATGGTAACGTGATTAGAACCAACAGTTTCCTTGACCAATCTCCGCCCTACGCAGGCATAGATAAGATTGAAGATGCCTTGTTGGACTCGACGACTGATGTCAATTTTGACGATCAAACGATCTTAACGACTAATGAAAGATGCTCTCTTTACTATATGCTTTCATATCAAATCAATAAAACAGAAAAGGCAAGTTCAACATCTCGGTACAACAGTGCTTACCGAGCTCCGCCAATGAACTCAAGACCATCAGTTGGAACTTCAAGGTAGGTTTGTTTTAGTCTAGCTAATCAGGTACACAATTGATACACAACCAATAGCTTTGATTCAACGATTTACAACTTTTCAATAATTGATTTTCATTCCAGATATGGTAATAATGTAAACTATGCTCCAACTGCCTCAGCTATAAAACCTCGTGAATATGGTGTGGGAAGTTTTCGATCTAATAGTGACAATGCAATCGCTCTGAATCGTTTGTTGCTTGGTGTGATAGCAGGTCAAATTAATAGCCCGGGTATAGCTCTTCGTGACATTTTTACTAAATTGAAACCTGATACTCAATATGAGACTATCACTAAAATCAATGTTGATGAGGTGATCAATCCTTTAATGGCAGTAACTTTAAGTAATATTATGGCGATGTCGGCTGCGGAAGGCGAAAAGGTAGAAGTTCAGAAGATAGGAGTATCTGGTTCCTGGGATAATGCAGCATGCACAATGGAATATACTTTAAACAATGAAAATCCGTCTGAAGCTACTTTGGCTAATATTCGTGGAGGTATTGATGGATATTATATTGGTGAACTAGCCAAAAGCTTATCAAAAACTCCCTCCGGAATGAAATTGAGATTGAGTCAAATATTGCGATATTATTATGATAACGTTGGAGGTAGAATTTCTAGTACTTGTTATTGTGACAAATCCTCCGTTACCCTTGATGACCGAAGCATCAGAGATACTGCAACAAATTACTTTAAAGTTTACGAAATCGGTGTCAAAGGCAATGTTATCTCAGAAGAAGCAGTGACTCTGGCTATTGAAGGTAAAAGACAGCATATCGAAGCAGCTTATGTCAAAGCTAGAATGATTCCAGCTGAAGATGCTGAGTATTGTGCTACTGGTGGGGGAATGACTGGTAAATTAGATTGTGAAACTCCAACTGATCTATTTGTTGCTATTGATCTTCAATCTCCCGATGCTGACAAATACAAAAATTTGACAGCTCGCTTGATCAATAACCTGAATCTTGGTATTTATGGCTCTTCAGCAACTGTCCTTTCTTTGAATCGAGAAGATAGTGCCACTTCCGAAACTGGGCAAACTTTTCGAAATAATTTGAAACATTTGGCATGGGCCAGTTATAATAAAGGCTGTCCAGGCTGTTCTATGACTTACCCAAGAGAAGGTAAGTTTCAGGATTATTTATTCTCAGGATTATTATTTTTTCAATAGCTAATTTGATTATTTTTATTTTGATATTTCAGATACTTACGGAAATCCCATAAATGCTCCATCGGCTGATCTTTACCTTCGAATAAATGATACTTTGCGTGATTTTGAAGCTAATAAATGGCATTTACCAGCAGCTCCAGCCAGACCGTTTATCATTATGGGTGGATCTTATTCGGCTAGAAGTATTGATTCAAACATTCGAATGGCTCGTAACAATTTGAAAACCAATCATCGGGATGTTCAAATACTCTTGCTCACCAATGCCGCTGAAAATGATTTGACTGATTACATAAACGCACCTCAAGATGTGATCAAAGACCAAGATTTATCAGATGTAATGGCTAGAGAACTATCAGAGAAAATCTGTCAAGTTCCTGCTGTCTTCCAATATGCTGATTGTCGTCGAGTTAGTACCGAGAGTAATAATGCTTTCGAGGGCTACATAACACCTGGAAGAACACAATATTGGGCAATGTATCCTGAATATTTTATCAAAAGTTACGATGTTTCGATGAAATTTTATAGTGCCCAAGGAAATATGAGAGTTTGCTTCGGTCGATATCCTAATCCTGAAGAAACAGGTCGATGTTATGGAGACGATGAAGAGACAAGGAAGAATGGAGAAATTCGCATTTACGTTTCAAATCCATGTCAAGACAGAGATTTACAGACTTGTGAACCCTTCTATTTCACCATTTCAATCCCTGATCAAGGAATGACAGCAAATAATCTGTGCACAGGTAAATAATTAATTACAACAAAAAGCTAACCGAAATCGAACAAATTTTCTAATCTAATTTATCTTATTGTCATTTTAATTCCCAGATAAAAAGTGTCTTAACGCAAAACAAGCCAAATTCAAGTTCACTCACGCTGGAATTCAATGTAGCTCCGCTTTTTCCTTGGTTTCATCATTATACTTGGCCATTATTTTAGCTTTGTTATCATCTTTTTACAACCAGTCAAAACAATTCTAATTCTAAATAACTCTTTGTGTGAACAAACTGCCAAGCACTTCTTATGCTTTAATTTCATCATAACTTGACTTTAATGAACGATCATTGAAGTGTCAATTACCTGTAATCAATGTTTCTAGTGACAACTATTTTCTCCTTTTTTACACATCAACAGTCTCTGCAAAAATATCTTTCAACTCGTGCAGATAAACTTAGTCATAAATCGTGTTTGTTTTTTTATTTTCATTTTAATTTGAATAAAATTCACTACATGAAAACGGTTACAACAGCTTAATTGTCAAATAATTGTAAAAGTTTCCCGTTTGCCTTAAAATCTTTGGAAGACTACTTTGAATGACAAAATCACATAGATTGTACCTTTTAATGGAATTGTAATAATTTTCAGTAAACGAAATAAAATAACATTTACAATTTAGTAAAAATATTCAACACTTTATAAATGCTTTGAATTTTTCTCTTTATTAAGATTTTAATTCAATAAAAAGCTCATGAATGAGTTAAAGAAGATTGACAATTATCAATATTTGACTCGTTTTCATCGTAAATAATATACAAAATATTATTATTCAATGTATAAAATTGTTTAAACATGGGCTTGATAATAAAACAATGATTGACAAGAAAGTTACAATTCATGAGAAATGATTTAGTTTGCAACAGCTTATTGGGTAAGAAGCATCTGCATGACTTGTTGATTAAAATGGTTATTTTGAAACCATATTGGATGAAATTCACAGTTCTTTCTTAAAAAAGGAAACACATCGAGCAGCTGAAATTCACGAAGTAATTAAGGTGAGATCATTTGTAACATCGGAAATGTGACAAATTTATAATAGAAGTATATTTTTCTTTGTTTTTTTGATCACAATTGGTCTTGATTAGAATGATGGTCATTCGTTGTAGCAGGCTTGGGTAACTCCTCGTCGAGCAACTAGCATATTCAATACTGGACTTCTTTTGATGTACTCAACAGCCTTTTTATGAGTAACCATAGTGAAGTCATAACCATTGCATTGTAATATTTTATCCCCGATTCTCAGTCCCGATCTCCATGCTGGTCCATCAGTATTTACACCAGTAACATAAATACCCTTATCGGTGAATCCTTGAGGTGACTGAAGATAATCCTGGTCAATTCCTCCTCCAATCGAGAAGCCACACTTCATTATCTCGTTACCATAAGCATCATAACATATCTCTTTTTGTAATTTTATGGGTATCTAGGAATTTAATTGAAAGTTGAAGGAAATTATACAGAATTTAGAAATTGATTCCAAAAATATCAATAAAGATAACAAGAAATGAACAATTAAAAACTTACTGAAAGACATTCGATTGCTGTACCAGGTTCATGCTGGAATGTAGACATATCTGATCACAAAATTTAGATCCAAAAATTTAAATTAAATACAAAATTAATAAAAAAAATATTAAAGTATAAATAACAAAAAAAAGAAATTGTTTTCCTAAGGATCTAGATGATGAAACAGATGAAAATAACAAAACAAAGGTTGATGCAGCTGATGTTGTCATGGTGACATCTCAGAGTATCGTTAAACGGATGGGGTTGGTACTAAAAAGCCATAAAAACCATAATAGTAGTTGATCTTAACTTAGAGTTTTCTGTTCAAATTAACATGTTAAAGTGAGTTAACGATTTTTATTTGGACTAAAAATTGATCACCAGTGACTGTGCTTGTATGTGATGATGTTTGCCATTATTTTGAAGGTGGAATCCCTTTAACCATTGCAGCAGTTAATCTGTGTATTGATTCTCTCCACAATTCCTGGTGACACATTCACCTTTGAAGGCCCAGTTACCTTCAAGCATTGGATCTACAGTTAGGTGATGAAGTCGTCATAAACGGAATTAAATCAGGAATAATCAGATTCTGTGGGGCCACACAATGCTTCTGGAATTTGGGCTGGAATTGAACTTGAAGAACCAGAGGGTAAACATGACTGAACTTTTCAACGAGTTACTTTAGGTATTAATTTCGTCTTTAATAACTATTTAAATTTCCTACCTTGATTTATGAATATTAATTGTTTTTTCTTCGCTTTCAGATGTCCACCAAATCACGGTATATTTGCACCGATCAGTAAAATTTGTAGCTATGATAATCTTTGGCGGAATATTAGAGGAACAAATCAAACCGTTAGAATTGTTAACCATCCTGGTGTCGATGTTTCTCGTGTAACACTCAAAGTTGAAACAGGTAATAATTCTGACTAAAATTTCTGTCCGCAAAAGACTGATTTGTGTTTTACTTTATACTTTATATTAATTTTAATTTCTCTTTTCAGGTTTAAATATCGTTCTGCTAATGTAGCTGAAGTTGGAGATAAAGTTCTGTTAGCTGATAAGCGAATCGGAGTTGTGAGATTTGTTGGTGAAACATCATTTGCCTCCGGAATTCGGTATGGGATCGAACTATCCAAACCTATTGGAAAAAATGAATGATCCATTGAAGGAGTCAAATATTTTGTGTGTAAACCACCTCATGGACTGTTTTTTCCTCCTGGACGGATACTTCGAGTTACCAAGAGTCCACAAAAACCAAATGATGAAATATTTGCTGATGATGAAAGCTCAGAATGTAGTTTAAGTTTGAGCCGCAGTTCGTCTGAAAGAGCCAAAAGTCCTTTAACTTTGCGTGGTCTGAGATCAAGATCTTCCCTTAAATAATCTTCATTTTCACCCACCTCCAGTCACATCTTCAAATAATGTCAACTCATTACCACCGATAACAGTTCATCCTCCTGGTTAACTCTTGGTGTTAATGTTTTTGTTAACAATGAAATTGGGGTTGTTAGGTATATTGGACCAGTTGACTTTGCTGATGGTATTTGGCTTGGTTTAGAGTTAAGCGCCAATGGTAAAAATGCTGGAACCGTTCAAGGGAAACGTTATTTTACTTGTAAACCTAGACATGGCCTATCTGGAATTTTTTGAATTTTTTTCGCCTGCATTGATTTTTCGATATATTATTTTAAACTCTTGTCAAGTGTTATATTTTGAAAGCAAAATGTTTTTGAGAGATTGAATAAAAAAATTTGCTATAAAATATAAAAGTCAAAATATGATTTTTTGTGGCCAAACAGTGTCCAAGCTAAACGGGTTCTATTGAAAATTTTTTATAAGCATGAAAGATATGATTAAACTACAATATCGAAGAATAGTCAAAGCTTAATCACAATTTAGTTTACTGTGATATTAGCGCGTAAACAAGTCTGTTGCCTCAACTGTATAAAAGGATATCGACGTTTTTTCGTTATCATTTTAACCTAAATAAATAAATTTTTGCTTAGAATTCATTCCTAGACATTCTTAGGGACCTTTGACTTAAAATCTCAGCCTAAAAGTAAAAAAATATGACCCCATAGACTTTACTTACATTAATAATTGGTACATTAAAATCAACTCGATAGATTTTTCGGCTAACGAGGAGTCATCAAAATGGAATTTTACCTTGCGACTTTGGACTGGCTTTGTAACACTTTATAGCATTTTTTATTTTATTTTGCTGTTTGTACCCAAAAACCTTGGGCCTTATCTAATCAAAGTCATTCGAATTACTGGATTGAGTTATCTGAATTATTATTTGGTTAATCTTCAAAGTTTTATGCACCTACTCTTACAGTTGGAGTAATTTTTGTATCGACTATATAAACTTGATTCTGCTTCATTCATTTGTATTCGTTTGCAATAGTCAAAGCAAAATGGATGAAAAAGGTGCTCTAAAAGTTTTAATGACTTCAATGATTGGGTGAGTTAATATTGAGTCTTTGCAGAATCGCAAAGTTTACTGATTTATTCACTTGTTTCTTTATTTTTCCAGCCTTGGCCATTTACATGCATGCATTGGAATCGGTGCCCTTCTTCGTAAACGCGGTCATGAAATTTACTTTGCCCATTACGATGCAAACAAGGAAACTATTGAAAAGCATGGATTTCACTACTTATCATTGTGTGAATACAATGATAAAAATTATCCCATAATGAATGCGCTGCCCAATCTTGGCGAAGTATTCAAGAAACGTTTCGAGCTGTCGATGAAACACTCAAGTTTGGACATTTTGAAGGAGTCAATTAATTCTGGTGCAAATGCTGAGGATGGCCTAGTCTATGTAGTTGAGTTTGCTAAAGGTGAAAACTGTGCAATGTTGAACCTGATTGAGAAGATAAAGCCAGATGTCTGTTTAGTCGATCATATTTGGTGTATGCCTTGGACTGTTAAAGCTTCTTGTCCAGTGATTCCTGTTTGGTCAGCATCGCCAGTTGATCTGTATAATGGTCCACCAATGGGTTCAGGATATTCAGTGCATGATCCACCTCAGCTTTGGTCTGAATATCGCAAGTTGAAGGAAGAGTGCGAAAAGTATATAATAGAGAAAGCAAAGGAATTGTACAAATTGTTTGATGTTGAATTCAAACCCCAGCTTTATGCAAAGCAACTAGGAATTTACATTTACCCTGGTCCATTGGATTACCATGAATTGGGTCCACCAAAAGAAAACTGGGTTCGTCTTGAATCATCCATTCGGTCACCAGAAACGGCGAGTTTTGAAATACCAGAGAAACTGAAAGATAAAGCAGGAAAGCTCATCTATGTCTCGATGGGAACATTGGCTTCATCTGTAGTTGAGTTAATAACCATGATATTAACTCCATTGGCCAACTCTCCTCATCGTTTCATCGTTTCAACTGGTGTTAATGGTGATTCAATCAAGCTCCATGATAATATGTGGGGAGACAAATATATCAACCAAGTTGCTCTTTTACCCAAAGTTGACTTATTCATAACTCATGGAGGAAGCAATTCGTTGATTGAAGGCTTAGTCGAGTGTAAACCATTGATAGTTATACCTCAATTTGGTGATCAACTTGATAATGCTCAACGAATAGTTGATCTTGGTTTAGGTGTGAGGATAGATTTGCATGAATTTAGTGGTGAAAAGTTACTAAAAGCTATTGAAGAAGTGCTCAATAATAAAGAGATTCTCTCAAATGTCGCTCGAGTAAGCGAAGAGCTGAAACAGTCTGATTCAAGGGATAAAGTTGTTTCTCTTATTGAACAACTTGCTCGAAACAAATCACTTTAAATACCAATAAATATTTCATTTTCAATACTTTTGTTTTACCTTAACTTTGATTAAACTATTCTAATTTACTACCATTTTTGCATAACAGTTAAACTTTCAAGTTCCGTTGTTAAAAAACGAACTTCCCTAATACTTATCCCTCAATATGACCAAGATTTTCAACACCATCAGTTAGCAATCATTAAAGGAACCTCATTGCCCTGGAATATGGTTTAAAATTATTCATTTTGCATTATAAAACAATATTCTCAATGAAAAAGCAATGCATTTGTTGCTGAAAAGACACAATAAACACATTTGTAAAATTTATGCATCAAACTTGTGAACGAAATGGCCAAAAACGGGTAAAAACCAATTTCTTGGAAATTTAAACTCTGTTGGTCGATATGGACATGAAACTATGTCCATTAGTGGAGACAAAAAATTTCTCAAAATACCAGTTTACGAGAAAATCGAGGTAAAAGTTGAAACTTCGATCGCATTTTGTGCAGTTGTCTGATCAGATTTTCTTAAGAAACTCATTTCACTTATTTATTTTTTTATACTCAACCAAGAAATGCACTTATTTTCAGAAATAAAGTTTCATATTTTCTGTAAAACCCATAAGTTCGATTTTTAATCAAACCGACAGATTTCTGTGACCGCAACAGTGAGAGATCTGAAACTTATTATTCGAGCATAAAAATCGTTTGCACACATCAGGAATTGAATATTTTTCTCAATTTATCAACATTTCTCTTTATATTGGCCATTGACCTAAAAAGTTTGACCCTCGATATTTCGAGAATGGCATCTTCTACCATCACCATTCTTTGCCATAATATTAGATTTTATTATGAGCTATAATATGAATTGAAAATATAACAGTAAAATCTGAGTTAATTCATTTAATAACGATTTGTTTTGAGTACCCAATTTACTTTATGAATCAAGTCTGAAATCTGGTAACATAAGTACACCAATACTATAACTTTTTGCGTAGGATTTTGATTGATTTAAAATTCCACCACATCATAGCCCATAATAACATCTAATATTTTGTCCGAGAATCGTGATTGTAAGTAATGCCGTTTTCGAACTAGCGAGGTTCAAAATTTTCAGGCCAATGGCCAGTTTCACAAGAACTGTTTATAAATTTTAAAAAATGTCCAATCCATGATTTGTGCAAACATTTTTTACGCCCAAAAAATAAATTTCAGATCTCTAACTATCGTGGTCACGGAAATGCGTCGGTTTGATTCAAAATCGAACTTATGGGTTTTGCAGAAAACAGAAAACTTTATTTCTCAAAGTAAGTTGATCTTCTGGTTGGGTATCAAAAATTACATCAGTTAAGTGATTTTAATGAAAAAAAACTGGTCAGACAAATGTACAAAAGGCGATCGAAGTTTCATCTTCAACCTCCCTTTAATCGAAAACTATAGATCATAGAAATCTTTTAATAGTACTATTGGACAAAGTTTTTATGTCTTTGCAAGCTCAAAGAGTTTAATCTTGCAAGAAATTGATTTTTACCCGTTTTTGGCCACTTTGTTTCCAAGTTTAATGCATAAATGTTACAACAAAAACAAACAAAAACAATATTCTCAATCATAAAGCAATGCATTTGTTGCTGAAATGACACAAGAAACAAAATATAACATTTTTGCATCAAACTTGTGAACAAAGTGGCCAAAAACTGGTAAAAATTGATTTCGCGCAAATTATAACTCTGTTAACCTGCAGGACCATAAACACTGTGTCCGTTATTGCTAACAAAAAATTTCTCCAGTCACTCGTTCACGAGATAATCGAGGCCAAAGTTGAGATTTCGATCGCATTTTGTACAGTTGTCTGGCCAGATTTTTTCATGGAACTCATTTCATAAATGTAAATTTCAATGCTTGATCAGAAAATTAACCTTCTTTGAGAAATAAAGTTTTATATTTTCTGTAAAACTCATGAGTTCGATTTTTAATCAAACCGACTTATTTCTGGGACCAAAAGACGTAGAGATCTGAAACTTATTTATCGTCCATAAAAATTGTTTGAAAAAATCATGGATTCATCATTTTTTCGCATTTATCAATAGGTCTCTTGATATTGGCCATTAACCTAAAAAGTTCGAGCCTCGATATTTCGAGAACGACATTTCCTATGATCATCATTCTTTAGTCAAACATTAGATGTTATTATGTACTATAAATGCTGAAAAAATAAATTATTCAAGATTCTACGTAAAAAGTTATAGCATTGGTGTACTCATGTTACCAGATTCTAAACTTGGCTTATAAAGTTAAATGGGTGCTCAAACCCATATCATTATTAAAGGAATTAACTCAGCTTTTACTGGCATTATCTCATACCATATTATTGCCCATAATAAAATCTAACATTTAGTAAGAGAATGATGGTTGTATGTTATTTCGTTCTCGAAATATCGAGGCTCAAACTTTTTAGACCAATGGCCAATATCAAGAGAACTATTGATAAATTTGAAAAAATATTCAATTCATGATTTTCGCAAACAATTTTTATGGCAGAAAAATAAGTTTTAGATCTCTAACTATTTCAGTCACAGGTATCGGTCATTTTCAGTGAAAATCGAACTTATCTGTTTTGCAGAAAACAGAAAATTTCATTCCGCGAGATAAATGCATTTTCTGATTAAGCATCAAAAATTACATCAGGGAAATAAGTTCAACGAAAAAATCTGTTCAGACCACTGTACAAAATACGATCGAAGGTACAACTTTGACCTCGATTTTCGTGAAAACTATCGATCTTAGAAATTTTTTAATAGCACTAAAAGACACAGTTTTTATTTCTCTACAAGCCAACATAATCCAAATTTGCAAGAAATCAATTTCTACCCGTTTTTGGCCATTTAGTTCACAAGTTTGATGCATAAATGTTAAAAATGTGTTTATTGTGTCTTTTCAGCAACAAATGCATTGATTTACGATTGAGTTTATTGTTTTATAATGAAAAATGAATGATTTTAAACCATATTTTAGGACAGTTAGGTTTCTTCAATGATGTAAACACTTATTGTTGAACATCTTGGTCCTATTGAGGGATCAGGGAGTCCTCATGAATGGCAGCAACATGCTTTTAAGTTTATCATAAAATAATTCAGAAAATAGGATTTAATTTACAAAATTTCAATCTATCTTTTTACTGTAAACACAGATTTGGTAACCAAGTATATAGTGAAAGTTATAAAAATATATTAACTATGTTTTCATCAATGATAACGAATTTATTGAGCTTTAATTTGATACAATTTTCATACTTATTATTATTTAATATTATTTAAAGACAATATCTTGATTTATCACTCCTAAATCAAATTATAAGTACAAATATTTCGAATATAAATTGTTAAAATTAAATAAGAAAAGTTAAATTGGAGCAAAAATGAGTCCTTTGACAAGACTATTCGGATCACTTTGGTAAATATGTTGGTCACCTAAACATAAATTTTTTGTGTTAAGATGAATGGACTGTTGTTCACCTTCAACTTAATGACTCGTGTTATGGAAGGACAATTCAAGTTTCATTATCAAACAAACGGAAACCGTAATCATGGAAATCATTTTTATTCAGTGTCGCAGGTAAACAAACAATTGGCACACACCTTGGTAACAATTTATCTTTTTTTTTGAAAGCTAATTTTGTTTCTTGATGAAGCTTGATGTTACTCTTTTTGAATACAGTACTTCAACAGGAAGCCTCATTGTTTCGTTCATTGTCGACCGCAAATGTTGATTAGGATGGATTAGAATGACAATGATAATGAGAAATGACACAATCATCATTACCAGCATTTGCTATTCCTGATTATCTCTCATGACAAGCTCTGATTTAAATATCAAATCTAATGCTCATCACCTGGCTTCCAATTATCCCAAATAACCCTATCGTCTGCAGATAACGTGCAACCTCACAATGAATTAATCATTGGACTGTTTTTTAAACCAAATTACCCATTTAAGGTCCGAGATTTTGAAACAGTTGCGGGTTAATTCCTTAATTGGTAGCAAAGATCATGGATCAAAGATAATTGAAGTTGTTAATGAACAGTGTAATGTAATTTCATTTGGATGCATTTCAAATATTAATGAAAGCTCATATTTTTCCAGTTTCAATTGAATTTGATTTATCATGTAACAACCTAAACCAGATTTGTTTTATACAAATCTCTTAAATCTCATGATTTTCCTGTTTAAAAGCAACCGATTGCTTACAAACAAATCATCTTTTCTACCCTTTCCAATTAGTTTGTCAACCAAAAATTGGGAATCGATGAGGACAGACAAATCAGTGAAAGCAATAGCAACAATCTTGATTGACATGTTTTTTTGGACAATTTTTCATTTCAATTTTTAAGCGTTACACTTACTCATTCAACATGACATCCATTAATCAATTTAAATCAAAATTAACGTTAAAATTAAAAGTGTCAGTGAAATGAAAAAAACAGAGAGGACAACAATGAAGGAAAGGAAAGCAAAATGTCAACAAAAAACGTTGGGTCAACCAGAATCTATAAGAGCACAAATATGATTTCAAGTGTTGACCAATTGAGTTCAGAAAAAAATCAAATTCAATTTGCAACATTCAATTTATGAAATTCCTCTCCCATGATACTGATCATGTTAACAAGGAGTCAAAGAAATGAGTTAATGGTTGGCTAGTTGTACCAATATTACCAGTTGAAAAAAGTCAAAAAAATTCATTTGGTCAAGTAAAGGGTTCAAGAGAGTGGAATATTTTAGGTGAACAAAATTTGCAGGTGGGAGGGAAAAGAGCAGCTCTTGTGAAGATGAGTTACCAGAAAATTTTTGGGTGAAGAAGACCAGAAATCGGGTTAAATTTTCGTCTCTTTGGATGTTAATAAATATTGTGCAAGTTTACTCCTAGATGCTTCTTTGGACTTGATTATTTCATCTTTTTCTGGCTCCATTGCTCTCAATGTCCGTCTGATAACGATGAGAAAAATCGTGCAGATTTTTTCATGGGCGGAGGCTTACTGACCATTCCACTTTCAGGTCAACTTGTGTGTTGTAGACACAGAATGATGAAAATGTAGAGGCTGATGACGATGATAAAAGGTAAAGGTAATGGTGGTGATGATGATGATCAAGACCGGTTTCATAGATTGTGAGGTTGGTTGAGGGAGGGAGAGAAAGGGAAAATGATCATGTGATGAGGCAAAAGTGAGATTTGGCGGGGTTAGTTGAAAGATAGTTAGATGTAGAGTTATTTTTTTACTATTGCTAAAACCTGATTTTGTTTTGAAACAACGAGTCGGCCTGAAACAACAACAATAATCAACAATAACTCATCAAACCATCACATCACATCAACATACATCTACCAAGTTAAAATCATTTGTTTATCTGGTTGGTGAAGAGAAGAAGAAAAAATAGCTCTTTGTTACTAATTTTAATCTGGTTAAGTGTTTATTGTGTTTTGACCCTTGATCTTGTTCAGAGTCCTTTTATCAACCTTTCCATCAAGTGTCATCGGTTGAATTGTCCTTGGTGCTCTCAACGTTTACTCAATTGCTGTTATTTAAAATTACTGTTTTACATAATTGTTACAAAAAACACCCAAAAAATTGGTACACCTTTCATCATCTGGTCAACTCTATTAACCAAATAGTCAATTTTACGTGAAATATTTTAAATTCCAGGAATTTCATTGCAAGTGATTTACAATAAATAAAGGTGAGTTATCATGTTAATTTGTTTGATAAAAATTTTTAATTGCTGTACAATTGTTGGGTAAATATTATTGTGTATAAATGAAAGGTTGATAAAAAAACAGAAATGTTTAAAGATGTAAACGTTGGGTTAAAAGATTGCATTGATTATGTCTTATTTGGTGGTTTATTGGTCGATCAAAATCGTGAAAGCTATCAATTAGTTGATTTCATGTGTTTAGTCAATCAATTGCTGTAGTCAATAATCAACTGGATATAATTATAACGAAATGGAGGTGTTATTTGAAAGATAATTTGGTGTCAAAGTATCATTGTCTAACCCAAAAGGGAAAAGCTTGTGAAGCTGAAGGGCTCATTGGATCAGCACTGTTGTCAATGGTTGAATATTGGGCTTTACCAGTGTAAGGTGCTGGTCTATGGATACCAGAATTGTTATTCAATACTCTCCATGATGAAGAAGATGATTTATTTCTTTGCCTGGGTCTTTTTGATGGTGGAAAGGGTTTATCTGTTGATAATTTGTTTACAATGGGTGAATTGTAAGATGAAACAGATGATACCAAATGGTTTGTAGAGTATCCGGGTTTAGATAGATGACGGTAATTCTGGTTGGACTTGGCTTTTTGAGTGCGTATATTTTGTCGACGACGATTTCCGCGTTTATTTGATCGATAATAATCACCATCATCGATAGAATCAGGGTTTTCATTTGTCATCATACTATTGTTCTCAATTGATTCATTGATTCGGTGTTCATCCCTATCATAGTCACGATCTCCATGATCTTCATTTTCTTCCTCATCATCACCTCTATTCCCACCATGAAATGATTGATTAGGTGGTATTAGGAATTTATCATGAGTTATAAAGGGAACAGCAACTTGATAAGGTGAAGGGTAATATTTAGGGATAAAAAAAACCTTTGGTTTAGGATTATATTTAGCAATCATACCCAATGTTAACTGTGAAAGTTGACGTTTATTTGCTGGTGTTGATCGTGGAAAGGAGATACTAAATTGCGGTGATGAAGGAAGGTCTTTGGAGCCAAATATGTTTGACCTATGTCCTGAATTAATTGGTAAACTGGAAGAGAAAGCAGAAGATAAAGAGGGACGAGTAAATGAAAATGAAGACGAAATATCTTGACGTCTTTGGTTAACTGGAAAAGATCTTATGGAGGGAATAATGGCTGCCAATGGTGAAGATGAACCAGACGATGACAAATCGGTTGAAGGTGAAACTGCCAATGGTTTAATGTTGCTTGAAGACGTCATTGGTGAAGATAATGACTTTGAACTAGTTACTGTGGCTGCTTTTGCTTTACTTGCTGATGTTAATTTATTTATAACTCCGGGATACCTTTGACCTGTTGATTTACCACTTAAATAGAGTTTATCATAAATGCGTACATTGCGGTCATTGCGTGTTATCCAGGAGATAAATGAGGACAATGGATTGGTTATTTTCTCGTATGGTAACTGGAAAAGCTTGGGTTTTAGTGAATTAGGAGTCGTATTGTCAAACCAGGATGACCTCTCTGGAGTATTTTTACTAGCTGTTGGACCTGAAGGGACATCTTGGTTACCTGTTACACCAATTACACCGAAATCCAACGACAATGTGATCAACAAATGAATTACCCAAATCGTCTGGAGTTATTTTCAAGTTATTTTGGTGCCAGTTTTTTTTCATGTGGTTGGTTTGATTGACATGGAAGCAAAATGGAAACAAGGAGAAATTGAAGGAAACAAAACAATTACAAGTTAACATTTTCACTCTCCATAAGATATGTTTATACATTTGGGTGAACAGAACAATCAAACAAATTTTATCATCTACATCATCCCTTGTTTCATTGTATGGTTTGGCCAAAGGAACAAAAATGGACAATGATGGTCATGGTTATTTCTTTTCTTTATCGTCATGGTCAATCAACTTATATCTAAAATAATTGTGTAACCCTAACAATAATCAACAACAACTCAAGTAGCAATAGGTGTATTAATGAAGCAAAGTTAACCATCATTTTCTATGGGCAACATCAAAACCATCAAATGTATGAAACAAGTCAACATTTCTTTTGGATTTAAGGATTCTGTTCAACAATGAAAAATATGCTGATGAATAGTGAGAATATATTTAACAATGGGTTTCATGGGATACCCTCAATGGATTCAATTCATGAAAAATCTACTCGAACAAGCTCATGGATCAAACAATGAATTGAATTTTTTAAAAACTGAAAGTGTTTGACTTGAAATGGATGGCGGTTAAAGAACGAGATTATTTTACTTGAAGCAAACTTTTTGTTCCAACCAGGTTTACCCTGTAATCTTTCAATGAGTCTTTCAGCAAAGATAATCATGAAGGCCATCACCGGTCTGGTGACATCAATTGGACTTTGAGGATTTGGCATTGGAATGATATCATCAATTGTATGTTGGTTACAAACCTTTTTACTCGTGTTCAGGCCTCTGGATGTACTCAACTTTTCATGAATCTTTTATGAAAATCTGCCTTTGTTAATTCAACTATTATACCTCAACCATTGCTTACTCTGGTAATTTACACGGCTGATAATTATTTCAACCAGATTCACTCTCAGCAATCAACTACACTAGTTATGGGAAGATACCTGATTTTGTTTCCAATTCAACTGCATCATTATAATGCTGTCATTTTGACTTCATCTTTTTCAACCTCAAGGATACTTTTAACCACAGTTTCAACATATACATAATCTGATCATCTCATCCTCATCTTCATTATCGTTTATCATTTATCATTTTTCATCTCTCGCAATTTTTAACCTCTCTGGCTACGTTGAATTTACTGTAGAGAAGAAAGAGATTGAAGAGAAAGGAAAAGAAATTCAGAAAAAAAACATGAAATCCAGTTTTTCAACCTATCAGTTATACATTTTCCTAACCACCAAACCATGGGAAGGAGAAGGAACCATGAAAAATATAATAATACTTATCATCGTTATTATACTACTCATCATAATGAAGCAGTTAACTACTTGGTTATGAAAGGGAAAGTCAAGCAGTCTGTATTGAAGCTGGAAAGGATAGTGAAACAGAGTGCATGATTTCATTCAGAGGATAAAGATTTTACTTATTAAACTCTCGAAAGGTGTTGAACCGATGTTTGATAATTCACGATGCTCTTCTGGGTTTGGTTTATTATAATCTGTTGAAGAAACTCCATTGGCAGGTTCATCTTTTTTTCTTCATTTTAATCAACATTTCTCAATCTTTCGGCGTCATCTTTTACCTCATCTTTCAGTGTGAATTTTTCATCTTCTCCCTCCTTCAAAATGATGCCCTAAACGTGCAATTATCCAGTAAACTTTGCCAAGAAAAAGAAGTTAAAAAGCTGACTGAAGAGATGAAAAAGGAGCCTTTTTGAAATTTATTTGAAAGAAAAGGGTTTAACTCAAGATTGAAAGGAAAAGCTGAATCAAATGAAAAGAAGTAAATTAGAATCACTCGTCTAACTCGTCGTTAGTTAAAGGATTGTTTGCCTGTTTAACAAGCCCATGAAATAAGCTCATATTTACATGACTTTGGTGGTGATGATGAAAATTGCTTTCTCTTTCAAAAATGAAAATGTTGATATCAACATATATATGCCCAATAAGCATATAAAAAAACCAAATCTTCCAAGGATGATTAAGGAAAAGATTAAACCCCTTAAATTGTTCATCATTACAAGATCAATGCCGAATCGTTCAAAAAATTCATTTATACAAGTTTCTCACTCTTTACAAGCCAAAAATTAATCACCATCTACCTTGTCTCAAAGATTTCCTATTGCAAAAGGAAATCGTCTGACATCATCAGCATCGTCATTATTGAAACCATTATCATTATGTTCTTAAATTCAGTTAATTCTTTATTGATTCCTCTCGCCTTCAAGGACTTTGGGTTAATCATTACCGTTGTACTATGCAGAGGGTAATCGGTATGCCAGAATTACTGTGTCCATGATGTTTACAATCGGTGAACAGATGAAAATTGAAGAAAAAAGTGACTACAAGGTTTGATGGCTAAGCCAGTGAACTACAATTTTTACCTGTAACGTATTTGTGATAGCTGCTTATATCATGATAAATTGTTTTTATGACCTTATTCAGCTTGTTTATCTAGATTCTCTTTTTGCTCTTTGGTTACTCCAAAAAAGCCCAAAACTGACTCGAACTTGAACTTGAACTTGAACTCTTTTCTCAACTTGTTTCGGTCTTAAATTGATCAATGACCTCAAAGAGGATAGTTAATTGGAAGCAAAGTAAATGCAAATGATTACATGTCATATAAAAAGTAATAACATACAAAATATTGTCCTGATAACTTGGTCAAAACAAAAAAAAAGACTCAACAAAGCGATGTAATTTTACTACCTTGAAGGGCAAGACTTTTTCATCAAAACAAGATTGGACAAGATTGAACAAGATCCATTCAAATAGCACTCATTAATATCGCCAATATCACAAAAGGAATCCATAATTATAATTCATTTCTTTCACTTGGATTATGAACCACAAAATGACCATCACTGTCTGTCTATGTTCATCAGCAATTGCGAATTTGGTATTTCAATATTGACTTAAAGTCTCTCTATGGATCAACCCTGATAGCCAAGAAACACAAGGGTGTGATGATGATGAAAATCAATGGTTAAAGGACGGGAGGAATACCAATCACCTTTGAATAATAATGATACTATTTTTTTACGTTCAAGAGATTCCAAAGATGTAACGATAACTTAGGCTTGTCAATATCTCAGGGTTTTCAGGGTTTTTAGCTTAAGTTTTGCAACTCAAAAAAAAACCTAGAAACCGGATAATTTTGATGAGAAGCTAAAAAATAGACTTGTTAAGGTATCACAAGAATCTTGTAAGTTCCCTGTTGAGAGTTGATGTTGACTCTTAAGATCAGGTCATTCTAGAAAAATATTTATCTCTCTCTTTCTCTTTCTATCGTTATTGGTTTTTCTTGGTATTTTTAGGTCATTTATTTAACAAATTGGTGTTGTAAAATGTTGTTAAGGTCAGTTGAGGTCAGCTCTAGTTTTGTTAAGATATTAGGTTAAATCGAGTCTAAGAGTAAAAAATTTGTGTTCATTATTTAAGGATAAATTGTTGTTCAGTACAAACCTTCATTTGATTGATTTCACTCTTTGATCTTGTTGTGTCAAGATGTAAATTTTTGATGCAAATAGTGTTTCAAATTGTGATGATTGTTAATCAATGTTATTGTATATACTAATACAGTTTATTGATTTAAAATTGAGATCACACTTGTAAATCACACATTGAAACGATTACTTTAAACACAATTCACCAATTGAAATGTTGAATATATTTTAATCACGTAACAAATACAAAAATAATGTTCAAAATATTATTGATTAAGAATTAATTTTGCTCACATTGATCAATTAGACGTTTAAATAATCTCAATAACTTGAATTTATTGAATAATGATAGGAAATTTTGTTATGAGGATGAACAAAATTCAAATGAAATATGAGTGTTTGTTTGAATTGAAATGAGAGGTTTCAATGTCTGTTTTGTTTTAGATTGATACAAATATTGGAAGACACATTTGTTTATTGGTTGAGATAATATTTATGATTAAAATGAAGATGAAGATGATGAGAAAGAGAGAAAGAAGGAGAAATGAGGAGAAATAATTTGATTTAAAAAGGGTCAATGGGATGATCGAGATGGTGGTCAACCTGTTGATGAGGATGCTGATCATCTCAACAAAAATTAAGCTAATAGTAGGAATGTAGAGATGAATGAAGAGGGCGAAGACGATGAGGATGAGGAAGATTGATAAAGAAAAATTGGGATAAAAAAAGATGTAATAATGATGTTGACTTGGACCGAGTTGTTTATGTGCTGTTATTATTACTAACAACTGTAAAATAACAACTTTGCTTTATTTTTAATCTTTTAACCTTATGTTCATTAGGAATACCGGATTATCATGTTACCATCAATTTTTACCAGTTTAATCAATTTAGCCTTTTCCTAATCATAAAACACTTGTTCAATTTGAATTGTATTTTCACAATTTTGATCATTTGTGTTTGAAAGGCGATAGTAGTATAAAATACCATTCATTACTACTGTTGGTGTTTGAGTTTGATTTTATCCTAGAAATTAAAGCTTTGCTTGTGTCTTTCATTATTTTTTTGGTTATTTTTCTGGTTTTTTTGGGTTAAATTTTTCTTAATCTATTCAGCTTTTTGTCTTTGATTGTCCAGTCACTCGGCCATGATTAGATTGATCAGTGGCTTGATGTTGCCTTGGCTGGTAGACCTTCATGATTTGAATAATTTAGGTCAATCAAGAGATCTTTTTTATCGCTATTAATATTTTAGTTTTGGTTCAATTAATGATTGAGATTGGAAAGGGACTGTAAAAAGATTAGTAATAATAGTGAAAATAATAAAAATGATAATAGCTATTGTTAATAATGGATGTTTATAATGTTATTTTGACAGTAAATGGACAATAGATGAGTTTAAAGTTGAAAGATGATTTAAATTTATTATTGAAACAGTTAATTGATGCTGGTTAATTGTGTGTGTGTGTCTATTGATGGTTGAATTGGATTTATGATAATTTAAAGGATTCAATCAACTGGATCAAATTTAATGATTGCTAAATTTCAATCATAATTTGAATGGACTAGAATTGATAATGAAATGTTTAACGGTCACGTCATTTGATTAATACAAATCTCCTACAGTGAATCGTTGTTCCCTGTAAACAGTGTTTGTATTTCATTGAAATCTTTTCACATTGATCATTCCTTTAAACCCAAAGGCTAAATTATATTGATTAGTTGGTGATAATTATAGTTAAATGTGTATTAATTGGGTTTGGCCATTGACACACCATTTTTGGGTTCAAGATGAAACCAGAAAATGAATTTTCAACAAAAATGGTTAAGCTTCTTAAATAATTTGGGTTTAGCACAATTTTCACTGTCAATTTCAACGCAAATTGATATTTTTAATTTTTGCTAATCACTTAATCTCTATTAATCCAAAAATTGATTGATTCAAGTTTGCTTTGTATTCAAATTGACCGCTCTAATTTGTCTGGCTTGCAAAAGATTTACCAAATATCCAATCAGATTCAAGATGATCTTTTGTTTGTTTTCGCTCGTTTGGTAATCTAGTTAAGCTAATCTTGTCTTTCTTTAAGATTAGTGATTTTAAATACAATAGCTTTAAAATGTTAACCTTTAATCATTAGTGATGATTCATTACAATAATCTTCACCATTTGTTGTCCAAGTGTAGTAAATATTTTAAAGTCGTGTTTACTGATCCAATCAGACAATCTCAACTAAACTGGTCGTTTGGCTTATTGGAAGTCGGTTAATCGGACTGTAAAGTTAATTAAACTTAACTGGTGGCTATTTATACGGATGTTTGTCAATGTCAATAGTAATTTATGGATGTGAATAATTAACTTCCTTAACTTATTCTCGTTGGCATCTCGAGGAAAGTCATCAAACTTTGGAGTTGTTTGGTCGATGCCTTGGTAGAGAAAGTTCAAGACGATGGAGGAAGATTAGAAACTGGTGAAGGCAAAAGAGGAAGAGATAGTAAATTGTGATCCAGCTATTTCAGTTGAATTATAAACCATGATTTTAGGGATGAAAAGTGAATGGTTTTTTTGGAGGCAAAAGTATGATGATGACGAGGAAAATGGTGGAGGAGGAAGAAAGCAAAAAGGAGAACGAAGAAGAAGAGGTAAAAGTTGAAGTAAAATTAATGGGATAAGAGCATTAACCATTGTTGTTTATCATGTTCATTGTTATTGTTGATTTTTACTTGAATATGTTTACTTCCTAAGACATCATCTCCATCTCTATCATCATCATCATGCAACAATCCAAAAAGCATCACCACTTTAAACCATCCTAAACTTATGTTTATCTTCTCACTCTACCTTGGCTTCCATCCAAATTTGATACTGCAATTAAGGAACCTAAAAGACGGAAAAAGTTTGACTCACACGAAAAAAAAGATGGTTTTAAAAATCACAGAGAAATCAATCTATTTCCGGTTACTTGTTGTTAAGTCTAGACTCGCAGCCAAACATTGAAGTGTCATCCACTGAGACGATGAAATGATCGAGAAATGATCAAGAAAAGATCAAGAAATGGCCAGAAAATGTGACTAAACAATCGCTTGGAAGCAAATTTAAAGACAAGATTATTCCCTCCAAGATTAGCCATTTTGCTGGAAAGATTGAACCTAAAAACCAGGAAGCCATGTTTAACCATTTCCTCAATGGACTGTCAATGTTTTAGCCACAATTTTATCCATTTAACTGGTGATTAATTGAATTATTTAACTGTTTAAAATGGCTAAACAATCTATGGACCTGTCTTGTTAAAATTCAATTAATAATGACTATTTAATGTGAATCTACTGCAGTTTGAAAGGTTGACTCTGAAAGGCACAAGGAAAAAGTTGATTAACAATCAAATGTACAACAGTTGAAATTGTACTGTTTTTTGGCAATTTGCCTTTGCCGTTGATGGAAGAGACTGTGAAGATTATGATGAAGATGCAAAAATACTGAACAAGTATTTATAACCAGATAATCCCGAAATAGAGTTACCCTCTCAATGGTGACAACTGAAGAGTCAAGTTTTTGATATTTTTTTTCAAGAATAATCTGGCATAGCATTGGAATCAATATTACTGAATAATCATGTGCAATCTTGATAACCACGCATGCTAATAACAATGTTTTCATCTTTTTTTTATCATCATCTTCTACTTCTTGCACTTTACGTTAGAAAGTAAAATCATCTTTTTTACTTCTTCCCTTTTCATTTCATCTTTAGATTCACTGACGTTCAAGACAAGGATCCAAGTCAATCCAAAGCGGAGTAAACCTATTTATTACGGTGTTATTATTATTTTAATTTTATCCAAGTGTAATCAAATTGATTGTGCTTCAGTGTTTGTGTCTATTTTAAACCAATTTAACAAAGGAATCTTTATTTAAATAACATCCATTGGAAGGAAGAGTTGACCAAAACAAAATCAAAATCGATGCCTAAACCAGGATTTGACGTTGATGAAGACTCTCGTCCATGTAAGTCAACCATCTTTGTTTCATTTGATTTGCTGTTTGATCAGTTTAATCCACCAATTTAACCATCATTCTGAGGACAATCTCAATCATCGTTAACAATCAAACAACTTGATTAACAGCATGGCAAGTTACCTTGTAACTAACACATAAACACACTAAGCTCTAAGCTTTTTTTGCCTTATTGTTTGACCTAACAAAGTGAATGACTTTCTGTGTTCAAGTCATTGTCAAATGAAATAGCTTTTGCTTAAATTGCCAATTGTTGATCTAATTAAACTTCACGGTTATTGATTACAATTTTTGTCTAACTCTGCCTTTTCAACATCAATCTATTGTTAAATGTATTGTTTTCAATGGAAATAGCAATTGTAATATTGATTTAGTCTTTTTAACCTGCATCCAATCCAATTGTGAATTCAATCAAATTAATCCACTATTATCTTTCTCAATTGATTATTTAACTTCTTGCTTAAAGCCATCTAAAGTCACCATTAAATGATTGAAACCCAATAATTGGATTGTCAATTTTAATTTAATCTGTTCGGTACTTCTTCACATAATACCTATTAACACCATATTAATGATGATAATAATCATAATCATCATCATAATCATCTTGATCCTATTTTTTGTGCTGCTAATTTGTGTGCATTGTATTTCCTTTGCTTACACTTAAAATTGACTGAAAAATGACCTTAATTGTTGAAGCAAATTGTCATACAATTGTCATACAAAAGTTACCTGATTTTTTTGCATGATCTCATCAAGCAATTGATTCAGCTAATTGAATCTTATCCCATCCGGAAAATGTTATTTCAATTATTTTTTTTGCATTCTATCTGATAAATTGTTTGCTTTGTTTTGCATCTCGCCATTATTCATGTCTATTATCATCATTATACTTTATTCATTCATCACTTTTTTAACAGTTAAATTGTTGCCCTGATTTGTCCTAACAATTTGTATAATCACACTTCTCAAAAATGCAATTACATCTGTCACAATTAAACAAATTCAATCCCTAACGTTTAACCATTCAATCAAATATCTTAAAGGCTCTTTAATATCCGATAGTCTGTATCCATTATCCATATCTGATCCAGTCTGTTTACAAACCCAAATTAACCAGAACCCAATATTCAGTTGAAACCTAGAATAATAAACAACTTACTTTTAGACATAATTCACATATAAATTGGTCATTAATTGGACATTAATTAGACTCTAGTTTAGTTATGTATAAATCACCAATTTCCTAGTAATGCTTATTCCTGGCCTTGATTAACTTCATCAGAACGATCCTAATGTTTTCACATTTTTCTTGTTTAACCTTTACATTTCATTTACTTTTGTTTCTTTTATTATTGTTTTTTCATCCTGATCTTCCTCATCCTCATCTCTCTCTATCTTTCTATTTCTCATCTCAACCTGATAATGGATAAAATAATGATATTAATAATGATGACTAAATAAAGACCGTCAGAAACGGTATGAGATGATAATACGGGAAAGTGTTCCCATTGAATTGCCTCCTGATGTTGTAAGGTGTAAGTTATCCTCATCACATTTTATTATTTTATTATCACTTACCTTATCAATTTCAACATTTTATATTAATTTGATTTTTGGGATATCTTTTTGAGATTTTAATCAACCATTCAATTGTTAACTATAACTGTTGATGAGCAAAACATAACCAAACAAAAAGAAACACATTACGCCCAAGAAATGTTGGGTGTTCAATAATTTATAGTCAAATAGACCAGCAGATGATTATGATTATGATTTTGGTGATTTTGACTGAATCTGGTGAATGCTGGTGTTGGTGACAATTATAAAATCATTTGATATTTGGCATTGGTTTAAAACAGTTCTAGGATTAAAATGAAGATGGCAGTCTATGAGAGTTAACAACGGCTTAAAATAAAAAGCTTAACAATGACCTCTTCATTACTTTCCCACAGCTAGATGTGTGTGTCATAGTTTACAAGTTAATTATCTTGAGTATCTTCATCTCTCCTCCTTGTCCTCCCCTTATTGTTACTGTTGTAAAGGGTTTCAGGTTATCGTCTACATCTTCGGTTACCAGGTACATAATTGAATACAACCCATTTACCTATTACCTCAACTTGAACCTACTTCCATCTCTTCATCACCATTTTTCGTTCTGCTTTGATCCTTTTTGTGTCTTCACCTTTTGTTTATCTTGTTTTGTTGATTAGTTACGAGTTTAATTGTTTTTGTGATTCATCTTGTGATAGACTTGTTTTCATTTGATAATTCAATTTTAGTTTGGAACCAATCAAGGCAACATTCAACAATATCACCATTACCAACTACACAGTACACAGTCAGAGGACACTTTTTTGAATGTTTCATTTTTTTCTCCTTTATTTTCTGGTTTCTTCCTTCTGGTAACAACCTAATTAAACCATTTGTATCTTTGTAAGTTGGTAATTGTTCAATCACCATCTTTAACCTCTTTTTTTTTTGTTTCTCTTCATCATTACTAGTGGTGTTATTATTTATTATTAGTTGATGTGCTTTTTCATAATCAAAACGGATTCTTAATTCCTTCGTACCTTTTTCCTTCCTTCAAAGAACTTCCTTTATTCTTTCTCTCTCATTTTTTTGCCTTCTTCTTTTCACCTTTATCTCTCTGTCTGTGAATATCTTCTCTTTCTACATTTTTGGGTTAGAGGGATTTTGGCTTTGGGCTTTTTTTCATCTGCTCACTGTTAGTTTTTTGTTATTATCCGACAAAAGCCCGGCTCTTTGCTTCTTGTCTACCGGGTATTCCATCAACCAGTTTTTTTTGTTGAGTTTATGTGGAAGTTGTTGATGTTGATTTATTTTCTCTTTGTAATGTGTTGTGTTGTTGTGTTGCAAGGTAAACAAGGCTTGCCCTGGAACCATTGGTTACTCTAAAATCAACTTGTTTCTTTATTCATCATAATCAAGTTAATCGAGATTTATTCCATTTTTCAAATTATCTTGTTAATGATATAATACACTCTTGTGCACACATTGCTTTACCTCTCTTCAGATTCACCACTTTGTTTTTTCCCCTTTGCTTGTTTCAATCTTCTCACCTTGTCTCTCTCTCTCACTCTTCCCTCCTGTTTGATTCAACTCATTTGATTGCCGGTTTTTAGGTGACTCTAAAGTTGATGATGGTCTTGAAAACATTCAAGTTGATATAACAAACATACGACAACGATTTGAGTCAGGTTCGGAAGAAAGGTACATCTCATCTCCAGTTCCAGATAAATCAGCCCTTCAACGATCTGAAAGTCTTCTTATACGTTTACAAAGGTATGTTTATCCATGTTTATTTTTCTTCCCCATTATTCCACCTTCTCATCTTGACTTCGACCATATTACAAGTAAATCTGTTCATCATTGTGTCAAAAATATGATTGAAATTTGATTTATCTGTTTGCCTGTATCATTGAGAAATGTTGTCTTCTTTATTATAATTTATAAATAATTGATTAAGCTTTATTTGATTTGATTTTTACACACCATTCTCATTGTTTATTTATTTCAATGATCGATGATGATCTGTTTATTTCATTTTTGTACTTTAAACAAATGGAATATATCTTTACCATTTCAATCATATTTATCAAACAGAAGTGATTGTTGAAGAAACAACTAATGCCCAATGTTTATGTGTCACAACTATTTGTTGAGCTGTTCTCACTGTCCTTAAACGCTTCAGATTTCCTCACCCACCCCTGAACCTTTTTGATTTTCTTATTTGGAAATAGTTTAATTTATCAATTGATTGTATACGGTGTTGTTGTACTGAAGAACCTTTAAAGAGAGGAGGGAAAAGTAAATAAAACGAGTGAGATTTGATGAATTGAAGATGAATTTGAAGAGTTAGTCATTGCTATCACAACAGCTTTAGTTACTTAAGTAACCGTATTCATCATCATTTGCAAGTTGATGCTACCTGTTAAATACATTACGAGGTAACTTGATGTTGTATTGTCTCTATTAATTGTTCTGTCTGTCTAATTACATTTATTAGCCAAATTTTTACAGCCCAGAGTTAATTAGCGTCACTTTTGTCAGCTATTATTTTAACCTTCTCCACACCAATATGATTCAGTGAAAGAAACAAACCAACAAATTGAAAACTCAATACCATTGTCACTTCACTTCTGTTTTACAACTTTAATGCACGATATCCTTCAACCAACTAATAATCAACACTCAAGTCAATTTGTAACTTGTTCAGTGTAAAATCATGATTCTCAATGGTTTACAATTTCATTGATTGTTCAAATTGATATAGTTATACCTTCATTAACACGCTGTACTCTTTATTGTTCACTTTACCAAAAAAAACCTTGTATCTCTTGAATTTCCCTTTTACTCTATCAAATAGTTTACCTTTATTAATTTTTGTGTGTTTTTATTTTTCTTGCTAAACAGATACCAATCAGCAATATCAGGTGAAAAGATGACTGAAAAAGAAGCTGACTCTTGCTCATCTTCAGGTGATTCAAGTGACGAAGAAGGTGAATTACATTTAGTTCGTGAGACCAAAAGAAAAGAAAAGGTTCCTTTTGTTGGTTTGTCTGCTCTTCGATCTCAATGGGAAACTGGTAAAGTTCCTCGAGGTGAAAGTCTTGACGAACCCATCAGAGAAGATAATGGAACCAAAGATGAACTCTACAAATTACGACAAAGAATATGTCTTGGTCGATCTGCTTCGATGAGACAAGTTTATGAAAAAGGTGGCAACCTGTCTGTTTCACCATCACCCAAGACTGAATCCTTGCATATTGAATCATCTGTTAAAGCTATCTCATTGAAAGAAAAATTTGAAAAAGGACAAATTGAAAATGAAACGGACGAAGGACGGTTAGAAAGATTTAAGAAGGATAAAGAGGAAGATCTTAAATTGGTCACTGAAGCCGAAACTGCAGCCCGTGAAGCCAAAAATCTATTCAAACAAATGGATGCTACATTATCCAAGCAAACAGCTGTTTCACCAGTTATCCACCATTATAATAACAACAATAACAACAATGGTCCTCGCAGTAACCGAGAAACACCAATTCCTGAGACAATGCCCTCAAATAAACCAGTGGAAATAATTAAGTGCAGCGATCCAAGTGTTAAAGAGGAAGTTGTCATTGAAACAAAAGAGATTCAAGAAAGATACAAGTTCTTTGAATGTTACCAAAATAATATTAACAGTGGAAGTAAAGGTGATAGTGAGGTTAATGGTGTCAAAGAAAACGGGTTTGGTAAAACTCGTGAAATGACTCCACCTCGTAATGGTGATGCCTTGGACTGTGGACCAAGAGTTGAAATTTTACCCGATGCCAATATTGTAATCTCAAATAATGATGTGAACAATGAAATTCCAAAAATTGATACAACTTCTAAAATGTTGAATAAATTTAAACAATTGGAGAATCAAATGAACCAAGAAAATATCTCACATAAACCCATTGGAGGTACACCTAAACCGCTCAAACGCATCACACCACCAAGAGAGTTCACAAAGGATGTTATCGAAAATGAACCTCAAACCGAACGTGATCCCAACATTGGTAATTAACCAAATTTCATTTCAATTATTTACCCAAACATCAAACATTCAACCTTCCACCAGCCTTGCTCCATACCATCTCTGGTTATCCCTCAAAAAATTAAACTCTAACCTTCTTTAACCTTTTCTTTTCTTCCTTCCTTCTTCCTTCAGTTAAATCAAGCTACAAGACTGAAGATGTGATTCCAGTTGAGCCCAAATTGGCACGAAGTTTGACCGCAAAATTTGAAAACTGGTCCCAAGTTGATGAAAAGGAAAACAAACGCAACTCAATTAATGTAGAAGAAGATGCTTTACCAGCTCATGGGATAACTAAAAATTTGGTTGCCAAATTTGGATCTATTCGTGATGACAGTCCAACCAAACCAACAGAAAAGACCAAAACTCGAGTCAATCGTTTTGTGGTAAGTCCATCATTCATTTATACTTTTACTTCATATTTTGCATCTTTGCATCATTTAACTGTATTAGTGATATTTCATTAACTCGACCAGCTTGGCAAAACATCACATAATAACATTTTTTTTGTATTTAATAGCAACATTTATCAAATCCATCATCATGATATGTTGTCACCTTTGCACTCTTTATTTCTTAACCAAGCCTGTTTTTTTCAACCTGCATCCACATTAATGTTTTATTGCGTTTTATATTAATTTTATTTTATTTGATGAAATAATGAAATCGCACTCTGTACTAATGTGATTAGTAAGCAAAGCGCAATTGAATTGTATACTTACGCTTATTTTTTTGGTGTGTCTCCTTGCAAACTTCAACAATTTTGTCTATTGCATGAATGATGTTTGATTTCATTGTAATCAAATGACTGAATATCACTTTTTCAACTCAATATCTCAAATTATTTTCCGTATTTTCCTTTCATAATACAATCTGTAGACATCTGTAGAGTTCATTGTTATAGACATTTCTGTATCAATTCAAGTGTTATCTACTAATTATATTCAGAGTAGCTTTTAAATAATTTACCTTTCTACTTTCACCCTTTAATTCTGGTTTTTTATTTTTACTTTTTATGCAATTGTTATAAATTTTTATACTTTTAGGTTCGACTATAGTTAATGGAGTAGTTTAATTGTCCAACTCTTTTTTTGATGCGATTTATTGTTATCTTTATATTTGCTGACTTTTGTTGGTTAAATTTCCTCCCATTTTCCAGGTTTCATTATGACGAATTGAACTCATATAAAGATCATAACTCACAATTGTCAGTTTATCATTTTAAAAAGTCATGAGCCTTTTGAAGATAAAAACATGACAATTTAATAAAAATTTTACACCAAAAATAAGGTTTAAGGGAAATGAACTTTTCATTTTTACCTTAGAATCTCAATTCTAATGTTAATGTCATAATTTTGTTGAAGCAACAGATCACCAGTCAATCAAATTATCTGTTTGAATTCATCTCAAATCATTCCATCGACCCAATTAAACTCTTAATTGCAATCGAGACAGAGCTTTGATAAAACAAAGCCATTAGTTTTAATTTGCTCAAAAAAAGTAACTAAAGAAATCAGAAAAAGTATTTCTTGTTATTGTTAGTGCTTAAGAATAGCGAAATTATTGAAGCAATTGCAAGTCTCTTTCGACCTTAATTTCAATAATAGCCAATCTTTAGACATTTAATCACAATTAGATCAACTAAACAACTAAACATTAATGGATTCATCCTGATATCAGATGTAAATAGAGTATGAAAACTGTCAAATTTCATATTTCCCGTCTTTCATCAATCTATTGATCAACACTCTTAATCAAATTTCCCATCTCGTAATCAGATGAACCCTTGAAACAAATCAATGGTTAATCAATTTGGATCGGAAATTCCTCTCGACTCCGTCATTTTTTGGTTATCTTGTTGATTCAGCTTTCCGTTTCATTGAGTAAAATCAGTTAAATTTTGAATTTTTGCAATTTTTCAAAATTTGGTTAACTTTAAATTAAATGATTCATTTCAAATTGAACCCACAACCAGGCTAGATTACCTTATTATGTTTATACTAATTTGTTGTTATTTATTCTCAATAATTACTCATGAAAACCATCATCCTACGTTTAATTTGTATTGTTAGTAATCAAAAGGCTCATTTGAAAGGTAATCATTTAAACTCTTTCAATTGTTAATAGTTGAACAATGAAACGGTTAATTTATTGGTTATTATGTGATATTGATACAGCCAAATAATAACCATGAAAGCATATAAACTGGTTAACAATTAAAGAGGCCAAGTTCAAAGTAAGGAATAACAATCAACATAGTTGATTTATTAAACATGATCCATATCAATGGCCAATAATTCATCTCAACCCTCAACCATAATAACCATTTCCAACACAAAATACAATACTTTGAATCAAGCTTATTATTATCATTGAAATTTACCATCTAATTTAGTTTCATTATTTGCTCAACTATCAATATTTACTATTTAAGATTCAATCTGATCCAAGTTTATTTAAAGGCAAAAATTGAAAAATCAAAAGCTCTGTTAATCAGCAATTTTTACTTCCATTTTCATTCATTTAATTTCTGATTGATTGAATGTTTGACAAACCATTATGGCTGTGTCACTGCTTAAATGTGCAAATTGTAATTAACTCACATTTTTCATTAAAAACACTAATGCATGAAAATCTTGCACGTTAGGTGACAATTGAACCTTTTTACGCATCTTTTTCCTTTCTAATAATATATTATTGTTATAAATAATATGCCATTTGGATAGACTTTAAATGATGCAAATCTAAGACAACTTCAAGCTTGATCATCATTTCATATTCATTGAATGTGTGAAAGTCAAACGACCGATTGATTGCCACTTTACCTGTAACAATTTTGTCTGTCTCTTGACCTTATTTCCCTTCCCTATCATCATCTCTCTTTTTTTCAATGTCACAGTAAATTCAAGATGATAAGTGGAACGGAATGCGTGCTCTTTGAAAGGATAAGCACACACACACAAGGAGCTAAATCGCGTGTAAAAAACACCCATAAATGCAAACGAGAAACTCAACTCTCCATTAAACCGCAGTCAAAAAAAAGTTATCCATTTTTACTTTCCTCTGATTTGCTGTCTAATATTACCCAGTAAATGAAGCACATCAACTGTATAACACCAAAGACACCCAACATTGGGATACCAAAAAAACCCACAAAAGCTGAGCTAAATTCAAATTTTGGTTCAACTGAATCTCATTGAAAAATCACCTCTTAAAGTATATGAAAGTCCTTTCATGTTGACTTATTAGTTGTATGTTAATGTTAACACAAAATTGTTATTTACACAAATGAACCACTGAATTGATTGTAAACAATCAATTAGCTGTTTACCTATTTATATCATTTTGAAAATGTAAATAATTTGGGACAACAAAGGACTTGACAGTAATCTTGATCGCCCCATTGATTAGGACTGGTTTTGCTTTGCAAGTGACTAAAGTCTCAGAGTAACTTCTTCCGTCTAAAATGAAATGAAATTTACCAAAAAACCGTTAATTGTTATTACAGTCAATCTGACGATTTGATTATTTTTTGTTCATCTTGAAGGTTAATCAAATCAAATGTTTACAATATAAATTAATCATTCAACAAGCAATATCAACAAATGAAACAACATTGACAAGCAATCAAACAACAAAACAAAAGTGAAGCTTCCAAAAGCAAATCTTCAAGCTTTCGTATGCAATTAATAATCGCTATTACTTATGATTACTATTATTTATTATTACAATTACAATTATTGCTATTATTACTATTATTTACAGAGAGCTTCATTTCACTTTGTGTCTGATAATTTTTTTGTTTTCACCTTTCCTTTCATCCCCAATTGAAAACATTAATAAACCCATTTTTCAGCTTGATTTCAAGTTTATTTTGTTTCACCATTTTTTTCAATTTCACCAGTTTTTTCAGTTATTTTACCAGAAAAAAATCTTCCATTTCTCTCTTTCACATTTAATCATCTTCTATCAACCTTTACATGCAAAGTAAATCTTTCATGAAACGAAAGTGATTCGTTTGAAATAATGTTTCCAATATCGTTATGATTCTAAATGGTTATGGCTGTAACCCAAATATCCCGAGCTGATTTATCTGTTCAACTAACACTGAATAACCAAAAAGATGTTACTTAACTTTTGCTTGTCGCAGGAAAATAGCAAAAATACTATTAATATATAAAGATATTTTTGTGAATTTATTTTCCAGACTATCCATCAACTGAATCCAATTCATTTTGACTTTAGTTCCAAGTCATTTTGGGTGCTTATTCCTTAAATTATTCAAAATTAGCTTGTAACATGAATATGAAACTTGTTAATACTAACCTTTACAATTGCTATTTTTGTTTCCCATGTTTTCCTGTAAATTGTGTTAATAATTTTGTTAAAATAGCAACTTTAATTTAAAGCAAAGAGCATTATTTTTTATAAAAATATTGCAATGTTTATGTAACTCTAGTGTTTATGCAATTAGACCTGTTGATCAGTTTAATTAAAAATTAACTCTATCACCGTAATAACTCAAATACATATTGTTGAAACTGTGTCTTGAATTTCATGATTTTTCATGTAAAAATTTCATGATTTTCCTCAATTTCTTACCATTAATCATCACATTACTGGTCATGATGATTAAAGTCAATATCATCATGTTGATACACATGTAATATTTAGCTAATTTGCAAATTGTTGAGTTGATAATAAAGATAATGTTAATTTAGCATCTTTGAACTTTCAAACCGATATTCAAATGCAAACGCGTGATTCAATTTTATTTGGCAAAATTTAATCATAATAACGGTTATCTTGAACAGTTGTTTAGCATATAATTAACATGATCATTTACAGGTATTCAGTTATACAAGGAGCTGAAAACATTGAAAATAATATCTTTGGCAAGATAAGAATAATGTTGAAGATGATGTTTATGTGATAATGATTATCATTTTGGGTTATTAATGATTCATTAATAATGGATGATTTTTGTATTTACTTTGGGTTTGTATGAAACCTGTTGAACCCGATTTAAAGGTAAATCATGAACAAATTAATACAAATGTAACGATTCAAGTTTAGAGTAAAGACCATCTCTTGGTTTGCTTAATTAATGAACTACACAAAGTTGGTTAACTATGTAATAATCGTTACTTTAGGAAACAAAAATTACTGTGGATTTGGTTGTTTTAAAAACAGGATTGGTGATCATTTACCCGGATTCAAGTGCCATCATGAAACTTGTCCTTTACTTTTACTATTTCCCTCTTTTAACCTTTCTGATGATCATCTAGCTCCATGTAATCACCATGATTACAAACATATTAAATACAAAATAACCCTGATTATCGACCAATCTGTAATCCTGATTTCCTGATTGCCGTCAGCTATAAATGAATACGGCCTCATCCAGCTGAAATCAACTTGGAGCAAAATTTTATTCATTACTGTGATCTTAGTCGTCAAGCTGATCAAAATTTTTCTTTTCATGAAATTCATAATCTTCGATTCTATTATTCATTTAATCTTTTCATTTCTTTTACAGAATGAAGCCAATATTACTGAAGATTGCTCCGTTTGTGGTAAACGTCTTTATCCAATGGAAAAGGTTGAATTCAGTGACATGAAAATGCACAAAAATTGTTTCAAATGTAGTCACTGTTTCTCATCATTAAGGTAAGATTATCGTTAGTCATCAAAGGTTCAACAAGTGTTTACTCCTGTTTCGGCTTTATTGTCCTTTTCACTCACAAGATGACCTCTTGAGCTATCAAATTGTTTAAAATGTTTACTCTTTACTATTTACCTTTTACATGCAGAATCCGTTTTTACCTCTCAGGCTATCATCTATTTTGTATTTGTGTTTGCAGTTGAAACAAATTCATCTAAATTGCTTTAAATATGGTTCAAGTGCATGATTAGCTTCAGTAATTTGTTATTTCTTTTTGTTAATTTTCTTTCTCTCTCCCAACTAATGATGATCAAGATGAAAATCAATACAATTGTAAAGGCAAAATATGGGCCAAGGACTGAAACGTGAAAACCATTTTTGGCTAATTGTTTCCTACTTGATAGTTGTGAGAAATACTAATAGATTTATTGCAAGCACAAATCAATTGATTATTACTGCTATCAGTTTATTGTCTTATAACAATCTATTGTCATTTGCATGGAAACACTGTTTCAGCTGATCAACTTGGATACTTTAAAACTAATTAGCTAAATTTAGTCAACAGCTATTAATATACTCGTCATTTTGATCACTTTTTTCTTCTTGTATTTATATTGCTCATGAACTGTGAGTGGTAAGAAACGTTGCCAGAACTTTTAGGTTTATATTTGAATTGTTTTTATTCATGTCTTCAATATCTTTGTTCAAAAATCATTGTGAACATTTCAAGATTTATTATGAGAATCGGTTAAATATGCAAGAATGAGAAACTTAAATAATCGTTAACTTGCTCTCAAAGGGTGAGAGTCACGATAACCATTTTTCACACTCTCTTCATTACCCTTTGAAATGTCTCGCAAGAATCGTTTCTATTCAAATGCCTATTTATCATTGATTAACATTTTATACACAATTTGTTAGCTCTTACATGATACTTATCAGTAACTGTGTGAGTCTAAAGGCCAACACAACCCTGGCTTTTATTTAATGAATCTGGTTAAATTTTATTAAACCTTACATCTAAAAACATGTATTCACCTGTATTACCTCCTCCTGTTACTCATCTTCTGTCTCTTGCTTTAATGAATTGCTTTACTAATCTTTTTTTTCTTTTGTTTTTTTGTTCTCTTCATCTCATATTTACCATGTAGATTGGAAAATTATACGCTAGCCGCAGGTAAATTTTACTGTATCGTCCACTTCAAACAACTATTCATGGCTAAAGGAAATTATGATGAAGGCTTTGGTGTTGAACAGCACAAGGAAAAATGGAGGAGTCGGGTTAATGTATCACCAACTGTATCTTCACGAAATGATTCACCAAGCTCCGATTTAGATTATGATGATGAATCAAATGAAGGACTTAAAGAGAGCAATCACTTTGATCAAGTTGTTGTTTGAATTACTCTGGATAGTGGATAAATTAGCAGAGCCAAGCAAACAAAAGACTCGAAATCGTCATGAAACAATCGAATAGAAGAAACTATTTTTTATACTTATAAATATATATTTATGTTTCTTTAGCTGATCTGTGAACTCAATTTCAAGCGTTATCACCAGAAAAACTTGTTGGTCTTTCTATTTTCACCAATTCTCACCTTTAAATTTTAAGTCTCAATTTTTACTATTGAAATTGTCTACGTTTGTCTCTCTAGTGTTGGAGCTTGAAATTGGACTCACCTACTTTTGCCCACCTTTGGATTACAATCATCAATTGTTTACTAACACTTTTATCAGTTGCTCATCCATTGGATACATTTTTGGATTGAGTAAAGGAAGAATCATCAAGCCGCTTGAATAACGAGAAAGAAATTTTTCTTAATTTTCATTCAATTTCTTTGTTTCTTTTCAATGTTTATCTCTTTCTCCTTTAATCATTATTTTATTATCATTTATTACCATAAATATTATATTATAATTGCTATTACAATTGGTTAAAACTCACTTTGCGAATGATATCGTATCGCTTGTTTACTTCAGTCCAAGTTCATTTCAAAAAGCTGTTGAGTCAAATATTGGCCTCCATATTGTACTGAACAACCTCAATAATTTGTTGAGTTTCCACTGTTGGAATGATAATTGATACAATTGAGTCAAAGGTAGATTAAGTGCTTATCTAATTATCAGGTGATTTATTTATGTACATTTTTGACCCAAAGAGAAATGGCCATTTCTATTTCTCTTTGGCTTTCTCCATCTTCTGAATCATTCCCTTTTCTGTTCTTTTTAATCTTTTAATAAACTCTTTAATTGCTTTAAATTTTTACCTTTTAACCTTATACAATAAACTGAATGCACAATTGTAATTGTTTCCACAAACATAAAAAGTTATTCTCAATAGTATTCAATGTGATGAAAGTTCTCTTGATAGCTGTTAGAATTTCGGTATACATTTGATCGTCTGGTCAGTGTTCAAGATACTGTCTAAAAAATACATTTAATACACTTTAATACACATTTAATACGATTTTCTCCACTTTCATACCATTTATCATAATACAGCTGCGAAAATGAGTTAGACCTTTGCTAATCAACATCAACTCAAGACTCATTGGTCAAGGCATTGAATCGATGTTGATTGTGCTTAATTTATCTCAAAAAAATTGACTATCGGTATGCTTGGATACCAAACAATGCGCCAAAGATATGGTATCGAGGTCTAACTCCATTTTCGCAGCTGTATATTCAAATAAAATGAGATGAAATTTTGGATAACAATAAAACGCGAATTCGCATGAATCGAATTGCATTTATTCAATAAAATTTTATTGCTTTTGACTTTTCATAATGAAATTTTATTTAGATTATTGATATTCATATTGAAGACTCGTTATTGAATCGTAGATTTTTCACGAAAATGCAAATTCGATTCATTTTCCATGGACTCTTCTGGATGCGTCTACTAGTCCTTGACGTACAGAACGAACTCTTTTTGAATCAGTTGTGAGAAATTTGACATGAGTCATAGCTGAACAGAAACGAAGACGGCAATAAGAGTCATTTAAACGCCAAAGAGATACATTCTTGACTCATTGCATGCCTATTTACGTTAGCATTTGCTTCTACGCGAGATGGAAATATCACAGAATAACTTTGTAATCTCTGAATAAAAATAAGATGAATTGGCGATAAAATCAATTTATTCAATAATGTTTCATAGATTTAACATTTTCTGTCTTATTGCTATCGTTATAAGCCCCTGGAAAAGCAGCCTTTATGTACAATTTACATTGATGTACATCTATTTTCCAGGGTGTCATTTTGTTGTTAGTGCTCGTAAAGGCACTCCTCTAGCTTCTCGTAAAGGAACTCCACGAGCTTCTCGTAAAGGTACTCCTCTAGCTTCTCGTAAAGGAACTCCACGAGCTTCTCGTAAAGGTACTCCTCTAGCTTCTCGTAGTGGGACACCTCTAGCTTCTCGTAGTGGGACTCCTCTAGCTTCTCGTAGTGGGACTCCTCTAGCTTCTCGTAGTGGCACTCCTCTAGCTTCTCGTAGTGGGACTCCTCTAGCTTCTCGTAGTGGGACTCCTCGAGCTACTCGTAGTGGCACTCCTCTAGTTTCTCTTAAAGGAACTCCTCGAGCTTCTCGTAAAGAGGCAATTTGCGCTGTAACAGAACCGAATACGGCAAATATAACCATCAAAAAGACAGCACATACTATCTTGATCAATTGCATTGTTATTTTGTTGATTGGATTTTACTTGATTTAACACAAAATTGAAATAAAGCTAAATTACTTCTGTAGGTTTGTATCTTCAACTGATATGCTTTGATGAAAAAGTATCTCTTTTTATAGTGTTACATTCTTATACATTCTTTATTCAGTTTTATTTTCGTTTGCCATGAATAATGAATAATTTCTAAATTCAAATTGATGATTGTGTAAAGATTATTAGTCGTCTCTTACAATTCTATAATGTCAATATCTTAAATGTCACATTAACAATAATTCATTCAGCTAGACGGATCTTGTCATATAAAGGGATAAACAGAGTTGCCGTCATGTTGACTTCGTCTAGTCAAGCTATGCTTGTCTAGACTTTATTTAATACCGAAATTATTTACTTCAATAACATGATTCAACTTATACATAACTTATGTAACATAAGTAGCTGCGGTAAAATGTTTTTGAAGTAAATAATTTCGGTATTACTTCTTGACTAGACGAAGTCAACATGACAATCATCAATTTGAATTTAGAAATTATTCATTATTCATGGCAAACGAAAATAAAACTGAATAAAGAATGTATAAGAATGTAACACTATAAAAAGAGATACTTTTTCATCAAAGCATATCAGTTGAAGATACAAACCTACAGAAGTAATTTAGCTTTATTTCAATTTTGTGTTAAATCAAGTAAAATCCAATCAACAAAATAACAATGCAATTGATCAAGATAGTATGTGCTGTCTTTTTGATGGTTATATTTGCCGTATTCGGTTCTGTTACAGCGCAAATTGCCTCTTTACGAGAAGCTCGAGGAGTTCCTTTAAGAGAAACTAGAGGAGTGCCACTACGAGTAGCTCGAGGAGTCCCACTACGAGAAGCTAGAGGAGTCCCACTACGAGAAGCTAGAGGAGTCCCACTACGAGAAGCTAGAGGTGTCCCACTACGAGAAGCTAGAGGAGTACCTTTACGAGAAGCTCGTGGAGTTCCTTTACGAGAAGCTCGTGGAGTTCCTTTACGAGAAGCTAGAGGAGTGCCTTTACGAGCACTAACAACAAAATGACACCCTGGAAAATAGATGTACATCAATGTAAATTGTACATAAAGGCTGCTTTTCCAGGGGCTTATAACGATAGCAATAAGACAGAAAATGTTATATCTATGAAACATTATTGAATAAATTGATTTTATCGCCAATTCATCTTATTTTTATTCAGAGATTACAAAGTTATTCTGTGATATTTCCATCTCGCGTAGAAGCAAATGCTAACGTAAATAGGCATGCAATGAGTCAAGAATGTATCTCTTTGGCGTTTAAATGACTCTTATTGCCGTCTTCGTTTCTGTTCAGCTATGACTCATGTCAAATTTCTCACAACTGATTCAAAAAGAGTTCGTTCTGTACGCCAAGATTCCCTCCAAACTTTGTTAAAATTTAGTGGATTTCGGCGGGTGATGATATTTTGAAAAAATTTTTTGAAATGTGGTGGAAAAACAGCATAAATAAATTATGCATGCAAAATAAAATCAAATGAAAAATAAAACAAAATGAAGAATAAACAAGTATAAAAGGCGATTATTTCGCTGCAAATGATATCAGTCGAAGATTCAAGTATGCAAAGTAATTTAGTGGTTAGTGATATTTCAATTTTGTGTCAACCAAGTTAAATCCAATCAACAAAATAACAATGTTATTGACTAAATTTTTTCTTCTGTCTTTCTGATAGCTCTTATTGCCATTCATGATTCTGTTGCAGCAAACTTACAAGTTCGTTCTGCACTACAAACACCAGATCCGTCCAAAGTAGGACTCCATTTCATGATTTACACCCTATTTCTCAACCATTGTGGTTTATCGGAAGGTTCTATACAAAATAAAATGCTCAGTGGAAAGTTATTTTGGCCAAATGGTTTTTTTGCTCGATTAAAGATGCCGAAACTTTTCAATGTTTTAGGTTGCTACTCGATGAAATCGCAATAAGTGAACGTGCCAATATTGTAACCAAAAAAAACGACATTTAATATCTCATACTTTTTATGTACTCCCGATGGAACTTTCTAAAAATAAACTAACTCCGACTCCTTGCGAGTTTTCAATAACTATCAAAGTTTTAACTCAATATCATAAAAATATTATTCTGGCTCCATCTATATTGTAAAACAATCACCTTTGTTCGTAATATTATCTGGAATTGTATTTAATTGAATACGTATCTATTCAAGTTAATTTTTTTCTATCACATGATCAATCACCTGGTAGTTTTGTTTAATTTTTATCCTTCCAAATTTGTTCCATAACGATACAGGTGAAGTTCAAGGTACATGAAGCTAATTTAGGTTTCGCGTTTGTGACCACTTGCTTGAAACACTCTTTAGTTAAATCTTCAACTAATATGACCTTAATTATTTAGCTTACTTGTCATCATTTTGTGATAATATTAAAAGGTTTCCTCTCTCTTTAACCACATCTATTGACAGCTGAGTCTTCATTGATTTTTGTCTCTTAATCATCAATCGCATTGTCATTACTGGACATCTTTCTGGTTTCACTCATCAAGTCTTTTCCTTTACTCACTCAATATGATTCTCTTACGCCAAATAGTCTCACCGAAATGTTACTTCGTTTGTCAAGTTTACTATGGCAGAATCATTCCATGTCTCAGAAGTTACAGTTCAATGCAACCTTCATCATTATCAGATTCTTCATCCTTTGATGTTGTTCATCAAGTGAAAGCTTTACCGCCTAACCTACGATCATGTCTAAAAGAATGCACAGAACCTGTTACTGCTAAAGTCGTCGGTAAGTGATTTTACTATTATACTTTTCTTAAGTTAATACTAATCAGTTTTTATTATCATTGGCAAGAAGGCTCTGAATGCCGATCAAATATTAATCCTTGTTCGAGTATAATCTCGCTGTTTTCTAGCTTAAAAATGGCTTCAATATCTTGTCGGTAAAATAATAGCTGATTGCAACCCCTGAATCAAAATAAATCAGTTCGTCTTACAGTACCAAAAATTCGAAAACATTTTCATGTCCATAAAACTCTACTTTTATGATCTTTTTATCTGAAATACTTTTCCTTCGTGGCATCCGTAAATTCACAACCTAATATTTATTAAACGCTAATCTTTGTACAATTGTCCATAATCTTGTTCTGTTGCACATTTCCAGGACAAATCCCAACGTGGGTCAAAGGATATTTACTACGTAATGGTCCAGGTCTTCGTAAAATTGGTCCTGATGAATATCGTCATTTATTTGATGGTCTTGCGCTGATCCATCAATTCACTATTGATAATGGCTATGTTACCTATCGTAATAAATTTTTACGCTCAGAGGCTTATAAAAGAAATATGAAGGCCAATCGAATTGTTGTCTCTGATTTCGGAACTCGTGCTTATCCTGACCCATGTAAAAGTTTACTTGGAAGGTACATGAGTTACTTTTCATTTAAACAATTTACAGACAATGACTCTGTCAGTATTTATCCAGTTGGTGATGAATTATATGCTTCTACTGAATCAACTTTTCTTCATAAAATTGACCCTAAAACAATTGATACAACAGGCAGTATCGATTTGGCCCAATATGTTGCTGTCAACACTCAAACGGCTCATCCTCACATCGAATCCAATGGAGTGGTTTACAATTTAGGCAGCAATTTTAGTGGAAAGGGAAGTTACAATGTGATTAAAGTTGATCCTAATGCGTCGAAAGGGTTTACATCAACTTCGCTTTTAACTAGTATTCCAGTTCGTAATCAAATGTACCCATCATATTATCATAGTTTTCTGGTTACGGAGGATTTTATCATCTTCATTGAGCAGCCTCTAGTCACATCAATTCCTTCCATACTTCTCAATCATTTTACTGGTGGTGCTTACAGTGCAGCCTTGAAATGGCGACCAGAGTTTAAGGTAGAACAATGATCTCGTCTTTTCCTTGTAATTTACTCCTACTTTGAATTTTCCTTATCTAGACTCGTTTCAATGTGATAAAAAAATCTAACGGTGAAATAATTGCAGATAATTATGTTAGTGAACCCTTTGCTTTCTTTCACACCATCAACGCCTACCAAGAGGATGGTCATATTATTTGTGATATTTGCTGTTACCAAGATGGATCCATAGTTAATGCATTATTTTCCGATAAATTGGCTCAAATCAGTAATCAAGCCGCTGAAAGTAAAGCAGAATCTGTTAAAGAATTTCAGTCTCTCAAATCTCAGGCTCGTCGTTATGTTTTACCCTTGAATATTGATTCATCAAATGAGGTATCATGAGTTATGTCGCCTTTTCTTTGAAAATTCACTCAAACTGTTTATTCATTTCTCTTACAGCTTTTGACAAACCTTAACAGACTGAAAGGCTCGTCAGCAAAAGCTATACGTAATGGTAATGAGATTGAGGTAACGCACGAACCTTTAACTTCAACTGGTGAGTTTTTTGATCTCTCTTTTTTGTCATTAATTATTATAATAAATAACAGAACTTATATTGACGTGCTTTTGTGTCTGCACAACAGTTGCTATAAGCGCTTATTTAAATATTTAGATGTTTGCTAATGCTTATTCATTTACTTACAGGTTCAAGTATGGCTGAAATGCCTCAGATTAACTATCGTCATTATAATGGTAAAAATTATCAATATTTTTACTCAATTACAAGGGGAAAAGATTTTCTAACTCAATTGGTTAGTATTAATTCTGACCAAATTAAGTTTTACTGTTACTATTATCTAATACTATGTTAACTATTCAACTTAAAATATTTTTACAATCAATCTAGTTGAAATGCAATGTAAAGACTAAAGAAACTGTGATTTGGTCTGATGCAGGATGTACGCCATCTGAACCAGTTTTCATCCCAAAACCAGGAGCAATCGATGAAGATGATGGTAGTTATTTCTTATTAAAAATATAATGATTTTGATAAAACCTTAAATATTACAATATCTTTCCATCTTTTAAGGTGTTATTTTATCTGCCGTTTTGTACGAGAACATTGAAAATGAAGGGTTCCTTTTGGCTCTGGACGGAAAATCATTTAAAGAATTGGCAAGGGCTCACTTTAAAACTCCATCTGCAATTACCAGTGATTTTCATGGTTTATTCTGTCCTATTGAATCTTCAGACCAACTTAACAAATGAAGTTGCAAAATCCATCAATGAATTACATTACATTACATACTGTGTTACATTCATATCTAAAGCTATAACATGTATTGTCAATATTATTGGACATCGAAGTTTTGGCAATTTTTGTTAAATTTATTTTCAAATACGATTCACATTACTGGACTGTAATCCCGTTGAATCCTCAGACCAACTTATCAAGAGTAACAAATGAGCTTAAAATTCATAAATGAACGTGTATTACATTCATATCTAAAGCTATTGTCAATATTATTCAACACTGAAGTTTTGGCATTTTTTGTTTTTATTTCCCAAAACGATTCTCACTTCTGTTCTGCAATTTGAAACTTACTGTTTACAATTATCCTTTTACTATTCCAGTTTCTTTCAATTCAATTGTCTTTATAAGCTATTAACTAATCAGACTCTAGATCATTTAATTTGCTTTATTAAGGGTTAAAACAATAATCGATTTCGTTTCTGACAATTTTATACAGCTATGTAGGATAACTGTTAAATATTAATAATAATTATATTTTTATATTACTCTAGTATTGAATCTTGAAAATTTTTATTTTTAATAATGAGGACTTCATTGTCTTCAATTATCAAATAAATTAGACCACAAATAATTATATTGCATTTCTTATGTTTAAAAATTTATATGAACCAAGAGTTGAAATTTGCTTGATTAATAATTTAAAATTAATGTTTTAAATCTAAACAAGTTTATTTATTTATGCTGACAGGTAACGAATTCATAAGAGCACCAATAATTCACTATTTCCGTCACATAGTAAATACAAACACCTAATCCAGGGATGGAGTAAATTATATTGAATGACTTCTTTTGTGAAAAACAATTTAGGTTTGAAAAATTGAATATCGTTGAACTAAAAGGGAAAGTGCATAAATTAATATTACTTAATGAGATTTTTAATGAGATTTCTAAATTACATTACTATACCAGGCCTGTAAAATATTTGATTAGGTTTCAGCCTCGTCCGATTCAAAACAAAATGTCGAGCAACACTCTAATTATAAAGTATATAACTAACGAGAATTTTTAATCAGTTTCCAATCTAGAGAATCATTTAATTTTACATCAATCAAGAATTAAAAAAATTGCGAATCTAACTCTAAAGAGGAAGATTTTAAAGTTGATTCTGGAATGAATCTGGGACCAATTTATTATATATTTATTATTTATTTATCTGGCCTATTCGTCGGGCACTCGAATCTATGACTCTCAATCTTTGATTGATTGATTTCGCTTATAATTTTCATTGCTATCTGGATTCGCGAATTTTTTGATTGATATTTCATGCAAGAAAATCAAATCCAGTCAATTGGAAAATCAAAAAATGGTAATGTAATCTAGTCAAACCGAATTCGCTTAACTCGAAGCCTTTAAGTTTCTTTTAATCGATACTTACCATATCAGAGACCGTATAAATTGCTTGGGAACTTTTTGCAAAATAGTTCTATAACTGTTGAAAGTTCTTGCTGAAATGCTGTGTATAAGTTGCTGAAATCTTTAGATCTTCAGTATCAGAGTATCTATTGTAGGAAAAATGAAAAATAATGAGTTGAAGTGAATTAGAATAATTTATTTTATTCAATACAGTTTCATAGATTTTACATTTTCAGGATGTTTCATATTCTTATTGACGATTGAATTGTTGGTTTTCGTAAAATTTTCAACCATCATTCACATTAAATTCATTTTCATCCCATTGTGTTGGTTGCTCCGGGTGGTGGTGGTGCTTGTCGTGCAGAACGCATTGGTTTATCGATAGCTGAAACAGACCCAAGAATGGCAATAAGAGCCATTAGAAAGACAGAAGAAACATATTTAGTCAATTGCATTGTTATTTTGTTGATTGAATTTAACTTGGTTTAACACAAAATTGAAATATCACTAATCACTATTACTTTGTATGCTTGAAGATTAAACTGATATCATTTGAAGAGAAATGGTCGCCTTTTATACTGATCTGTCTTGTTTATTATTTAATATTTTTTGTTTATTCATTTGTTTTTATTTTGCATAATTGATTAGTTTTTTGATAAAATAATGTCTCTTCGTAGTATTTTACAAAAAAAGTGTGTTTATTCTGATGAATAATAAGCTAGTAAAGTCAATATTGTGATGAACTTTTAAGCGGTTTAAAGGAAAAGCTTTATTACTTAAACTTAAGGGAAAGGTTTTTACAAGCCAAAGGATCATCCTAAACCTCTTAACAAGGCCTTATAAAGGGTAATACAGTGTTAAGGTCACTAACCAATGAGGAGAGAGTGAAAGAGTCCTCGTAGAGTCACGCTTAAGTATACTCATTATATATTCCTCGCCTGTGACCAAAACTGACCACAGTTTTCTTCATTGGAATATTGCTATTTTAAGTTAACATATTAAGTTTTTCATTTCTTCGTTTTTTTTGTAACCAAATACAAGGTAAGGAGTGACATCTTCAAAGACACACAACCACATTCATTTAACATTTTTTTTTTGTATAACTCTCTTTTAGACAATGAGTAGGATGCCCCGACTATCTGCTAGTGGTAAAAGACTTGCCACAAGGGAGGATGAATTTGGCAATCTTCACGATCAAAATATGTGCAATGGAACTGTAATCGAAGAATTAGGAATAATTGAGGGAAATACAACAGAAAACGAAGTCCAAAGCCTTATGGGAAGTATTGTTGATGGAGTCGTTGGTGCTACTGCTGGAAGTGTTGGTGTATCTGGAGGATTATTTGGGAGTGAACCGAGTAGATCTGGTGTAACTGGTAATTCGCTTGAAGGTAATGGAGGTGAAGTGAACGACGGTGGTATTTCAGGTGATGAAGAAGACGAAGAATGCGCTTGCAAATGTGGCAAGCTAAACTGCGGTTTACCAAAACCTACAGCATCCTTGCCCGATCACATTGATTGCGATGTCGCTGATGTAATTGGGGAAGGATATTTACCTGGTAAAAAGAGGATTGCAAAGAATCACCGAAACCAGGTTGTTTGGGCGGTCGGTTTGGTGCCAGATAATATGCTCAATAATTGGAATAAACCTATTCCTAAAGGGTTCCGAGGCGAGGTAAAAAATTTAATGGATTATGGCAACCCCAAACATTTAAAACCAACACCGGTAAATTACGAGTGTAGATGGTGTGAGCGGCCTTATTCCGCGAAGAATAATCAATACAGGCATGAACGAACTTGTACATTTCCCGGGGCTCCATCACATGTCTGCGACAAAGATTGTTTGAAAGATTGTCCTGGGCCAAAGGAATGGGTTCCTGCGACGGATTACCGAAAAGGAAACAAATGTGGAACCCTTGGTCGTCCAAGAGGTGGAAAAAAATGATTTCTATGTATTTCCTAATCTTTAGAACTTGATTCTATCAATAAAAAATTAAAAGTTTAAATATGATGTCTTCTTTTTTTTTAGTAAATTGTGAATCAATCTTCATTATAAATTGTTAATGTGTTTTTTTTCTGTGTTAGTAGTGGCAACAGGTTTTCCAACAGCTACAATAAGTTTCTACAGTTTCAGTTGTAGTTTGTTTAAAACAGCAAAAGAATGAAAATTTTAAATGGTGGATCATGATCCATGTTTTTTTGTTGAAACTTTACTTGGCTAAAGGTTAAATTTTACTTTTAGTTGATGAAAATAGGTTGAAAGATTGAAGTTTTCAACTCTATTTCGGTTTGTAATAAGTATTAGTAGTTTAAATGAAATTTGACTCAAATATCAGGAATATTAGAAAATTCTTCGAAAATGGTGGATCATGATCCATAATTTTCTTGGAAAAATGGTAAAGGGTCAAATCTTTCTTCTTTCTTCATATGAACAGTATTGGATCTAAAATTTGATTATTATTTTAGTTTGAATGAGTTGTTATTATCAATTTAAATGAAAAAAAATGAAAAAATAGTGCCAAATATATAAAAAAAAAATTTCAAAATGGTGGATCATGATCCATATTTTTGGTTTGAATCATCTGAATTGTTTTTTTGTTACTTAAAGTGTTTGCTTTGAATAAGTAGACTTTTATAAAAGATAGAGAGATGTACGGAAGAACCTAAACACAATACGGATAAAAAAAACTAAAAAAATATGACAAAAAATTATATTTATGGTGATAATTTTGTTCGGTTGTCCTCGATCAAGACGTGGTTTGCGGCAATTAAAAGAAGACATTTTTATGCATTAGAATATGTATTAAAAAAGAAAAAAATTTCATACCAAAAAAATTTTGAAATTTTTTTGTCGGACAACTATGATTCTCTCGGACAAAGAAAGTATCTATTTCCCGGGTATCCTTGTTAAAAACCCCCGCCCAAAAAGGGCCCGGTTTTTCCTATGCTTCGCTCCCCTTATCTAGATCATACAGGCGAAAATTCGAAAAATTTCACCCTCAAAATTGCCAAAAAACGCTTAGTTTTCGAGATATGGCACTTTTTTTGAACGATTGCAATAAAAGACAAGTGCTATACAGTGTTAGAAAAAGCGTTCTAAGAGCAGCAAAAGACAGTTTAAAACATAATTTTAGCATGACTGGAACATACTAAAAAAGTGACTCAAAATTGGTAATTTTCCTATCTTTTAACATGGGAAAAAATTAAAATTTTTCGGTCTAGTCTTACGAAGCAGTTTCATAGTTCATTCTGAAGCTCTTTTGAAGCTCTTTCTAATGGTGTATTGAAATACTTAGAGTGCGAAAAGTTTGTTGTGAAATTTGTGATTCAAACTTATTCAAAAATAAAAGTTGCGAATTTTTGTCTGCAAGTTAACAGAATGCAAGAACAAGAGAAAAAAAAAGGGGAAACGAGGAACAAAACGCATGATATCCCCATGACAACGGGCCTCGAAACGGAACTTGGGAATATCGGAAATGGATTTTTACTGGTCATTTTTGGTCTGTCCTTTGTTCAGGTCACTGTGCTAATTTGAACTTTAACCCAAATTCTAAGTATTGTTTTCTTTTTTTTTTTGATTTGTTTACTTAAACTTTCTTGTTCGAATGGAGGCGAATAATTTAAAAATATGTTATGGAAACTGTGGTAGAACACGTGCAGCCACTACTTTTCTGGACACACATTCCCAACAGGAAGCAGCTGATTTGGCAATCTTCACCGAAGTGATCCAATACGAGATAACCGATCGCGACCATGCTGACGTTAATGTTGTTGATTCTGGCGATGCACACGCCGCTTCAATAAAGATGGTTAACAGTGAGTCCATGCAGTTTGTTCACACACTTGCAATGCCATGTGATGTTTTAAGCACTGCTGTCGTAAATT